CCCGCTCCCCCCCCTCAATACCCAGCAGAAACTATTTTGCCCTTATCTCTAATTTTGTTGTAGAGAGAGTATAAGCAATAATAGGAAGGAACAAGGGTTTTTGCTGGTTGAGATAAGGATAGCTATACAGGGCATTGACTCACATTGATTTCCTGTGCGTGGGTGTTACCTTCTAGGTTAATTCTTTTTGATCTAACCTTTTCTCTAGTACCTGTTCCCCTTTTCCTATTGGCCTCAGTTGCTTTAAGGTATCTGCTTTAGTTTCTCTGCGTTAAGGGCAACAAATGCTAGCTAGTTTTTTAGGTGTCTTACCTATCCTCACCCCTCCCTTGTGTGCTCTCGCTTTTATCATGTGCTCATAGTCCAATCCCCTTGTTGTGTTTGCCCTTGATCTAATGTCCACATATGAGGGAGAACATACGATTTTTGGTTTTTGGCCAGGCTAACCTCACTCAGAATGATGTTCTCCAATTCCATCCATTTACCAGCAATGATAACATTTCGTTCTTCTTCATGGCTGCATAAAATTCCATTGTGTATAGATACCACATTTTCTTAATCCATTCGTCAGTGGTGGGGCATCTTGGCTGTTTCCATAACTTGGCTATTGTGAATAGTGCCGCAATAAACATGGGTGTGCAGGTGCCTCTGGAGTAACAGTCTTTTGGGTATATCCCCAAGAGTGGTATTGCTGGATCAAATGGTAGATCAATGTCCAGCTTTTTAAGTAGCCTCCAAATTTTTTTCCAGAGTGGTTGTACTAGTCTACATTCCCACCAACAGTGTAAGAGGGTTCCTTTTTCCCCGCATCCTCGCCAACACCTGTTGTTGGTGGTGTTGCTGATGATGGCTATTCTAACAGGGGTGAGGTGGAATCTTAGCGTGGTTTTAATTTGCATTTCCTTTATTGCTAGAGATGGTGAGCATTTTTTCATATGTTTTCTGGCCATTTGAATTTCTTCTTTTGAGACAGTTCTGTTTAGTTCACGTGCCCATTTCTTTATTGGTTCATTAGTTTTGGGAGAATTTAGTTTTTTAAGTTCCCTGTATATTCTGGTTATCAGTCCTTTGTCTGATGTATAGTTGGCAAATATTTTCTCCCACTCTGTGGGTGTTCTCTTCAGTTTAGAGACCATTTCTTTTGATGAACAGAAGCTTTTTAGTTTTATGAGGTCCCATTTATCTATGCTATCTCTTAGTTGCTGTGCTGCTGGGGTTTCGTTGAGAAAGTTCTTACCTGTACTTACTAACTCCAGAGTATTTCCTACTCTTTCTTGTATCAACATAAGAGTTTGGGGTCTGATATTAAGATCCTTGATCCATTTTGAGTTAATCTTGGTATAGGGTGATATACATGGATCTAGTTTCAGTTTTTTGCAGTCTGCTAACCAGTTTTCCCAGCAGTTTTTATTGAAGAGGCTGCTATTTCTCCATCTGTTTTTCTCATTTCTAAGTGGACAACTCATTAGCCTTCAGTCTGGTCTCAAGTGTCGTGCCACTGTCCTCTCCCCGTTTGCAGAACTTCCCCATTATCCTCGTAGAACCTCTGTGCCCACCAGCAGTATGGCCCTGGGCCCCTCACTCCTAGTCCCTGGCAACCTCTGTTCTGTCTCCATACATTTGCCTGCTCTAGGTAGTACCTCACATAAATGCATATTTCTTTTGTGTCTGGCTTGGTTCACTTATTGGAATGTTCAGGGTTCATCCATGTTGTGTCATGTTTCAGAATTTCATCCCTTTTTAAGGCTGAATAGTATTTCATTATATGGTTATGCCATATTTTATTTATCCCTTCATCTGTTGATGGACATTTGGGTTGACTTTACTTTTCAGCTACTGTGAATAATGCTGTAGTGAATGATGGGGAGAACTAATCTGATTCTGTGCTTTGAATTTTCTTTTTTTTTTTTTTTTGGTGGTACGGGAGTTTCAACTTGGGGCCTGTGCTTACTGGGCAGGTGTTCTGCTACTTGAGCCATTCTGCCAGCCCTTTGTTCTTTGGTTATTTTTGAGATAGGGTTTCACATTTATGCCCAGGCCAGCCTGGACTATGTTTCTCTCATAGCTGGCATGTACCATCCTATCTAGCTGTTGGTTGATACGGGATCTCAACAGCTATTTGCCTGGGCTGACCTGGAACCACCGATCTTCCCTATCTCTACCTCCCAAATAGCTAGGATTGCAGGCATGAGCCACTGCCCAAGCCCCTGCTTTTAATTCTTTTGAGTGTGTCTAGAAAAGGAGTTGCTGGACCCTGTCATAACTGTGGAGTGTGGATGAACTGCCTAGCTGCTCCCCATGGCAGCGTGCTGTTTGCTTTTGCATTCGTAGGGCACAGGCTTGCAGTCTCCTCCTGTCCTCACCAGCATGTGCTGTTTTCCATCTCCTGACAGCAGTAAACCATGTGGCATGTGGTGCTGCTTATTCCCTTGCATTTCGCTGATTGTTAGTGATGTCGAGCGTCTTTTTCACATGCTTTTGTCCATTTGTGTATTTTCAATTGGGTGGTTTTATTATAGTTGAGTTTTAGCTCTTTGTGTATTCCAGATACTAATCCCTTATGAGAAATACTGCAAATTCCATTCTATTTGTTGTCTTCACTCTTACAAGTGTCCTTTGATGCACCCAAGTTTTTATTTTTTGGTTGGTACTGGAGTTTAAACTCAGATCCTTGTGCTTGCTAGGCAGGCTCTCTACCAATTGAGCCATACCCTCAGCCCTTTTTGCTTTAGTTATTTTTCAGATAGGGTCTTGGGTTTTTTGCTGGGCCAGCTTGGACTGTAGTCTTCCTAATTATGTCTACTGCATAGCTGAAATTACACATATGTACCGCTACAGCTAGCTTTTTTGTTGAGATGGATTCTTGCTAACTTTTTTCCTGGGCTGGCTTCCAACTTGCCTCCACTGTGATCCCCCAGACTCTACCTTCTAAGCAGCTTGGATTGCAAGCATGAGTCATGTTCCCAGCTGAATGGTTTTGATTGTGATGGAGTATAATCTTTTTTTCTTTTGTTGCTTATGCTTTTGGCCTTATATCTATGAAATCATTGTCAAATCCAGGGTCATGAAGCTTTTGTCCTATGTTTTCTTCTGATGGTTTTATAACTCTAGTGTTTACATTTGTTTTTAATTGATTTTGAGTTAATTTTTTGATCTGATATCTATAAGGAAGGGGTCCTACTTTATTATTTTCCTTGTGGATATCTGATTTCCCCAAGACCATTTGTTGGAACATATTTTTTGAAATACAGTGGGGTTTTTTTTTGTTGTGTTTTAAAAAAATCTATTTAAAAACTTTTAGCCTGGCACCAGTGGCTCACACCTTTGTAATCCTAGCTACTTGGGAGGCTCAGATCAGGAGGATCATGATTCAAGACCAACCTGGACAAATAATTTCGGAGACCCCCATCTCCAAACTAAACAGCAAAATGGACTGGAAGTGTGGATCAAGCCATAGAGCGCCTGCTTTGCAAGCACAAGGCCTTGAGTTTAAACCCCAATCCCACCAAAAAAAAAAAAAAAAAAAAGCAAACAAACATTTGTGGCCCTTTAGCTTTCCCTGATACCTTGCAGGCTCCCCCATTCGAAACAGGCTCTGGAGCAAGACTGTGGTGCATGCCTAGTCCCAGCTACTTGGAGGGCTGAGGCAGGAGTACCGCCAGAACCCAGGAGCTCAAGACCTAGGGGAATATGGCAAAACCCTGTCTGTGGGAAAGGAAAAAGCAGCCCCTCCTGCATAGAGTTAATGAGCTGTCGTGCCGACCAGGTTGGGATGGAGGCACTGTTGCTATGGACAGGTGGAGAGGAGGAATTGCATGTGCACGTGGGGTGAACTGGTGTGCTTGCACAGGAGCATATGTGGAATATGTTCATGTTTCTTTGACCTAGAGTTTTATTTATTTTATTTTACTTGTAATTGCAGCTTGCCATATTGGTCCTTTGCGGGGGTCTGCCTGATAAAGTAAGTTTAGGGAAATGCCTATCACATCAAAGCTTGGCTAAGCCTGCCCTTGCCATGTGCTCTTGTCAAATCTAATCTTAGGAATAGGATCTTGCACATTGTCTGACAACAGGGAAGGAAGCAATAGTGTGAAGACACGTTCGGGGCCTCCCTGTGCCGAGCTTCTCTGCTTTCTCTTGGCGCCTGCAGCACGGTATGAGATCCGTGTTGGCAGCTTGCGGGAAGGAGGTGGCCCTTTGATGCAGTGTGACTGCAGGACTGTAAATGAACCTCATTACTGAGATAGGACCCTTCTGCCCTTGCAGAAGAGACTTTATGAGTTTGCACCTTGAGTGTTTGCCAGCTGCTATGAGTATGAGAGCCAGGGCAGTTTTATTATTTGTCACTGCATTCTTTTTAAAAGTAGTTCCCAGGGACTTTATGGCCAGATAAGAAGCCTGTATCCTCAGAGGGATGGACACTGAGCTGTTGTGTCCCATACAGACCGGTTTGTTTTTGGCCTTCCTGTACACAGCTTAACATAGTGGAGCCACACTTCCCATTCCTTTCTGCACTCAGCACTGGTGTCTTGCTGCAGTGATTCATATCAACAGTCTGTCGGTGCCTGGATTGTTTATGGTGGAATTTGAGCTACTGTTTGACAGGATACTGTTTATTTTAATTTGTTTAGGCAGTAGTGAAATTTGAACTCAGGGTTTTGCACTTGCTAGGCAGGTGTTTTTACCACTTGAACCACGCCTCCCGTCCCCAATGAATACATTTTCTTAACCTTTAAAATTCCATGGGTTGAGACTGGGTTTAAAATTCCATAAGTTGAGCACAGAGCCCTAAGATCAGTTCCTAGTGTCACAAAAAAGGAAAAAAAAAAAAAAAAAAAAACCCGTCAGTGAGACATGGTACACATGTGCTGTCAGTCTCTGGTTCATTGCTAAACCTGTGAAGGTAGAGTTCAGTGCCTGTAAGGTTTTTTTGTTGCATCTGGGATGTTGATTGTTGATGTTTTTAATAAAAGTTAACTACTAAATAATTATTCTTTCAGATGAATGGAAGAGAATCAGAAGAAGAAAATCTCAATAAATCTGAAATAAGTCAAGTATTTGAGATTGCACTCAAACGGAACTTGCCTGTGAATTTCGAGGTAAGGTTATTTTACACACAGGGCTTTGTGTTACAAGATCTTGTTAGGTTTCATCCTGGAAGAACTTTTTCCTTGAGTATTATTGGAATAGTAATTCACATGCCGTGACTCTCGACATTTAAGATTCACGCGTGCTCTTTAGCAAAGCAGTACTTAATGCTCTTCTTCTGGAAGTCCTTAACTTAGGGGTATCACTGGGTCTCTAGCCTGGCTGCGGGGGCCTTGGCCTGTCTGAACTTCCTGAACTAGCTGTAGAATATTGTGTTTCTGTTCACATAGGTGCTCTTCTGGAGAGATGATCTGTTGTTTTCACCAGTCTGAAAAGCAAGTTTACCTCTAAAATATTGAGAATTTCCTTAAGTGGTTGTGTTAAGAATTTTTGTTGCTATGACAAATGCCTGAGACAATCAGTTTAAAGGAGGAAAGATTTATTTTGGCTCATGGTTTGAGAGATTTAGGTTCATGGTTTGAGATTTAGGCAGACTCCATTGCTTTTAAGCCCTGACAATACAGAAACATCATGAAGGAGGGGGAAGGAAAAGAAAGCTGTTCATTTTGTGGCAGCCAGGAAGCAGAGAAGAGAAACAGGAAGGGGCCAGAGTCAAGGTACACCCTTCAAAGACACATCCCATGTGGCCCTTTTCCTCCCACTAGGCCACACCTTCCGTGGTTGTACCACCTCCCATTAGACTTTCCAATTGTGTCTATCAGTGGATTAAACCATGATTAGGTCAGAAGCCTCGTGATCTAATCATCTCTAGAAACACCTCACAGACATGCCCAGGGTGAGCTTTATGAATCTCCTAGATATTTTTCCATCCAGTCAAGTTGATAGTAACACCACAGAGGTCCCCCAGAGTACTTTTGAAAGCGATACAGGTTTCATCATTGTCTAGCGTTTGTCCCCTAATTCACACTTTTAATAACTTCATTTATTGTAGATTTTGTGATCTGAAAGCAATAATTAATAGATTATTTATTCAAATGGAAAATAAAGTACATTTAGTATGTTTCCTTTTGAAGACAATGTAGTTGCTCCAAATAGACTAGAATGTAAGGGAGCATTTAAGAAATTTTTTCTCTTATAGGGCTGGGGGTATTGTTCAAGTGGTAGAGTTTTTGCGTAGCAAGCCCTGAGTTCAAACCCCAGTACCACCAAAAAAAAAAGAAAAAAGAAAAAAATTTCCTTTATGGTTTGTCACCTGGCAAGTTCATCATGCTTGATTATGTAATTATCTTTTTTTTTCAGAACTGGGGCTTGAACTTGTAGAATTTTTTTTGCAATTATAGGTTGTCCCAAAATTTCATGACTGTCATAAAGTGTATCCCTTCTCCCATTTATGTCAGTGACCTAAACTTGCCCCAGATTCACTTGATCCTGCAGTGAGTGGTGACGATTCTGACCTGCAGCCTGGTGATGCTTACCTGCCTGTGACAGACAGGTGGGGTGGAGAGTCACACTTGGCACAGGGCCTGCCAGTGTGCAAGGGTTTTTCTTGTTCCCCTCCACCACCACCCCCAACCCCTCCCCACCCTATCCCCCCCACAGGTGAAGCCAGGTTTTTAACATCCCCTGGTAGAGTATAGAGCCTCCTGGTCTACCTCCCACTCAGCCTTTTTCCTTCTCTTGGGGAAGGCAGGGGTGCACCTGGAAAGGACAGGCACCAGGGTCAGACAAAATAACAGGGCTAGTTATCGGGTGGAAGATGCACCCCACAGAAGTCACAAGGTCCCTGGCACCTGTTGCAGGAGAGAGGAGAATGTCCCTTATCTCCTCTGCTCAGGTTAGTGTGTCATGAGAGTGGGACCAAGACTAGAAGAGAAGGTGCCTGTCTCCCCAGGCCACTCTAGCTGGGGTTAGTGTCCCCTGCTTAGGACAGGGCCACGGATTCCTGTGCAGCTTGTCACCACTCACTAGTGGCTGCCCTCCCGAGAACTCCCTGGATTCTAGTGAGAGATTGCTGTCTTGTGTTTCTCTTTGGAATCTGGGGGCCAGGTCATTCTCTTCTACTTTTCTTTAGGTTTCAGATTTGGCTTTCAAACCTGTGTTGGAGAATCTGCAAGTTGAACAGGAAGTTGTCAGGTAGCCATATAGGAGTTGTAAGGGTGTCCTCTCGTGGCGAACATTTTTTAATTAACATTGAAACCATTGCAATTTGTAGCAGGTGGCTTTGGCTTTGTGAGTGTGAGAACTAGTGTTGAATACCTCTTGTATTAGAGGGTCCACAGTCACATTTGTGTTAAGATTGCGCAAGACCTGGCTTTTCTCTAGCATGTGGAAGATTGGTACGTAATTGGATGCCCAGAACTATTCGTTAATTTTTTTTTCTTTTTTTCCCTGAAGTGTATTGGGTTTTGAACTCAAGGCCTCATTCTTGCTAGGCCACTGTACCACCAGTGCTTTCATGTGTTGGGCATTTTCTTTTTTTTTTTCTGCAGTTCTGGGGTTTGAAATCCGGGCCTACAACCTTGAGCCACTGCACCAGGCCCTTTTTTTGTGTTGGGTTTTTTTTGAGATAGAGTCTGAAGAACTGTTGCCTGGGCTGGCTTTGAACCGTGATCCTCCTGATCTCTGTCCCCTGAGTAGCTAGGATTACAGGTGTGAGCCACTGGCGCCCAGCTTATTTGTAGATTTTTAACTAAGTTCTTAGTGTAAAGTCTGTTGCATAGGAATCTGGGTTAAATGTTTAATAGAAGCCAGGAGCCAGTCAGAAAAATGAATACAGTGTGGCTTTTGATAAAATGTAGTTTTAGCTAGCAAATGTGGTGGTGATGATTGGCAAGAGTCATGGAAGGCGGCTGTGACATGTTGAACCAAGGATAGTCTAAGTGGAAGCCACACTCTCTTTAGCCTGCTGGGGTCCTGATGTGAGTAGACAGTGAACACTTGCTGAGGGCCTAGGTGGGCTAGGAACTGCCGCTGCCTTGTGCATTGAAGTCTCATCTGAGGATGGGGTGGTGCTGTCCTGGGAAAGAGTGTTCCAGAATGTAGGCACATCTGCCTTTTCTTTCTGTTAAGTGTGCAGATCATCTTGGGTTCTGTTTTTTACTTTTGTGGAATCACTTGAGAGTAAGTGGCAGATATGATGCTCTTGGACTCCTAATATTTTAGTACATGTCTCTGAGAGCCAGGATATTCTCTTCACCACAGTCTCAGTATTGAACCCAGAGACTTAGCACGGCTGTAGCACAGTTACATAACCTGCCCTGTGTCTGCAGGTTGCCTCTTGTCCAGGGATGTGTGCAGGTGGTTTTGCACATTCTGCTGTCACGAACAGGACCACAGCTTGCACTGAGTCTGCCCCTTTGATGTCCTTCATCTCTAACAGTCCCTTAGCCTTCTTTGTGTTTCATGATATTAACGTTTCAAGGTCAGTTGTTCTGTAAAATTGCTCTCATTTTGTGTGTGTCTGAGATTCCGTTTGTGCATTTTTGGTGTGATCACCAGAGAATGATGTTGGTCCTTGTTAGAGTGCTGTGTGATGTCACCCTGTCCCAGTGTTGGTGACATTGTGCTTTGCATTGATTTCTGTGCTGTACATCAGGTCCCCTCCCCGCCCGTATTGGGGGCTCTGCTCCACCCATGTCTCGCAGTCTGTGCTGAATCTGGCCAGCCTGGTTTGTCTCTGGGGGGAGGGATCAAAAGGACAGTGTTGTGCATTTCCAAGCTGGCACTCCTTTCTCCTCTCTGTTACTGCCCGTCCACACATATGTACTGCTGCACTGGTCCACAGCGTGCCCAGCGTGTTCCTGTTGCTGCCCTTCATTCTCCTGTCAGTTTGCCCTCAAGCCAGCCCCTGGCCCTGAGGCATGCTCCCATCAGGAGTTTTTGGGTCAGGTTTTTTGAGATGTAGTTTCCATATAGTAAAGTCACCTGTGTGTACAGTTTGCAGCATTCACAGCGCTTACAGTTGTGTAGCACCTGTAGTCACGGCACATGTTCGGTTGCCATGTCCTTTTGTATCCTCAGCCTCTGGCAACCACTAATCTGAATTCTGTCCCTATAGTTTTTCCCTTTTAAGAATATACCTCTTTGAGTGTCTTTGAGGGTTCTTTACATATTCTGAATTTAAGTTTTTTCTCAGATGTTTCCTCCGTCTGTGGCTCTCTTACCATTTTTTATTAGCGACTTCAGAGGAATAGGAGTACTTACTTTTAGTGAGACACAGTTTGTCAAATTGTTGAGTTAGTTAGCTCATAGTTGTGTTCTAAGATACCATTGTCTTACCTAAGGTCATTTTCTTTTGCTTTCATTGAGAAGTTTTAGTGCTTAGCTCTTCAATTTGTGACGTTTTGAGTAAATCTTTATAACAGAGATAAGAGTCACGGTTTTGGTTTTGGTTTTGCATTTTGCTGTTTCATTGCTTCTGTGCAGTTCCTTCCCTGTTAAATTGCTTACACACCTCCCTCTTCAGGTTTGAGACCCTCCTTACTCTCTGGTGTAACAAAATGTCTTAGGTGAACTTTGAACTTTCCCAGCTCTAGCTTTGTCCTCAATGGGAGTGGAAATTTCTAGCAGCAGTGGCATCAGTCATTCTTCTAAGCAGCCCTGGTTCCCTGTGATGGGCATAGGAAGGGTCAGGCTGCTAACATCATCAATACTTTTACCTGTTCCTCAGCCATAGACCCACTGAGCAAAGTTGAAGATATCTTTGCACTGTCATTATTATTTATTTTTTGGTGGTACTGGAGTTTGAACTCAGGACTTCACACTCACTAGGTAGGCCCTCTACTTCTCGAATGACAGCTCCAGCCTCCTGCATAGTCTTTTTATCTTTATGCTGCAAATGTGCCATCAGGCCCTATGCTCCAAAGTTACTTGGATTCTTTCTTCTCCAGCTGATGGTGTACTCAAGCAAGCCTTACAGGCAGTATAATGGAATGTGGCCCACAGCTTAGTTCACAGCTCCATAAACTGTGACAGACGTACAAAAGTATGACTCAACACTCAGGTCAAGATACAGAACAGTTCTCTTACCTCTGAGTGTTCCCACTGTCCCTGTCCACTTGCCCCACCCAGAAGAAACTGATTTCCGAATCTGTCATGATAGTTTCCTTATTCTTAGTGTTCACTATAGTTGATACAGTTTTGTGTCTAGTTTCTTACTGGGATTTAGTGTTTTTGAGATCCATCCAAATACATGTCAAGAGGCCGGTGGAGTGGCTCAAGTGGTAGAGTGCCTGCGTTGCAAGCAAATACATGTCAGGAGTTTATTTCTTAGCGTTTGGATCATTGCATAAATGTGGAAGGGCTCACTTGTCCACTGTTCAGTTGATGGGCATTTGAATTGTCTCCACCTTGGGAGCTGCTGTGAATAAAGCTGCTACAAAATTCTCATGTTGTCTTCTTGTGTACATGTGTACTCAAAATTGCTCAATCAGGGCTGGGTGCTCCTATCTGTAATCTCTGCTTCTCAGGAGCAGAGACAGGATGATCATGGTTCAAGTCTGGTCTGGGCAAAAAGTTAGTGAGAACCTATCTTAGTCAATAGCTGGGCGTGGTATCACACACCTGTCACCCCAGCTGTGTAGGGGGAGCATAAGTAGGGTATCAAGGTTGAGGCTGGCGCTAGGAAAAGCTTGTGGCCCTATCCCAAAACTAACTAATAAAACAAAAAGTTCTGGCATTGTGGCTCAAGTCGTGGAACCTGGCAAGTACGAGGCCCTGAGTTCAAACTCTGCTACCATGATTGTTGAATCAGGCTAAGTGTTTAATAAAAATTGCTCTTCCCTTAGTGATTGTAGAGATGGACATCCCAACAGTTGTTCACATCCTTGTCAACACTTGGTGTTGTTAGTCTTTAGTTCTAGTTATTCTGGGGTGTGTGTATGTATGTGTCTTAGTATTTCACTGTGGTTTATATATAAGTATATGTGTATGTATCAACACACACACACACACACACACACACACGCGCGGGATATTTCCTCCTGTTCTGTGGGCTACCCTTTCTACTTTTAAAATGCTCCCCTCCACTCCTCCTCCTCCCTGGGTTTGAGCAGCCCTTTTTTGTGATGGGTTTTTTCACACAAAAACTGAACTGTTTGTCTAGGCTGGCTTTGAACTGCCATTCTCCTGATCTCTGCCTTCTGAGTAGCTGGGATTATAGATGTGAGCCACTGGTGCCTGGCTTGATGAGCAGTTTTTAATTTTGAGGAATTCCAAATTCATTTTCTTTGTCTTTTGTGCTCAGCTCTTTTGTCGTTGTCATAAAGGTTGCGCCTCTCTTCTAAAACCTTTATAGTTTCAGCGTTCACACTTACTTATGTGATCTGGGCCCAGTTGAGTTTTGCTTGTGGTGTGAATTAACGACCCTGGCTTGATTTCCACCCTCTACGCCCATGTGGTGCACACACAGATATCTAAGTGTTCCATTACCACTTTTAAAAAAGCTTGTGATTTTCTTTGGTGTGTTTACTAAAAGCCAAGTGACCCTGTATAGTCTGTCTGTCCCTGTACTTTGCTCTGTTGATCTGTTTGTCTGTCCTTACCTGGTACCATGCTAGTGTCTGTGCTGAACTCTGGTGGTGAAAGTCTTCTAACCTTGCTATTTTTCAGCAGTGTCTTGGCTTCTGTAGGTTAGATTTGATTTTTATTTTCCTTTCACCTGACCATGTGGTCACTTCATTATACAGTTAGGATACAGTTGTTATTCAGTTTTAGAACTTCCTCCCATCTTTGCTGACTTTTTTTTAGACATGTAAAATGCTTAGTGGTTCCAAGACTGAAAAGTATACCCAAGACACCTTCCTGTCTTGTCTCTGCCCAGCCCTCCCACCTGCTGCTGGTGACTTGTTTCCTTGGTTTCTGTTTCTCCCTTCTGCATTTCTTTCTGCAAAAACATGCATAGAAGTACACTCATGTATCTCTTACCTCTCTGTGTGCTTGAATACATCTGTAAACCTGTTCTTTTCTTACACTTCAGCTACCAGACTGCATCTTCTTCAGTTCTTTCTCTCCTATGTGTTGGAATCTGCTTTTTATTAGGGCTTAGCATAGCAGCCAGTATTCAGTAAGCTTAGTCTTGGCCATAGACCAGTTTGAAAAGTCAGAAGAAAGAGCAGAAATGGATCTCCAAGTTTGTCCAGATGCACACCTTCCCCAAGGAGTCTTGTCCTGCTAGCCAATGCTTCATGTGAAGCGAGTGTGCCAGCCAGTGTGCCCCACCGCTTTTAGCAAGTGTCTGTCACGCTTTCACTCAGTCTTTCCCTCTGACACAGGTGGCCCGGGAGAGTGGCCCGCCCCACATGAAGACCTTTGTGACCAGGGTTTCGGTTGGGGAGTTTGTAGGGGAAGGTGAGGGGAAGAGCAAAAAGATTTCAAAGAAGAACGCAGCCAGAGCTGTGCTGGAGGAGCTGAAGAAGCTGCCGCCTTTGCCTGCAGTGGAGCGAGTGAAGCCTAGAATCAAAAAGAAAACCAAACCCCCAGGCAAGGTGAGGGCCTTTCTGACAGAGGGTATCTCATGCATGGCCGCAGGTGCTGGGGAGGGCACTGTCCTAGGGCCATGGAGGATGGCTGACTCTTCACAGATGCCACAGAGGAGCCACAGGTTGAGGTAAGGCACAGCCACCACTTCAGTGCCCTGATGGCCACATGAGTGAGCGGAGCCTCATCTCAGGCACTGCCTGCTAGGGCTTCTGAGATGAATGAGCCATACAGCAGGGCCTTCTTCCCGGGGGCAGGGGAGCGATGGTGGACTGAATGCCACAACACTGACCTATCAAACATATTGACCCCTTCCTCATCATCAGAAAAGGGACACAATTCCACTGGGGATGCTTATGAATGCTAGGATTTTCAGTGTAGCTGCATGTTGTATCATAATCCAAAGTTCTCTTCCTTAAGCAGTAGCATTATACTCTCCTTCAGTTTCTGCATCCTAGAAGTCACTGCACACAGTGGCCACTGCACAGCACTGGACCCTTAGCTCTTCTTTACACATGCTATCAGCTTGAGGGTTTTTTTAAAAAAATGTGTTTAATGCTTTCAGGACTTGTTAGAAAAGCGGAAGGGCTGGCAGAGAGGTGTAAGTGGTAAGAGCGTTTTCCTGGCAAGCATTAGGCCCTGAGTTCAAACCCCAGTACCGCCAAAAAAACACCCAAAAAACAAAAAAACAGTAAAGCTGAGAACCCCTCATACTATAGCCAGCTTCTATCTCCATGGAGTTCCCCATCCATGAGTTCAACTAACGTTGGACTGAAAATATTTGGGGAAAAAATTTTGTGTCTGTACTGACCCTGTACAGATCTTTTTTTCCCTTGTCATTCTTCCCTAATCACTACAGTGTGACAACTTTATATAGCACTCACACTGTCATCGAGAGATGGTATACAGCCCACAAGATGCTGTGCAAACGTCCCGTGCAAAACACACCTTTTGCCTGAGGAGAGGCTGGAGCATCTGCAGACTGCTCTCTTTGGGGCATCCCAGAATAGTTCTCTGCAGACACTGTCAGGGATTTTAGAAATGGTTTTGTTTTTACTACCTTTTCATTTATGGTCCTGTGTTGAAAGTTGTTAAAAAGTAGGCATTACAATGATAAGATGATGCTTACCTATCTAGTGAAATACTGATGTTGCTTTGTTAAGACCCTAAGATCACCTCAAAGAATCATAGAGAAGCATCTTTTAATTTCAAAAAAGGTTAAGAAAAGGTCTGATTAATTTAAGTCTCACTCTTGTCTCCTATCATGTGCCATCCTGTGAATTGGCCTATTCCCCCTGTGAGTAGTGTGGCAACTGTTTCTGCGTTGCTTGTTCCTCAGTTACAGACAGGCCCTGAGTACGGCCAGGGGATGAATCCGATCAGCAGACTGGCCCAGATCCAGCAGGCCAAGAAGGAGAGGGAGCCAGAGTACACGCTCCTCATGGAGCGAGGCCTCCCGCGCCGCAGGGAGTTCGTCATACAGGTGGGTTGGTGTGGCTGTGGGTAGCCCCTCTCTGGCCACATCTGTCCCTCACTGACGTCCAGGGGCCAGGTCCATTAGCAACACTCTACCCTCAAACTGTGCCACCTTTTGTACGGTATGTGACGACTTGTCTACATGCATTCATCTGCGCACGCAGGCCAGGTGGGTCAGCAGGTAGCAATGTGGATCCATGCCAGAGTCAAGAAGAGCGTGGAAGCGATGGGATCAGGGTGACTCTTTGTTACATCTCCTGAGGGGTCTGTGGGATTGTTTTTTTCAAAAGGTAAACTTGACAAGACTGTCAGAGGACCTGTTCTGGCTCCTCCTGACCCTCATGGAGGATCGGGAATAAGAGTTGTCTCTTCCTTTTACGTTAGGGGGATCCTTCAGTTGGTATAGAGTGACTCAAGTGATAGAGCACCTGCTTAGCAAGCATGAGGCCCAGTACTGCCAAAACAACCAGGCGCCAGTGGCTCATGCCTTTAATAACTAGGTACTCAGGTGGCAGAGGTCAGGAGGATCACAGATCACAGTCAGCCTGGGACAAATAGTTCATGAGATGGTGGGGAGTGGCTCAAACAGTGAGAGTGACTGCCCAAGCCCCAGTGCCACCAAAAAAAAAAAAAAACCCTAAAAAACAATATAGTAGTCCCATCCCTTGCCCCCTACATCTGACATTTTGCTTTCCAGAATTTTAGTTTCCCACAGTTATTTAGGCCTGAAAATATTAAAGGGAAATTTCCAGAAATAAACAGTTTATAAGTTTTAAGTTGCACACCATTCTGAGTTCCGTGAGGAAGTCTGGAGCTGTAGTACTTAGTACTCTACCTCACCCAGAATGTGAGAAATTTTGTCTCACTTGGTAGCATCCTCAGCTTTCAAATGGACTGTCACAGTATTGCACTGTGTTCAGGTGATGTGGAAGGCCCAGTACGCTCCGTGATTTCGTGCATCCCTTGGGGTCTCGGAACATCCCGCAGCAGATGAAGCGGGGGCTGTTGTTTGTAACTCCTTAAAAAGAACCCTCTCTTATCCCACTGTGTTTTTTACCCAATGAGAAGGTAGGAGGAAGTTGTGGTTTGCCGAGAGGATCTGCAATTTGCCTAAGGTGGAGGTGGCTGGTTCCAGGCCTCTCCACATGCTAGGGACAGATGTCCTGGATGCTCTCGGTCTTGTGATAGGGCTTTTTGCTTTCAGCAGTCGGAAGTTGGGAGTTGGAAGGGGGTTGGAGCAAAAGCGTGCTGAAACATGTTTGACCACTTACTCTGAGGGAAGGTGGCATGGCAGGAGGCACACATACATACCTATCTGTAATAACTTGCTGATAGGATGGCTGTGCAGCACACAGCTTTCATGTAGCAGTCTTTATTGCTAATTGCACAATCTGCAGCTCAGTTGATAGCAGCTACCAGGGCTCTATTACCTCCAGCCATGCGCCTGACCGTCCAGGTGTGGACTTGGGGCTTTCATTCTAGTGGGAGTATTCATTGAGGGTTTTGTTTACATTAATAAGTAAGATGGAAATAAAACAATGAAGATGGTATAATTTTGCTCATTTGTGAATGATAGAAGTCACTTTCTCTGCTGAGTTGGATAATAATGGGCAGACGCTTCATTTTTTATACTAGTTAAATTCATGGCTGCGGACATCACATGATTTTAAGCTTAATCTGCATTAATAGTTTTTTGCACGTTACTTTTACTTTTTATTTATTTGGTGGTACTGGTGTTTGAACTTAGGTCCTCATGCTTGCTAGGCAGGTGCTCTCCCACTTGAGCCACTCCACCAGCCCTTTTTTTGTGATGGTTTTTTTTAAGAACAGGGTCTTTTGCATGCTGTTTGTCCATGCTGGCTTTGAACCATCCTCCTCCTGATCTCTGCCTCCTGAGTAGCTAGGATTACAGGTCTGAGCCACCTGTGCCTGGCACGTCCATAACTTTTAGAATTAGTAAACAACTTAATCTCTGATAGGAACGTCTTCAGATTGCTTTGGTACCATTATTCCTACCCTGGACAATTTCAAGTTGCCAGAGTGACACCTCTTCCTGCAGAGTTGGGAAGAGATGTACAGTGGCACACGCCATGTAAAACTTCCATCTCACAAATGTGGTAGTCTTGACACAGTCAACTTGGAAGAGTCTTGTGTCTGTTATAAGCTAGTTATAAGCTTATATAATCTAATGTTCAGTAGTGGCCATGTTTAACAGCCAGCTCTCCCAATTCCCAAGAATTCGCTCTTGCAGGCAGGCAGCTGTGCTCCCAACGCACCCGGTGGAGCTGCCCAACACTGCCCATGCTCGGCTTCTTTTGCTTTAGTAAAGTGCTGAAACACTGGTGTGTTGACTGCTTTACCCAGGTGAAGGTTGGGAACCACACTGCAGAAGGAACAGGCACCAACAAGAAAGTGGCCAAACGCAATGCTGCTGAGAACATGCTGGAGATCCTGGGGTTCAAAGTTCCGCAGACTCAGCCCGCTAAGCCAGCACTCAAGTCAGAGGAGAAGGTGACTGCTAGGGCTGTGGAACACGGGCATCTCCAGGGCTACACCTCAGGGCAAGGCTCAACCTTCCGGCTGTAAGGCAGCTTGCCCCTGCTTGTCCACGTGGACTGCTGTGATGTGCTCAGGAAGGGACTTCCCTGGCCAGGGGCCCCAGGCCTGGCCTGGGTTGTTGGTACTGGTCAGTGTCTTTATCCCTCCATTTGGTGGGTAATTGGGTTTGAAAGAACAAGAGATTCTGACATTGTGTTCCTAAAAAGGAGCCTGTGGCAGCCTGCTTTTGTTAACTGTAGAGCCAGCTTTGGGATTTGGGATGATGCAGTACTAGTCAGGCCAAATCTACAGCTTAGATTGGGAATTCTTTTTTCTCCTGTGAACTGAATGCCAGATGAGAATAACCCCACTGAGAGCTTACTTGTGCTGGAGGGGTAGGCAGGACCCAGCGAAAGCCTCAGCCGTCCTTCCTGTTTCTAGCCAGAGTTGTCCAATTGGGCAGGCTTGAAATTGGGACTAGTCACCTACCCCCTGCTGGGTGTATTGACAGTGAGAAAAGGCCCCAGCTGTGTCTACGGAGCTAAAGGCCAGGAGCCCACATGGTCCTCACAGTCAGCATAGATCTTGGAGTTGGCCTGTGGGTTCTTCATTCCAAGTCCTGTACAGCATCCATAGTGGCCTTTCTTTGTTGCTGCTCAGGAAGGAGACCGTGTGTCTGACAGCCTTTTTACCTCATTGCCCCAGGTGTGCTATCTCTGGAAATTAACCTAACTTCTAACTGGATGTCCGCTCAGGGACAGTTCCTGTTACATTTGACTGGCTTCAGTCTGAAAGCAGCTTCCCCCCTTGGTGGGCTCTGCCAGTCCAACATCCTCTGCCATGCTTCCCTGTCCTGAGCACAGTTAGCTCCTCACCCACAGGGCAGTGCACTGTGTCAGGGGCTCCCTGTGGTCAGGCAGGTGTGGCACAAGGCACCGGGGGGAGGGGAAAGAGGGCTCTGCCAGGGGCACACCCACTCAGGTTGGGGTGGGCTGGGACTTTCTGATGATCACTTCAGTTGGAGTTTGTAGTTGTAGAGAGTGGGAATTAAGACTTCAATGATGTGAACTGTGCTCATGGTCTTTTTTCTGTGTTAAGACACCAGTAAAGAAAGCAGGGGATGGAAGAAAAGTCACCTTCTTTGAACCTGGCTCTGGCGATGAAAATGGAACTAGTAAGTGAGACCTTAGATCACCTTCATCTGAGTGTGATTCCTGAGTGACTGAGTGCCAACGTGCAGCGTCAGTAGCTGCAGGAAGGGGTAGCATGAGGAACATGGCGGTGTGGTGTCCTGGTGTGCTGACCTATGTGTCCCTCCCCAGGCAATAAAGAGGATGAGTTCAGGATGCCTTACCTTAGCCACCAGCAGCTGCCTGCTGGCATTCTCCCCATGGTGCCCGAGGTTGCCCAAGCTGTTGGAGTCAGTCAAGGACATCACGCCAAAGATTTCACCAGGGCAGCTCCAAATCCTGCCAAGGCCACGGTAACTGCCATGATAGCCCGAGAATTGTTGTACGGGGGCACCTCGCCCACCGCCGAGACCATTTTAAAGAATAACGTCTCTTCAGGCCACGTACCCCAGGGACCTCTCACGAGACCCTCTGAACAGCTGGACTATCTTTCCCACGTCCAGGGATTCCAGGTAACTGTTAGGTGGAGCTTTGAGAGCTGTGCTCCAGTTTGGTCATCCTGGGCTCCCCTCATGACTTCACACTTTATTGTTAAGACCTGGCTCTTGGTAGTGATGTAGCTCATCAGTAGAGTGCTTTCCTAGTATGTGCAAGCTCATGAGTCCAGTGTCCAGCACTGCAGAAAAGAAAGCAGAACAAGTCTAATGCTGTCCATCCAGGGGCAAGTGGGTAGGTGGTAGTGGAAGAGTGGCCTTGGGCAGGAAGGGAGAAGGGCACCCACCAGCCTGAGGGGAAGGAAAGATTCCATGTGTTTTTATTAGCAGCATTTTCTAAGTCTAGGCAACCTAAAAACAGCCTCTGTCCACTTGGCCTTTGGGAAAGGCTGTGGTTTTGTCTAGCCTAAGACATCCTGGCTTCTGGGCCTTTGAGTAGTAGGGTGGTGGTGGTGGCTCAGCAGGTGGAAACTTCTTGCTTTGCTCTGAGCTGCTGCTCTTCTCCCCTCCCGTGCTCACAGTTTCCCTGCCCGGCCTCAATTCTCTTTTCCCCTTTAGGTTGAATACAAAGACTTCCCCAAAAACAACAAGAACGAATTCGTATCTCTTATCAATTGCTCCTCTCAGCCTCCTCTGATCAGCCATGGTATCGGCAAGGACGTGGAGTCCTGCCACGACATGGTACGTCAGCCCGTGGGTAGAGGGCCAGTGAGTCACGTAGACTGGGTGGCTGTGTACAGCATCCCCTGTCCAGCCTGCAGTCTGCCTCAGGAAGAGGGCACGGGTTTTCTGCACTCAGCTGAGTGACTTGAGGCCTCGCTGTAAGCTGTTCACCAGCTCCAGCTGCTGTCCCCTTCCCTCCCCTGCTGGCCTGAGGGTCTGCCAGACCCTGGATTGTGCAGAGGGCTCGCTCCAACTCTGACCAGCAAGGATGTGAAGGCCCACATCCTGGCAGTTGTTGAAAGCCTCTCATTTTGGTGTTCTGTTCGTAAGAAATTATTAAACCCTAAAACTTAGACAAGAAATAAACAAGTCCAGACTATGACTCACTCATTAACTTGATGGAGTTAATGTCTCTGGACTTCACGTAATAACAAGAAGAATTCGTGGTAGGTTTTTTTGTTTTGGTTTTTTTTGGTATTTGGGTTTGAATTTAGGGTCTTGTGCCTGCCAGGAAGGTGCTCTATCACTTGAGTCATGTTGCCAGCCCTTTATGCTTTAGTTATTTTGCAGGTAGGTTCAGAGGCTGACCCTGGCTTCCCCTGTAGCTGGTGGTGTGCACCATCATATCAGGCTTACTGATTGAGATGGGGTCTCACTTTTTTGCCAGGACTGGTCAAACCATGAGCCTCCCAATCTCTGCTGCTCAAGTTTTGGGATTACAGGCACAAGCCACTGTGCCAGTCATGATAGGTTTTTGTTTGAAAGCAAAATAGGACATCTGTACTGTGGCTACTAAAGTGAAAAATACTAAAAGGAAATACATGATAAAATTAATGGGGGTGGTAACTCAGTGAAGTGACTGTGGACAATTGGTTTTTACCTTAAATTTCGGTTTTAGTATATGTGCTGCTGAAATGACCACTGTATTTTAAATCACAAATTCAAACACATGGGAACCGCTTTGCTCGGTGGCCAGAATCCCTGCTGTGGTTTTACTTCTCTTTCCTTCCCACTAGGCTGCTCTGAATATTTTAAAGTTGCTGTCTGAGTTGGACCAACAAAGTACAGAGATGCCAAGAACGGGCAGCGGGCCAGCGTCACTGTGAGTGAGGGACTCACGGAGGGTGAGCGCCACCTCTTTGGCTCATGTCCACTCTCTGCCACCTCTGGGAGCACCTGCCACAGTCGCCTCTTCTGAGGGCCCCACATTTTCTAGGCAGAGCTCCACTTGTTTCTCTTAGATATAACTTTGAATAAAGCATTCACATGGCTCAAAACTGAGTTATTTTTAAAGGTACACAGTGACACATCAGAGTCCCAGCCTCCCTTCAAGGGTCACATATTTTATTCGCTTCTTGTGTATCTTTCTTTTATATTTCTTCATCAAACATAAACACAACATTTTCTTGATTTCTTTCTTTTCCTGAGTTAGCAGTGCACACACGTCCTCCTCCTCACTTATTTCCATGCACAGTGTGACCTTGGGTGACACTTGTCTGCAGTGAGCAAAGTGGGGACTCTGCTACTGTACTTCTCAATGTTTGGTTCTTCTCTCTCTTTTTTTTTTTTTTTGGGTGGTGCTGGGGTTTGAACTCAGGGTATTGCGCTCGGTGCCCTTGAGCCACACATCCTGTTCTGTTCATTCATCTTAACCTTAGTTTAAAGTGCTCTTTTCATTTCAAAACTGGTGTCATTTTTGTTTTCATTTCCTTAAAGGTGTGGGAGGCGCTGAGTCTTGTCTGACCATGACCGTTATAAAATCCCAACATACATACTGAAAATGCTGAAAACTGCTTTGAACATTGGAATTTCTGATACCTCCAGTGGGCTGAGACGTGGTGGGCACACGTGGGCAACAAGAATGAAGACGACGGAGGCCACCACACCGCTCTACAAACCTCTGTCCCCCATAGGAACAGCTGTCGGTGGGGGAGGGGTCGGCCCAGCAGTTCTGGGCTGTAGGGACCTGTGTTCTTGATTTTTTTTTTTTATTTCCCCCTGTGTGAGGAAAGAAAAAGCATGACTCCTCCTCCTGCTGGCTCATTCAGATACTTGGGACAACCCTGGACAGCAATGCCAGAGGGAGGCCTGCCTTCGACTGGCCCCAGCGCTGAAAATAACAGAGGAAGTCAAATACTTGCTACTTAGTGTGACCCAGCTCACCTGGTCCCCACGCCTGCCCACCGCTTTCTCTCCCAACAGTGATGCCTACTCTTAGTTTCCTTATTTCCTTTAATTGATACAACACTATATAAACTTTTCATTTGAGACTTTCTCAATTGTATCTAGTTATATAGCACCACTTAGAAACGTGTCCGAGACTGACGTTATCAGTAGTCTAACCGGCGAAGATCACAACCTGTGTGTGTGGTTATGCATTTTTATTTTGTCAGACTAACCCAGGACCATGTTGTGATGCTAACTGCGTGCCCTCTGGTTTAGCTGGAACAGTCCCGGACTTCTTTCTCAGAGTCCTTGGTGAAGTCTCCCACCGTGTATAAATTGGACAACTTAGGAATTTTAAACTCTAGATGATCATTTGGTCCTTTTCTATTTTATTTTTGTTAATGCAACAGGACTTAAACAAATGAACTTTGATCTTTGTTTTAAGATGATTATAAAAATTGTGTCTGTCCATACGGCTCTTGAGGAGGAAGCTGCCACGCTACAGGACGGATATGCTGGCCGTGCTGTGAGCTGCAGGCTTTTACCTGTGTGCTCCACACTGTCTACCACGTCCCGTGCATGGAGGGCGACTGCTGTGTGAGCTGTGTCGCTCTGGTAGTGTGCTCTTGTATGCAGATGTGTGCGCGAGGTGAGGAGCACAGCAGGCAGCCTTGGAGTTCAGTACTGCTGCCACTCACTGTTTACGCTGGAATGTAAGTAAAACTTAGTGTTTGTCACCAATAAATGGTAATACTAAATTTTTTTGTTAATTTATTTTCCAGTGCCACTACTGCTAAGGTCGATCCCATTCCAACTTGTCCCTTCCCATTTTTTAAAAGACAAAATTTGTATTGCTTGTGATTCCATCTGGGCAAAAATCTGAAGATCTGAAATAACTTTATATCAAACCATTGATCAATAAACACTACTAATGAATTTTTGGATCCTTTCGAGCAGTAACTAAAGATAAAAGGGATGATGTGAGTGAGGATGTGGGGGACTGGGCCAGCTCAGGACAGATGGCTCACTGCCGACACGGGAGGGCATGGCAGCCACTGCAGGGAGATGCCCTGGCCTGGCTGACAATGGCTGTTGAGGAACTCTCTCTGCAGACATGGCCAGAGTGACCAGAAGGGAAGGACGGTGAAGGTTGTGGAATATTTCAGGGATAAAAGCCGAGAGGAGAAGGCACATACAACAAAGCCTTGTGGGCCGGTGACACACACACAGGTGCTCCTGCAGGCGCGTGCCTCTTGGAGGAATGCGAGTGGGTGGCCCGACTGGACACACTGTTGTACCTGGTACTGCACTGACCAAGTGATTTGGTCACTTTTTCACTAGTTACAGTGAGAAAAATTAATAGTTGCACTCTGGTCTTGGTGGTGGTGGTGGCAGGAGGGGACATGACACCGACCGGTTTCACAGCATTGCACCTGGTACGGAGCTTGTGTGCCAACTTCACAGGGCTGGTGTCTCAGAATTAGCTCTTCCTCCCTGTAAGATGGGGACAGTCAGAGCACGCGCTCAACTGCTCACTAACACCATATCTGGGAGTTTTCTTTGTAGTGTTTTAGGAAAAAAATGACCATTTATAAAGAATCCATGAAGTTTTTCATTCCTATCTTTGCATGTTAAACATTGCAATCTAGCCTTTCCTTAACTTTTTTTTTTTTTTTATTATTCATATGTGCATACAAGGCTTGGGTCATTTCTCCCCCCTGCCCCCACCCCTTTTTCCTTAACTTTCAAGAATTTGTTTTGTTCCAGCTACTTGGGAGGCAGGGATTGGGAAGATTAGAGTTTGAGGCCAGCCCTGGCAAAAATGAGATCCTTTTGGAAAATAAGTAAAGCAAAAAGGGCTGGGGCCTGGCACTAGTGATAGAGTGCCTGCCTAGCAGCATGAGGCTCTGAGTTCAAACCCCAGTACTGCCCCTCACCCCCCAAAAAACTGCATCTCAAACAGAAAAGTTTGGTCTTGCTGGAATTGACTGTCCGTTCTTTCTTGCCCGTGCTCTTGCTGCTCTCCTCGAAACTTGGCTATTCCGCCAAGTCAGGAAGGCAACGCCTCATCCGCTCCATGGCTCCATGTAGGTCCGGCCAGCTGCCCCAGCAGTGAGTGGCGCTCCTTCTCGGTCACTGAGCTGTGGAGAAGCAGGCCTTGCCTATCCCGTGGGAGGAAAGGTGTTGGCCTCTCTGCGTGTCTGGCCCCCCAGGTCTCGCTGACACTAACCAGACTTGGGGGTAGCCCTTTCTTGGCAGGACAGCAACAGAAATGACACTGGGCTCTTGACACAGTTGTTTGTTAACATTGGCCATTGGCTGTCATAGAGGAACCACGCCTCCCCTCAGCAGTGTAGGCACGGAGGATTTTGTAGGGAGTTTTCTCAGGGCATGTGGCCAGCGGTTCTTCCCCGGGGGCCACCCTATGTCCTTGTCTTCTATGACAACTCCCACCTGAGCCCAGCACTGCCATGGTGAGCCTGCATTCACAGCCCGTGGGCGGAATGCCAGTAAGCAGTGAGCTCTTCTGCTAACGGACTCTGCTTTGTGGAGTGGTGTAACCCATTGCAGTCATTTCTTTTGATGTTTAAATTGTCCCAAATTTGGCCACCAGAAGACTTCAAGGTGGCTCTTGTGCCTTTTTGGCATGTCCTCTGGTTTTTGGTTTGTTTTCAGACAGGGTCTCGCTCTGTAACTCAGGCTGGCCCTGAGATCACAATCCTTTTACTGTGGCCTCCTGAGTGGTGGGATTACAGGTGTTCAATACCACGCCCACCGTATCTTCATCTTTTTAAAAAATTCCTTCCTACTGTGGTAAAATATACATAAGAAACTCATCCTCTTAATCATTTTTAAGTTCAGTGGCCTCTCCAGAGCCTGTAGCCACCATTGCTATTCTTCTCCAGAACTTCTGTCTTACAAACCTGATGAAACTGAAACCCACTGTACAGTGAGCTTATTTCCCTCCCGGCCCCTGGTGACCACCATTCTACTTCCTGTTTCTGATTGTGACAACTGTAACTACCTCGTGTGTGTTGTGCCATGGTTTTGTGTGACTTGGTCCCTCATCCACGTTCTCAGGGTGAAGTCCACGTGTGGACATGCTGCGTTTTGCGTGTCCATCCTGTCAGAGGACGCGTGCCTTGCTCCCATGTTCAGCTACTGTGAATGGCATTGCTGGCAGCATGGTGTGCACGCTGGTCCGAGACTTTGCAGTTCTTTTGAGAAGCCACAGTGCTATTTCCATAACAACTGTTCCAGTTTAACACTTGGTGGGAATGTTCCAGGTTTTGTGGGTTTTTTGGTATGGGGGAGAGGGTGGTGCAGGAGTTTGAACTCAGGGTCTACAACTAGAGTCACTCCACCAGCCTTTTTTTGTGACGAGCTTTTTTGAGATAGGTTTTTGAACTCTGATCCTCCTGATCGCTGCCTCTGGAGTAGCTAGGATTACATGCATGAGACACCAGTACCCAGCTTTTTTTTTTTTTTTCTTGGCAGCTGTTTTTTTTATGCAAGAAATTTTGTAATATTTATGAAGTCCAATGAAGAAGTTGTGCCTTTAGTGTCACACCTAAGAAATTCTTGTCAAATCCAATGTACCGAAGTGTTTGCTTCCTTCTGAGTTTTGTGTCTTGAGTTTCTGTTTTGGATCAATTGTAATTATTGCACGTGTTGTCAGTGAGGGCCTAACTGCGTCACATGCAGGTATTTCTCCAGCACCATTGTTGAAGACTGCCACTTCCCCATTGCAGTCTTCACACCCTCAGCAGTCGTTCGTGCACACGGGCACTCTAGTCTGTTCTGTTGGTTTGTTTGTCTTTGTGGCAGCACCTCCAGTTTTAAGTACTGTAGCTTTGTAGTTAAGCTTTGAAATCAGGACACGAGTCCTTTTCAGGATTGTCTTTGGCTGTTCAGGGTCCTTCCATGCTCTATGTGAATTTGAAGATGTTTCTGCAAAAGCCATCCGCTGTCCCTGTCATTTTGTGTGTGCACAGGTTTATCTTTTCCTGGATTTAGACGCTTCTCCACGGTGCTAGTGCCTCGTGGTGGCCGGCAGTCCGAGTGCTTATTGCTACTGAGGTGTTTCTGTGTCTAGGCCTCTGAGAGCCAGCCAGGGACTCTGCGCTATAGGCACGTGTGCACATCTGTTTTGATTTGATTCATGTATACTTATTATCCTGACACCTCCAGCACCTTAGGGTACTTTGTAGCCAGCTCAGCACAGGCAGTTTTTATGCACAGAGATGATGTTTTTTCTTTCTCAGTTTGTCCTTGTCTCATCCTCCCTATTTTTTTCCCTGAATTGTTTTAACGCCACCCTTAACTGTACAACTCCATTTGAAAACACTTCCACAATGGCCGGCTGGTGTTTTGGGCTTTTTTTTTTTTTTTGTGACACTGGAGTTTGAGCTCAGGTCTTCTCACTTGCAAGGCAGATGCTCTCTCTGTTAAGCCACAACTTTAGCCCTTCTTGTTTCAAGTTTCCCACCCCACATAGGATGATGGGCGCAGGCCGCCACGCCCAGCTTTTTTTGTTGAGATGGGCGGGGTCATCATCTTTTTGCCAGGGCTGAACTGGACCACCAGCCTCCTAGTCTCAACCTCCTGCAGAGCTGTGATGTACCACTGTGCACAGCTGTTGGTTGAGATGGGTCTCCTGAACATTTTGCCTGATTCTCCCAATCTTTGCCTCCCAAGTAGCTAGGATTACTGGCACGAGCCACCAGTGCACTGCTGTTTTTCCTCAAGGGCCTGAATAAGTCAGAGGAATGTGCACTGCAGCTCTCAGAAAACCAGCATCACTCTGTTAGGATTCTGCCTTTGTCTGGATCCCAGGGTCAGATAGGTTGGATAGGAGGGGCTGCTGGCTCTTCCCAGAAGCTGGATGCTGCTGCTTAGTCTGCAGCCCCTAACAGCAACTCCGTGCACTGTGAGCATTCAGCAAACAAACCTGAGGCCAGAGACATGTGGCATTATTTTATGAGTAACAGCAGTGTAGGAGCTTACTACTCCCATGTGTGCTTTAAGGGCTTAAATGAGACAAAAACTTATTTGAAATTTCCAAGTCCATAAATAATGTATTTGTTAAGCACCTAAATGCTGCTAGATTGGCAGCCAGAGAAGACTGCCAATTTTAACTAGGCTTTGGACAGAGACATTCTTTTAAGAAGCAGATAGCTAGGACATGGCATGGCTCAAGTCATAGGGCACCTGCCTAGCAGCACAGGGCCCTGAGTTCAAAGCCCTGTTCTGCCCAGAACAAAAAGATGCAACAGGTAACTAGGTAGGGTGTGGGGGTTTGTCGAAGCAGCACAGCCATTTTCTTCCAATTCCTTTGCTACTTTGTGCACTTATACTAGTGTTTATTGTGTATGTACAAAGTCTATAAACACAGAATGTACACGTGAAACTAATATTTAAAACCGTATCTTAAGTATGTCTTTGTAATTTGATTAGCATCCTAATATTTATGTGAGCAAAAATCGTAATTTAGGAAATCTGTACTGCTTTGTTATGTGCTAATTATCACCCCAAGTTTCATGTTTTAAAAATGCTTTCTTTGGGCCAGACTCTGTGTCTACTTGGGAGGCAGAGACAGGCCAACTGCAATCTGAGGCCAGCCCAGGCAAAAAGTTTGAGAGACCCCAGTCAACCACTTAAAAAAATATCCCAGCTGCACGTGAAGTGTAACTAGGGCTGTGGTCCCAGCTGCTGGAGCGGCTCAAGCGGTAGTGTGCCTGCCTGGCAAGCACGAGGGCGCCTTCAAACCCCAGTACTGAAAAAAAAACCCCACCTTCCTTTGTATATTCTTTCCTAGTCACTGAAAGCTACTTTGACTTAAACACCCAGGAGAACTGCAGTGGTGACAATAAAACTGCGCTCTCCAGGTGGCCTATGAGGGTGTGGAGGTAGTGGCTCCAGTGGCAGAGCACTTGTGTAGCAAATGAGAAGTCTACAACACTACAAAAAAGTAACCGAAGAATTTGGAAGTCACCTGCAGCTGTCTCCAGACACAGCTGCAGTCTTACTTTGTCTTCCACGCCAACCCACATGGCTGTGTCAGTCCACACATGTGATGCACCCACGCTGGCCTCTGCACCTGACGCGTGGTCAGGTGTGCTTGCTTGGCTGTTGTCCCCAGATCTTAGTGAGGTGCGGGCAGGAGCAGGTGACAGCCCCTCCATGAGTTGGCTAGAGTGGCCCTGCTCATGAATCTCCCATTCCTGAGACGTGACTTCTGAGCTAGGTGGATTGGCAGATGCTGGCGACGTGGAACCAGGGCAGAATTCCTCTGGGGTCTGGCTGGTGTCTGTACCCACTGCTCAGCACACGGTCTATAGACTGCTGGAAATGTGCTGCGTTTTAGGAACGTAGGTCCGGAAATTCTCTGGACCCTCCCTAGCAAGTTATTTTCTTGGCTCCTTTACAGACAAGAACGAGGTAAACGTGAAGACTGAATCAGACTTCCGCTAAGAACACTGACATGCTCCTGACCTTCCACAGCCCAGGGACCACACTGATTTTTGGCCCACAGGGGCCCCTGGTACCAGGGTGAGCAGTGGTGCCCAGTCCCACGGACCTTAACTTCGGCAGCTGGTGTTTTGTTCACCGAGTGAAACCAAAGGTGTTAATTTCAAATGTGCCACACACACAACTTTCATAATTTTTACTGCTCTCTTTGAAAAAGTTAAAGCCAGGCATGGTGAATCCCAGCTGGGTTGGTGGAGACAGGAGGATGGAGAGTTCAAGCTCAACCCCCCACCCCTGAAAAAGAAAATAATCTGCTTTTCCTCAGCTTTATTCAACTTGAGTGTACAAGCGTCACCTTGGCAACAGGTTGGGGAGGGCCAGTGTCCTCAGCACCAGCACCTGGAGGGTCAAGAGTTTTCTCTAATACAAGCCATACAGCCATGAATGCCCGGCTCCTCTGGGCGGCAGCACCAGCCCGTGCACTCTGTTCTGCACCCGGCTGAGTGGAGGGCAGCGCTGGCATTTGAATGCCGTGTGCCTTAGCTGGCTCTGCAGCGCTGCGGCCCAAGCCTGTGGGGAGGACCAGGGGCTTGTGGCAGGCACATCATGTCTCTGATTCCTTGAGGCTGCAATGTTGAGAAGTGGCCTGGTTCACTGTCTCCAGCCCCACCCCCTCAACCCCCTGCACCAGCCAGGATGCACAGGCCCTGGTCCTCTTTTCTGCTGCAGCCAGAGGTCTCTGTCAAGGGGAGGAGGTGGTCTTCACGTGGGGCTGTTGGCCTCCTGAGACACCCAGTCCTGCTTTGGGGGGGGGGTGAGGGTGCCGGCCCCACTTGGAGAGAAAGCCCAGGCTGCTTGTAAGATGGCAGTTTTTCCAGTGCAAGGTAAAGGACCACCCCCAGTTTCTGTTTCCCCAGGGTCTCTCCACCTCCCCCGTCATGTGTACTCTTGCCATGGATTGTGCTCTCACCTGCCGTGTTTCTCACATTGTCCAGTTTGAAAAGGAAAGCCCAGAAATTGGGCCAATGACTTCAAATAGTTTATGGTGTCATCCCTACCACAGTGAGGATTTTTTGTTTTTAGTAGCACTGGGGTTTTAACTCCCAGTCTTGTGCTTGTTAGGCAGGTGCTATACTGCTTGAGCCTTGACTCCAGCCCTTTTTGGTTTTATTTTTCAAATAGGGTCTCATACTTCTTACCAGGGGCCAGCTGGACCTTAGTCCTCATGCCTGTTTTGCTAACTTTTTGCCCAGCTGACCTCAAACCACAATTCTCTCAATCAGCTACTGTGAGCATTTAAAACTTAGCCTTCCCTCCGTGCAGCAGCACCCTCAGAGAACACAGGGGAGGAGCTGTTCAGGGCAGGGCCTGTGTTCCTTATTATCACAGATGTTCTTACCGCACTCAGAGAGGCTACTGGAAATTGCTTCTCGAGTTATGTTTGTATGTTTTGATGGTAATGGGGTTTGAACTCAGGGCCTCATGCTTGCTGGGCTGGCGCTCTACCACTTTGAGCCATTCCACCAGCTAGTGCTTCTCAAGTTACTTTCAAAATCCATGAAGCATCCTTGCCCTATCAGAGGGCAGTCCCGAACACAGCAGGTGGACTGTAAGGACATCTTCCCCTGTGCAGTCTCACCTGACCTGCCATTTCTCAAGGACAACAGAAGTTAGGCCGCAGAGGAAATACTCAGCTTCTATGAAACGGAATGAATGTTCAAGTCCAGTAGGCCAGACAGACTGTGCCCGGCACGGGGCTCCTGTGAACAAAGCAAGACGATGCCACAGCACCACGAAACACTTAGCAAAGTGCCTGGTGATCCCACCCACAACTGATGGCCTCTAACTTCTGCCATGCAACAGCATAACGGCTAAGCCAGGCTGCTGGGCCTCCATCCTACCTCCAGGTAAGTTTCTGTACCTTGGGAATAAGGGTATAAAGCTGCTAGATTCTCAAACCAAAGAAACCACTTAAAACCAAACGGGCAGAGTGGCTCAAGTGGTAGAGCACCTGCCTAGCAAGTGTGAGGCCCCGAGCTCAAACCCCAGTGCTGCCAAAAAACAAAAAAAACCCAAGAAACACCGCGTTCCTCCCCTCTCCCACACTCAATGAAAACCTAACCAAACAACAAAACTAAGAGGCAAAAGCAAACAGTGAAGAAAAGCAAAGCCATATCATATTCAGGTTTCAGACTGGAGCTCGGATATTTGTACCCTACCAAGAGCTTCCCTGAAAAAGCAAGAAGGAAGAGCACTAGCAACTCCCAGCAGGAAAGTGGGTGATGGAGCAAAACCCAGGACCCAGGACACATCGGCTAAGATGGGAACAAGGGTGGGAATCCATCCGCCCATGGGGAGCGGGAGGGGGAGACTCAAACGGGAGCCCAGCGGACAGCCTGGGGACCACAGGTGCCTGCAGGAGCCAGTGAGCCAAACAAGGAAGATCCTGTGGGGAGAGGAAGGTACAGCATAGGACAGGATGAAGAGGAAGCTCACCTGAGCATCTGACAGACTATGAGGAGAAACTCAACGCACTGGAACTTGACCTTGAAGACATGTTTTTAATAGCAGTGCTGGAATGCAGGGCTTGCACATGCTGGGCGCACACTCTGCCACTAAGTACAGCCGCAGTCCTTAGGACTCTGGGGGCTGTTAGAAGTCAATACATGGGATCCGAGAAGCGTGACCTTTGCACACAGCCCAGCTCAGCCCATGCCGGCACCGTAAGCACTGTCTTGAGGTGGGAAGTGAGGGAAAGCTGAGGTGGAGGGTGGGAGGGGATTCAAGACACAGGCCTGGTGATGAGATAATGCTGGTACTGAAAAACAAAAGCAATCACACAAGCGTAATCCGCCACGAGGACTGAATCCTCCCTTTTTGTGGCAGGACGTTCCGATGGCTCGGGGTTATGACAAGAATGACAGTGCAGTGAAGGACTAAGGAGAAACCGCAGGGAGGAGCAAAGGCAGCATGGGTGGAAAACTGCCTCCAAGAGGGGTAAAGGGGAGGACTATTGGAACTATCAGCAACTGGCCTTTTAGAATTTTACCATATGCATGGAATAGTTTGATTAAATGACAAGCTGATTATGCCTTGTGAATAAAGAAATGAATTATCATATTCACTTATCAAAACAGTAATGAAAGAACACAGTGTGCGCAGGGAGCACTATAGAAACTGCCACGGTCTTCGTACAGGACAATGGGCCCAGGAACCCCACCTTCAGGAAATAAACAGACTAGATGTAGAAGGGTGTCCATCTTGACTTGTTTATAAAATAAAATTGCTGTAAGTTATAATATGGTGATGATACATTAAATAATAACGCACATGCCCACTGGTAATTGTGTTTACCAAGCAAATGGTGAATGTTGAAAAGTTAAAAAAAACACAGGAAACTGTATATACAAAATGCTATCAACTTTGTTTAAAGGGAGAAAAATGAACCAAGGTATTTTAAGTAGGCAGAAATATAATTTTTAAATGCTATTCTGTATTTCCCAAGTTAAAAAAAATATTTAAAATAAAAACAAGTTCTTTTCAAAAAACTGTGAGATGGTCAGGAGCCAGACACTGATGGCTCACACCTATAATCCTAGCTACTCAGGAGGCAGAGATCAGGAGGCTTGCAGCTTGAAGCCAGCCTGGGCAAGTAGTTTGCGAGATCCTATCTTGAAAAAAAAAACCATCACAAAAAAGGGCTGGTGGAATGGCTCAAGGTGAAGGCCCTGAGTTCAAACTCTCAGTATCAAAAACAAAACAAAACAGAAAGAAATGGCTCAATTTTCTGGACGCAAGAAAGAAAATCTGAGCTGTGAGCTGTCTCTGGACCCGTGGTCACTGTTATACCCGAGCTGCCCTGCTCACAGCACCTCCAGAAGGGCAAAGCCATCACCAATGCCCTGCCTTCTTTCCCCACACTTTTCACACTTGTGAAAAGAAATTCTGTACTTCAAAAATAGATTCCCAGTCCTTCCACCATAGTAGCCAAAGTAGTAGTGTAAAATTTAGTGTTTGTTTCCATTACTGTGTCAAAACCAACAGATGCAAGAAAACCTAAAAAATACGGCAGAAATACACTGGGGGCTGCTTGAAATTTCTCAAGCAACATTACAAAAATGTGAAAGTGAAAGCATTCAAGTCAGGTGCCCGAGATTAACAACAACAACAACAAGACATCAAGTCTAGAGCTGGTGACTCACTCCTGTAATACTAGCTACTTGGGGGGCTGAGATCTGGAAGATCATGGCTCCAGGCCAGCTTGGGCAGGGAGTTCAGGAGACCCCCATTTCCCCATCAGGGAGTGCAGGAGCTCTTGCCTATCATCCCAAACTACGCTGTGGACTGAGATCAGGGAGGATCAGGGTTCAGGCTAGCCTGGGCAAAGTTTCTAAGACCCCAACTCAACAGAAAAAAGCTAGGCATGGGGGTGCACACTTGTCACCTCAGTTAGTGAGAAACTTAAAATATGAGGGTCATGATCCAGGCCAGTCTGGACAAAAAGCAAGACCCCATCTCCAAAATAACCAGATCAAAAAGGATTACGAGTGTGGCTCAAGCAGTAGAGCACCTGCCTTGCAAGTGTTCAAACTCCAACATAGCCACCCCAAAAAACAAGTAACTTCTGAGAGAAATCACTTAACCTGTGTATAGAGGTTCCAGTTTAACTACAATCAACAATTAACAATTCTGCGCACACTCCTGAGGTCTCTCCCCAGGTACCACGTCTGAAGCACCTCACACAGCCCCAGTAAGGTGCACAGCATTTCTCCCACAGCGAGACACTCCCAACCCGGAACTGCTACAGAAGGCTCTAGAACACAAACTCCAAATCTGTACTTAAGTCTGCCTCCCCTTGTGAAAAAAAAAAAAGAGACTAAACTGAGTTTTAATGACTTAGAAATTAGGATTTTATAGAGTCCAGAGGGAAAAGGGAGTTAAAGAAATTCTTCATTTTTATAAAAGCATCAGAGAATACTGAAAACCTGTCCTTCAGATGTTCTTAGATCAGTATTTTAGGAATTCTTTATTGCTGATCACAGACTTAACCTACGCTCCGTGCATTGCTCAGCAGTTACACCCATGATTCCTTTCTTTTTTTCACATTTTCAATAAAAGCTTAAAAAACAGACAAAAACTACAAAGGATGAGAAATATGAACAACAACAGCTTTAAAACAAAAGGATTTAGTAACTGAAAGAAGTCTCCACAGTCAGAATCCATCAAAAATTTAAAATTATACAAACCGTGCAAATGCTCAAATCAGTGTCACACGTTGTACTGTTAATACTTGTCCCCTGAAGTTGTAAACTAGAAGTCACCCACGTGTATTTATGATCACACAAATCACCTAATTTGCTCAAGGTTCAACTTAAATCGACATTTAATATACTTTACAAGATGGACTTTGTGACAAGTTCAAAAGGAACACTGGCTTTTTCTGAACGCTGCTGTGCTCAGAAGTCTACGTGATTCCTCAGAACCATCCTGGGCTCAGCCACTTAGGGAAACATAGGTCACAGCAGTGTCACACTGGCTGCCTGGAGGTATCCTTGGAGATACTGGAGGGCTTCTGCGTTGAGGCTGGTGCTCACCATGGATGGAACCTACAGGACACGGGAACCACACAAGCGCTGTTGATGGGGCTCTATGTTGACACAAACCCCAGCTTCTATAGGAACTGCCATGCATGGGGAAGGGTAACTAGTCACTGATCACTATCTAAAGACTATGGAATTCCAAGTTACTCAACTTCTTTTAAACCCTCAAAAATGGCTTGGTCTAGACTGGGTACAGCCTGTAATCTAAGCTACTAGGGAGGCAGAGATTGGCAGGTTTGTGGTTCAAGTCCAGTCTGGGCAAAAAGTTCAAGAGACCCTGTCTCACACAATATGGTGGTGTGCACCTATCATCCCAGTTATGTGGGAAGCATAAATAGGGACCATAGCCCAGACTGGCCTGGGCAAAAAGTGAGACCCTATCCCAAAAATAAGAAAAACAAGAAGGTCTAGAGGTGTAACTCAAGTGGTAGAGCACCTGCCTTTCAGGTGTGAAGTCCTGAGTTCAAACCCCAGTATCAAAAAAGAAAAAAAGTAGGTTCATAGCCAGGTACCAGTAGCTTACTCCTAGCTACCTGAGAAGATTGTGTCTGGCTTGAGGTCAGCCAGGGAAAATAGGGTGCAAGACCCCATCTCCAAAATAACCAGAGAAAAATGGACTGGAGGTGTGGCTCAAGTAGTAGAGCGCCTGCTTTGTAAACATGGAGCCCTGAGTTCAAAGCCCTAGTCTTAACAAAAAAGTTCATTAAGGAATTATTGTTAAGTGGTGATAGGCCTTGGTGAGAAAGGCATAATGAAGTACTTAACAGGTGAAATATTATGTCTAAGACAAAAAAAAAAGAACAAAACATCAAAACATTGGTGAGTACTGAAGATGGAGACACCAGGGTTTGTTACCTTTTTTTTTTTTGCAGTACTGGGGTTTGAACTCAGGGCTTCACACTTTCACACTTACTAGGCAGGAGCTCTACCACTTGAGCCACTCCGCCAATCCTGTTATGCTGTTTCTATACATGTTTGAAATTGTCCATAATAAAAAAATAAAGGATATAAATCCTACCAGATAGTATATAAGATTCTATCAAAGGTGATGGCCAAATGCAATTTGTCTCTACTCCTGAAACAATTCCCTTAACACAAGGGACTCATCCTTTCAAGAAAATCAGGCTTACCTACTCAGTGGGAAGTGGTGTGACTATGCTGACCAGCGTAAAAAGAGCAGCTGCTATCTGCCCTCTCGGCTGCGCAGTAAGACTCCACCAATCACAACTCCATGACAACAAAGCTACTTACCCTCCCTGGACAGGCAGTTGACAGTTTGTGAAGTGACTGTGCCAGGTGAATTTTGGGATTGTTCACCATCTGACCTACAGGGTCATGCTCTTTTTTCCCAGCAAATGCTAACTGTGAGAAGGCAGTCTGGTATCCTGGCGTGTCCTCTATGTCAATAAAATGCTCTTCATCAGGAATGGTGTCATCTTCGGGTAACTCAAAAAGACCAATCAGTGACTGTAATAAAGGAGTCCTGGATTGGAAGAAAGCAAGAGATAAATGCTTAGTGAAGTACTTTGAAGGTTCAAACAAAGGCAACAATTTCTCAGAGAAATGAGCAGGAAGGGGTATCTGAAATCAAGATGGTCATCAGTGCTTATGCCTGTCCAGACACCATTTGGTACAGCTCTCCAATTTGTTTTTGGAAACCACTCCCTATCAAGCCAGATGAGTTTAGTTCAAGGAGATAAGCCCCAGCTGCCAGATCACTTTAAGGAAGAAACTGCCTGAGTGGAACCAAAAAGGAGGAAAGGAGAGGCAAGAGGTAATGAAAAGGGAGCCCTTTAAAGACTGAGTGTGGACACAGAAGAACCTTTCCTAGCCCATTTAGGTCCTCCTCTTAAAGATGTACCTGCCAGTTTAGCTGGGCTTCTGTTTTACTTAAGACTATCATAAAACAGTCCTAAGGATCATCTCTGGATCGGGCTCTCAGGGTCCATGAACCCCCTCCCCCACCCCAATTAAGAACTTGAAAATAGCAACTTCCTAGGCCCAGAAAGATCAGGAGCTGAATTTGGGATGTGATGGCTGCTAGTGGAAAAACCGAGATCAGAGCCCAATTCTCTCAGCCCACAGCAGAGTAAGCTGGGTTCACTTTGTGGTCATGGAATACCTACCACAGTTTAGTGTATTCAGTGTCCATCATTGGGGGGCACTCTGTGAGCAATTTGGTTATGCCAACTGCACAGATCTTTTTCTCTACATTTCCAGAGACTTTCTGAATTTCAGGAATAATGATTTTTTCCAAAACCATTCCAAACATTCTATTAAAACAAAATAAATCCCAACAATATGAAATTAGATAACTACTATAAACAGTAAAATGCTTAGAAGTTACTCTTATGAATGGAATAAATAAAAGGATGCTTTGCTGGTCAGGTTAAGTAAGAGACCTAGAAATGAGAAAACAAGCAAAAAAGCTGCATCAAATCAAACTCTACCAGAGCCAACGGCCACCATGTGCTGAGGACACACCCAACGTCACTGTTGGCCTATACTGCGGGAGAATCCTTGCATTTTTCTTTTTGGGTTGGGGGGAGGGAGTTGTCCGTTTTAAAAAAGAAATTTCTTGAAAAACTAGAGAACAGATAGGAAGAAAGCAAACAAAACACTCGTCCCCATGTCTGGCAATAACTAGTCTTTAAACATTTATGGACTATAAACTTTCCACCTTTCTTCACTTACATACCTGCAAGTATGTAATGACAGCTGATCTGAACATTTGGGACCTGATTCAGAAACAGGGACCTAAATTTCCCCCAAAAATATTATCCCCGAGGAGTTGTCCTCTACTCTTTTCTATGAGCCTTCCATTCCCCACTAATGGGAAATGCCACCTAAACACATTCTTTGCATACACACTAGCTAAGGCAAAAGCAAAGTTTCATTGGCCCCCAACTTTCTCATTTGTAAACTCTTACTGTTGGCCATTAATAATAAAGTCAGGCTCCCGGAGACCACGCTGATGACCTAACGTAACACAGGACACTGTCATGGAGAGAAGGCCAAAGGTGGACTAACTTTGGGAATAAGAAAATGAACACAGGATTTTTCTGTACAACTCTACACCTAAGAATATTTTGAGAACTGCAAAGACAGTAACCCCAAACTAAGAACCATATAATCACCGTGAAACAGAAACACTTGGTTTACACAAAAAGGTCAAATCACTTTCTTCTTTTTTAAAATAAAATGTGAGTCAGATGCCAGTGGCTCACACCTATAATCCTCGATACTGGGGAGGCAGAGATCAGGAGGATGGTGGTTTGAAGCCAACCCAGGCAAATAGTTTGAGGGACCCTATCTCGAAAACTCCCTTCACAAAAAAAGGGCTGGTGGAGTGGCTCAAGGTGAAGGCCCTGAATTCAAACCCCAGTACCGCAAATAAATAAATAAAATAAAATGTAACAGTACAATAAAAGGCAAACTTACTTTGGTTGTATACCATCAAATATTTCTTGTAATGCTAGCGCTCCGTATCTTATGCAATACAAATTAATAAAGACTAAGAAACCTGTTGAAAGAAGGTAACTGTCAATCTAGAGGACTCGTTGCACATAGTGTAAGTACGCATCATCATGAAAACCCAGTGACTATCTCTAGAATCATATTTACCTTCTGATATTTAAAACACACAATTTGTCTTTATAGTGTAGATCTTTATATACAACCTCTGATTTATATTCGTAAATCAAGAGTTCTTAGGCACTTTCCTTCTTTATTTCTGTGAAACACCCAAATGACTTACTTACTCTTGATAAACTTTGTGGTTTTGGAGTTCTGAAGTCTTTGGAATAGCAGAATGAAGATTTGTTTTCTGTACTGGTCAACTGATTCACTAAGAATTGAACAAAAAGCAACAATATAAATTGAGCATGTTTCTGAGTATGTAACAAAATCCTTCCTTCCAAACATAGCAAAAGTCATGGACTCACGGAGGCAAGTGCTCTATGATACTGTTGAGAAGGTAGAAACCTTGGTGATCGTTTGCTTTTGATGCAATCAGCTTCTGGAAGACGCCCAGCAACCCAGGCTACAATAAATCAGATCAAACGATGAACAGTTAAACAAGAAGGCAGGAACAATAATTCCAAAACTTAAACAGGCAGTAGTTATTTTCAGAAAGGACAAGTATTGAATAATCTAATTACCCTTTTCTCTTCAGTTCTTATTTCTGAAATGTAGGGAGAAAAAAATGGAGTAAAATTTTGTTTCGTTTTTTCTGGCACTGGGGTTTGAACTCAGGTTCTCATGCTTGCTAGAAAGGCCCTTACCACTTGAGCCACTCCAGTAACCTCAAGTTCTTGGCTCTTTTTTTTTCTCACCATGAATATAAATAATAACTTAAGGATACCCTATTCTAATAAAAACACATTACCACTTTCTGCTAATCATGCCCTATTATTTTATTTTATTTTTTTGTTTATTCCTTTTTTTGGTGGTACTGTGGTTTGAACTCAGGGCCTCACATCTGCTTGAGCCACTGTCAGTCCTTTTGTGTGTTGGGTATTTTCAAAATAAGGTCTTTCGAACTATTTTCCTGGGCTGGCTTCAAACTATGATCCTCCTGATCTCTGCCCCTTGATTAGCTAGATGCAATTACAGGTGTGAGCCATCAGCACCTGGCCTAATTTAATTTTTTAAAATAGGGATAAAATCAAAGCTTTCCATTCCTAGTTTCTCCAAGCTACCTTAGAAAATGAGTTACTTCAAAATAAATCTGACTCACGATTTTGTCAGCTGCAGCACTTGCTATTGTATTTGAACCGCGTTCTAAGAATGCTTGGAGAAGCCTCACTAGAGCAGGAATATTTCCTGTTCTTTCCCAAAGCACTGGCTGCAGGAGGTGAGGAAATAAGGCCATATAGGAAGACGGGATGTCATTTTTGTGAGTTTCCAGAAGCAAAGACATCACTTGAAAGACGTACGGGATAAATTCTGTTGATAAAAGTGAAAACAGCTGTCAGCTTCAGAATGAAGGGCTGTGGCACAAAAGGCACAGATCTCTAAGTGGGTGAACAATTTTATTCCATTACCAAGAAAGCAATTCCTGGCACTCACCTTGCACATCATTTTGTAAGATCTCAGTGAACACCAGAAACAAAGCCTCTTCAAAATTCACCACAGCAGTGGGGTTAGCTTTGCAGGTGATTCTTATGGACAAGCATATCGCCTCAAACATGTAGTGATTAAAGTGAGGTTTGCTTGGGTTCTGAAATTAAAGCAAAACAAAACCAAAAACACATTCATTAGCCTGATAATCCAAGTGAACTATTAAATATTCAAACCAATCTAAATCAAGACACCTAACCCTTCTAGAACATATTTAAAATACATGCCACCTATATACACATACACACACATTTTAAATCAGCTTTAAGGAACAAACATCCAAACAATTACAATTAAACTAGTGTCCATGTTTGTTTGGATTTTGCTTTTTTCAGTGCTGGAACCCAGCAGGGCTGTGCACAACAGGCTAAAAGCCCTAGCACTTATCTATACCCCTACAATATTATTTGGATTCTTTTAATTGAGCATGGAGGTGATCACACAAGCTCCAGCCCCTAGATCCCGTCAGATGTGTTGTGTTTTATCCCCATGTGCTCTCAGAGAGTTACCACTGTAGGTAGTGGCGGAAGATGTGCTTGAGCCAGGTCACTAAGTCCCTCATGCTGATGGAACGGAGTGCCTGTATCCACAAAGTGCTGGTCCTCCATATCATTAGTTTTCAGGTTTTCTTTTTAAGCAATGAAGTCCTATTTTCTTCTAAGAAAATCTCTCTCAGAAGCCCAGCTCGAATGCTGATTAAAGCAGATGTAATTAAAGCATCAGGGGAGGTAAGGACTCTACTTTCCCTTCCTCTGTCGCCCAAGGCCTAAAACAGTTCAAGACCTGCACCCAAACTCAGTTAAAATCAAGTCCCTCACTACTTCTCAGAATTGTTCTCATTCACATAGCATAATCACAAATAAGCATCTAGAAAAGAATTCTGTCAGCCTTAAACTAACTTACTTATTTTTAAATTTTAGTATTACCATTTACATATGAATCAAAATAATTGCCAATTTTTTGGTCAAAGAGTAAAGTTCATTTTTGGGAAGTAAGAATAAGGAAGAAGAGATACAAGGACTTCTTCACATGACATTTTATAGAAGCCCAAACAGCCTCTTCTATGCCCAGTTAGTTCAATATCTATCTTCCTCCACCTACAATAATCTGGGCTTTCTTAGTTTTCTACATGAATATGTTACTTTTGTGATGAGAACAGAAACATATATGTATTTAAACTTCTGAGGCTACACTTAAAGGTGACTGCTGCATCTCCACCTGCCAGCATCCCCACACTTCCCAAAAAGCACTCCAGCTGCAGGTCAGAACACACAGACTCCTCCAGCACCTTGCCTAGTGCCAAAGGGTTCCAAGGCCCAAATAGTTTTGTTAAAGAAACCTCACTTTCAAAATTGGCTGTTACCTTACTAACAGCTAATAGCTTCTGTGTAAGCTGAGTGATGAGAGTAGGGATATAGGGGATTATGGCTTCTTGTAGGAGGGAGAAACTTCTCATGATAGCTGTAAAATATAAAAACAGCAAAAACAAACAGTTTAGTTATCTTTAGAATAATACAGTGATTGGGAGGAAAGCCCCATTAATTCATCAAATAAAATATTAAGATACTTAGATATCCCCTACATACCTTTCTGCATTTAAAAATAATCTAAATTCCCCTTCCTTCTAAAATCAGGACAGGGGCTGGCAGTAAGATTTTAGCTGGGGGATACTGAGTACTTCCTGAAGAACCATGGCATAAAGGATTTAAAAAGGGACAGTAAGAAATAGCTCAATGACTGATAAGGCCGACAGAGGAGGAAGGAGCAGTAGATTGGCAAGGGTGAAGCAGCAGAGTAAGAGGCAGCTGTCTTGGGTCTTTCACTTAAAACTCACTAGCAGAAAATAGCCCTAGCCTAAAGGACACAAGATCTCAATTTCCAGGTAACTGAAGGAGGAAACCAGTTACCCAACTCTCCAAAAAAGAAACTAATTTAAGAGCCTACGGGGGAAAAAACATCTAAAATAAAGCCTTGCTCTATTTGGCGTGGGAGAGAAATGCATTTGTAAGCTAAACGCATGATTGCTCTTTTTCCACAAATTCATTGCCAGAGTGTTCACTGACCAGAGCACCTACCGTATGCCAGGCCTAAGTAACAAAGAGTTGCCTTCTCTTGCCTCCTAGATGTGCACAGGCTGTTTCCTCTGCTTGAGTGAAAGTCTGACACGCTGTTCTCTCTCCCTCACAGCTCAGCTTAGATGTTATTTCTAGAGGAAGCCTTTCCCTGCCCTGGGTTAAGAATGCTGGAGGATGGTTAGTACCCCTCCTCTGGGATGGTACCAATGGCTCTCATTCACACACAACAGTATTTTATGGAGGTTTTTACACATGGCACACTCTTGTGTACCCTAGGAAAACAGTAACAAACATCAGTTGGCTACCCTTTTGGTGCTGAAAAACTCACACAAATATACACCTAGATATACACATACACACCCCAAGAGTCCTAAGCCAAGTGAGAAAGATCAGGGCCAGTTTCTTTGCAAAGCATTTTCTATCAACCAGACAGTGTGCTAGGCTTTTGGGATGCAACAGTAAAAAAAAAATGAGTCAAAGCTGGCAACAGGACATTCCTGTAACGCAGCAACTGGCTGATGGTCACTATTGCCTACATCTCCAACAGCAGGAGTGAAGGTAGGACCTGTGTGGTGTCTACGAACAACTGGGCTTAACCAAGTCCTAGCAGAGCAGTCAACAAAGGGTGCTGCATGATCTGATCTATGCCCTCAGAAATTAAATGTAGGAAAAGGAAAGTGTGTTTGCTACATTTTCTATGAGAAGGGGTGCTACATCCAGCTAAGGCAAAACATTTCTAAAAATATTAGTAAACAAAACATTAGTTTTCATTTTAAAATATCAAAACCTTCCTATTTCTTGGCAAACAGTATCTGAATCATAAACTACACAACCTACACAATGAAGAGTGTTTAGCTTTGTAACTTGAGGTTAGATACTTGGTTATGTCTGTACACCAGGGAAACGGCCTACCTTTCATAATATATTCATTTTCTGAAGAGCCAGGAAGTGTGAGAGCTTTGAAAAGGTTTGTTAGCAGAATCTCAACAAACGGTGCGATTTCTGCAGCTGTAAAACTATAGATGAGAAAACAGCTTTCAGTCACTGCCAACTCTAAGCTTGTCACTGTGGAGCACCTGGGCAACTACGAAATCACACTTGTCGGCATAAAATGAGCCACTGCCCTCCAATGACAGTCGGAAAGTAACTGTTTTACATATGCTTATGCTAAGTTCATACTTAGGAACACATGGGACCAAACACAATTGAACAAACCCAAAAACCGAGTGAACACGCCATCATCTAAACTGTAAAGGCTGCCCTTGGTTCATGTGTCACCATTGAGAACAGCACCCGGAATCTCAGCAGCCTCAGCTTCCATCCTTCCTGTGGGTGCTCATGTTTTCTGCATCACTTCTGGGCCTGAAGACAGGTAACAGCTTGACTCACCTCAAAGGAAGGCATTTAATCCTTGAAGTGGCCACTGAGAGTATCTGTGCTTCAAGTTCTTAGTGAAGAAAAGATCCTAGAACTGTTTCCATCTCTTACCCAGAACTCAGTTTCAAGAAATAATACTGGGAAGCATGGTCTGAAAACACACAGACCACCCACTCCCCTACATTGCATCCATACACTGGGCCAAAAGAGCTACCTTCCTGGCCCCTAGAGAATGTCTTCCACTCAGCAGTCACGTATGAGTTAAGCCAGTACAGAAACGGTGTGGGGAATAGCTGCCGCAGGGTGTACACAGCACCGTCTCCTGAGCATCTGTTTTAATCTCAATCCCAAGGATGCTGTGGACACTAACCACCCACATTTCCCCCTCTTGCCTTGAAGTCTCTGCCAGAAGATTCCGAATAAAATTAGGAATGTGTTTACCATGAAGAATCCTCTGACACACAGTTCTGTTTATTAACCTTACTATAATTATTCTCCTTTTATCCAATTTAAATAATTTTCGTGTCAGAATGTATCTATTTTGGTTAGCTGTCTTAAACTCTTTTGGAATGGGAGTATAAATAAATAAAGAAAGTACACATTTGTTTCCTAACTACTAATTAAATTATGAAAACACCCACAGATATTTCTGACCAGTCAGGTATGGTTCCCGGCCCAAGCTAAATGTAGAGAAACTGCTCAGAATGAAATACTTACAGAGTGGCATTGTGAGGCCCTCTCATAGTGAACAGTCTTTCAAGAGCATGTGCTGCATATGTATGAACAACAATGCTTTCGGCTTGAAGATGACTGATCAAGAGAGGAATAGACACTAGAAGATGCTCTTTTGGTACCTAAAAAATACAAAAATATGCATGTTCCAAGTCCATCAATACTACCTTTGAGTAAAAGACAACAGGCAGAGAAGGGTTTGTTAACTTTTCAAACAGCTTCTTTCTTTCAGCTGATATAATGGGAGATCCTATTTTGAGAAATTGAAACTTCAATTTCCTTTGACTTTTTCAATTTTGTTTCTGAATGCAAAGTTATGAGAGCAAAATCTTGTAGCTAAGTGAACATATCATAAAATAACACAGACAGAGAAAGAGAGTTCACCACTACTAAGAATCACACAGTTGCTGGGCATCCAATGGCTTGCCTGTAATCCTAGCTACTCAGGAGGGAGAGATCAGGTGGATTGAGGTTTGAAGCCAGCCCAGTCAGGCTGGCAGAGTGGCTCAAGTGGTAAGGGCACCTGCTCAGCAAGCATGAGGCCTTGCGTTTAAACCCCAGTGTCGCCAAAAAAAAAAAAAAAAAAAAAAAGAATCACACTTTTGAACACGTTTAAGTTCTTTTAAACATGGTGTTTTTGACTATATGTACCACCTAAGTATGTAAAGAACACAAATAAACTGACCTTTACCCAGTAGTCATACTTTAGTGAGAATATCAGCAGTTATTTTGCAACCATTTATACACAGGTTAGAATAAATCAAATAATTACAGATACAAATCAAAAAAATTAAATAAGGACAGGCACTAGTGGCTCACACCTATAACAGTAGCTACTTGGGAAGCAGAGATCAGGAGGATCATGGTTCAAGGCCAGCCTATGCAAAAATTGAGACCCTATCCCAAAAATACCCAACATGAAAAAAGGCTACTGGAGTGGCTCAAGTGTTAAGAGTGCCTGCCCACCAAGTGTGAGGCCTGGAGTTCAAACCCTGGTACTGCCATAAATAAATACATACATACATACATACATACACACATACATATGTACATACATAAATGAAGGCTGTCTGTAATGATTTACACCAGTAATCCCAGCACTGGAAGGCTGAGTAGAGAGGATCACAAGTTCAAGGCTAGCGTGGGCTACATAGCAAAACCCAAAACCTTACCTAAAAAAAAAGAACCCAAAACTTGTAATCGTAAACTGAATTGGGAGGCTATTTTATTTCCAAGTTTTCCCTTATGGAAAAACCTAGAGCTAGTGAGATTCATCAGTAAGAACCCTAGTACCCAGATGATGGTCTTTAAGTAACATTTCCCACCTTTGAGAGGTTAGGCTAATTCAGGTCTAGCCACAAAATGTAAAAGATGAACCTAGAACATCATTTCATGTATGAAAGGAGGGAAGCTATCAAAAGCTTAGGAGTTCACAGCGAGCAGCCACAGAAACCCACATGAAGAAGCTCTACTGCCCAAAATTGAACTACAGCGTCCCAAACCCCTCATCTGTCATTGTCTGAGGCTGCTGAGGCGCTATTTCATTGCTTTGAAAACTGATAAAGGGAGGAAAAACCTACAAACACTCATCCTACTTCCTCTGCAAAATTGGTGGTAGTATTACCTCTGTGTCAGGCAGTGGGAGTGGCTGCACAACATAATGAATATAGCAAAAATCACTGAGCCATATACTTTACAATGCTGAACTGTACACCACGTCAAGTATATTTCAATCATTAAAAAAAAAACTGTCAATAATGGCTGGACTCTGGTGGCTCACCCCTGTAATCCTAGCTACTCAGGAGGCAGAGATCAGGAGGACTGATGTTCAAAGCCATGCTGGGCAAATAGTTCTTGATACCCTATCTCGAAAAATTCCTTCAGAAAAAAAAAAAAAGAAAGAAAGCTGGTGGAGTGGCTCAAGGTGTAGGCTCTAAGTTCAAACCAGTACCAAAAAAAAAAACCAAAACAAGCAAAGTACACCTATGATGCATTCATGTCTCCATCCTCAACAATATAATCAAGCCTGCAGTTTTACCAACACATAACAAGATAAGTACTAGAGGATATGATCAGTCCTAGTTGAAAATAAATGACTATTGTCTGACATACAAGAGTCAGAGAAGAGGGAAGATCTCTGTTGTGTATTAATAGACTTAAGACATAACAGCCATAAGAAATGAGAGGACATTGGTCCCAATTTTTTAAGACAAGATCTTGGCTGGTGGTGTGTAGAAAGCAGAGTGCCTGTCTAGCAAGCGTGAGACCCTGGCTTCAATTCCCAGTGCCACAAGAAAAGATGTGAGGAAAATTAAGCTTAATCTGAAATCATGAAGAGTTTTTGCTAACTGTTAGATATAGATGTCAAATACGATCACACAGTGAACAGGAGAAGCTGGTACGTAATAAAATTTGTAAGTGCTGTATAGCAAATAAAAAGCTACTCACTTGATTCCTAAAAATCATGATATATTTGATCCCATCAGCTTTAAGCACAGGAAATTCATTTACTATTCAAAAAACAAAACAAAACAGTCAGTTATTTAAGTGGTTAGGATGGTTACAAGTCAGCAACATTACCACTTTTCTTTTTTTGTGGGACTGGGGTTTGAACTCAGGGCTTCACGCTTGCAAAGCAGGCATTCTACCACTTGAATCACACCTCCAACCCATTTTGCTCTGCTTATTTTGAACTTTGCACATAAGTGACTTAAAAAAAAACCAACAAGCCATTACTTTGATGTCCCCAAATGGTTATTTTAACCCACAATTAAAGAGTATTGTTGTTTTTAGCTGGGCTGTGGTGGCTCACGTCTGTAATCCTAGCTACTCAGGAGGCAGAGATTCGGAGGATCGCCGTTCAGATCCTCCTGATCCCCAGGCAAACAGTTGTCGAGACCCTGTCTTGAGATAGTTCTCGAAAGTACTCAACACAAAAAATGTCTGGTGGAGTGGCTCAAGTGGTAGAGCACCTGCCTAACAAGTATGAGGCCCTGAGTTCAAACCCCAGTGCTGCCATAAATAAATGGTAACCAAAAACGTCAAGTAATTTAAGTAGCTTATTTGCACCATGTGCCAATATATTCCCCTAATTGCAGCTATTCTACATTAAGATCACTCTCTGTAGCTGGGATTTGCTTTATAGTGAAAGGGATAAAACATTGGCCAATTGTTACTGATTCTTAAAGCTGGATGATAGAAGCTCTTTATAACATTGTATATCTTTGGGTGCATCTAAGTTTTTTTCATACAAAAAGATTTCTTTTAAAAGGAACCACTTCAATCTACTTAAGCAGGAAACCATTCCTTAATCCATCAGTTTTAAGTATGTTGAAATGAACTTAGACTTTTATGAGTTCATTTTTCAAATACAAAAGAAAAGAAGACCAAGTGTCCACACCAGGGTGTTGATGGCACTTATTGGTCAGTCTCACTTATTCCTATCTTTCTTTTTAATAAATATTCCTTTTTTTCCTTTTTAATCTTTTGATACATTTTAATGGGTTTCATAATGACATTTTATACATGTATATAATACGCGTTGATTATACTCACCCTGCCATTACCTTCTTTTCTCCTCTCTTCCCTCATAACCAACACATTCATTATCAGTAGTTAACTTTAGGGCTGGAGGGTTCAGGAATAGAGAGCACCAACCTTGCAAGTGCAAAACCCCAAGTTCAAAGCCCAGTACCACCAAAACCAAATCAAACCAAACCAAATAAAGATACCCTTTTAACTTCAAGCTGGGCATATGCCTCACACATGTAAACCTACCTACTCAGGAGACAGAGATCAGGAGGATCTTGGTTTGAGGTCAGTCCATGCAAAAAGTTCAAAAGACCCTAATAAAAAGTTGGTGTGGTGGATCATGCCAAGTGTAAATAAAAGGACTGTGGTCCAGGCCAGCCAGGGCATAAGGGCAAAACCCTGCTTAGAAAATAACCAAGGTTCTTAGAGGCATGGCTATAACTGTAGAGCTCCTGCTTAGCAAGCAAGAAGTCCTGAGTTCAAACCCCAGTACCGCCAAAAACAAACAAAAAAACACCAAAGTATAAAGGGCTGGGGATATGGCTCAAGAGATACAGCAAGCTCAAGGCCCTCAGTTCAATCCCTAGTACCACAGGGGTGGAGGTGGGTGGGTGTGGCTCAAGTGGCAGTGCAAGTCTGAACCACAAAAAACGGTTAATTTCACATGGGCAGGAGCTAGGGAAACTGTACATCATTTTATTCAATAAAAGAAATAAATAACTTCAAGCTGGGCACTGATGGCTCACACCTGTAATCCTACCAACTTGAGAGGCTGGGATCAAGAAGATCAAGGTTCAAAGCCAGCCTAGGCAAGTGTGCAAGACTTCATCTCCAATGTAACAAGAGCAGAGGTTTAGTTCAAGTGGTAGAGCACCTGCTTTGCAAGTGCAAAGCCTGGAGTTCAAAGCTCAGTACCACCAAAAAAACCGGAAAGTAAGTCACAACTCACCATTAGCTGATTTTAAGTCAGGAAGGATGTGATTCACGAAGAACTCAGTCAGGTTTACAAGTTCATTAGCTTGTGTAATTCCATGCTGGAAAGCAAATTTGTAATAAGGTTAAAAAAAAAGAAGTACCAGTGTATATAATGCACATCAGAAACTGAAGCAATTTTAGAAAGCCAGATGGAAAATGGAGATGAACACTTCAAAATACAAACTGCTCACACGTAAAACAAGATAGTTGTTAACAGGAGCTAAGCATACATCAATCACATTTGACACAATGAGTCTCCTCTTAGGTAACAAGTGTGGCATCTGTCAAGAAACCTAAGTGCTATTGTAATCCATCTAGCTAAAGCTGTTTTTGGAGATTATATAAATTCCAATCAGAACAATGGGTTATGCAGGAGTAGGCTGCACTACCCGAGCCAGATTCTGTCCTTTGGAATTCTGTTGTCACTGACTTCTGCTTTAGAAACAAAGAACACGGAAAAGACTTACCTTCTGTGTCTGGGCTTTCGATGCCAAAGATGTCACCAGGTAAATGGCTGCATCTTTGTGTTTCCAGTTGACAGATGGATTTTTTACATATTCCTGGAGCATGGAATTAACATACCCAGAGAAAATTCCTGTCACAGGTCCCTCAAAAAACTTGCATAATCCTCGTACCAGATCACATGCAGCCCTGCGTCTAGTGTCAATATCTATGAAAGCAAAAGGAAACATTGCTCGGGAGAAAGAAGCAACCACCAACTGATGCAGTTTATAAGAAAAGAAATGGCCAAATGACGGCTATCAGCAACACAGTGAAAAAACATTTTTTTTTCCCTCTAAGAAACACAAAATGAGATGAAACTGAAGAGGTCAAATAATTATAAACATTACAAGAATGTAATTAAAGACAAATGATTAAATTTTAATACTTTAACCCCAAACCCTAAGAGTTTTTTTTTAAAAAATGTACAACTTGAAGAAGGAAAACAGTTCTCAATGAAAGTCAACTGAAATTGACAGTACTAGCTCTCATTCTTCCTCTTATTTACTAAGAAAAGAATGAATGGCCTTAATAAGAGCTTCCCAGATGACTGATAGCTAAAACCTAAAATACACACCAGATCCTTCCAAGTCTCTTCTTATGTACTCCTCAGAATTATCTTCAAATGCTTCTTCATCAGCAGCTACAAAAAGAGTTGAGAGTTTAAGATAAACCCCAAAGATGTGACTAGTCACTGTACTCTACACCTAGGTATGCAGAAAAGCATTAAGAACTGCTTTGTTTAATACCAAAGCTTTCTTTTCCAACAAATGACTACTTGATATACTTTTTCACCCCAGATTCTGCTTTTGGACATATCTCCCAGAGAGGCAAATGCTACCTTGAAAGGCTAGGTATTAAAGAAATCACATAGCTGTGAGACATGAAGTGTCCCCAGAATCAATTTTCACCTCCAACTTTCAAAAGCTGAGTGTTGAGATCAACCTAGGAATGCTGACTTTCTATTTTGCCAGACGAGAACATTGAAAAAATGGGCTGGGGGTGTGGCTCAAGTGGTAGATCACTGCCTAGGAAGCATGAGGCCCTGTGTTCAAACCCCAGTACTGACAAAAATTAAAAAAAAACAAAAAACCCCACAATCTTTTCCATTTTCACTACTTGCTCTCCACAACTGTAAAAGGGATAAACACAAATACAGGCACTTAGGACTGTGCAACTTTTAAAGCAAACCAAGTGAGCTTCAGCTCTATATGTAAAAGTTAGCAACCACTTCTATTCTCAAGTCAACTGTTTAAAAATGAACAGCCGTTCAGGGCTGGCAGAGTGGCTCAAGTGGTAGAGTGCCTGCCTAACAAGCATGAGGCCCTGAGTTCAAACTTCAGTGCCCTTTTCATCCCCCTAAAAAACCAAACCCAAACAAAAACCCCAGCTATTACAGTAAATCAAATAAAACAAAACACTAAAGCCAAACAACTTCCCTAATTTGAGATTCTGAATTTTTCCCGGTGCAGTAGGAGACTGTAACAACTTATTCATATTTTTATGAAAACCCCACAGCTCACAACAAAGCTCATTACAACAACACTCCTTTCACAGATGCCACATTTTCTGTCTTGGTTTAGGAAATAGGCAATAAATGACCTGCAACAAGCTGTAGTTAGTAATAAAAACAATTCAAGTGAGTATGTTATAAGAAACAAAAGAAGGCTTATTAAACTTATGCTAAGACATTTTGAAAAACCAAGTTTTTACTCCCCTGAAAAACCTTTCCACTTTGCCATAATTACCTCTAAATTCCATGTTAGGCACAATAACCTTTTCACAGATACTTGTCAGCGTGTTCTGGTCCTCAAACAGATTCTTATAATGAGGTCTCTCACAAACTGAAGCCAGAAATTGAATTGCATTACTTACCAACTGAAATGAAACACAAAAATAAGAATATTTTTAAAAGCAAAACTGAACAGCTCATTTCTTGTAAGAAAGAGATAATCTCTTATCTGTCTCCACCATCATCTTACCAAATCATATTTAACTTCTTGGCCTGTTGTAACTAGTAAGTTCCAGATAGCTGTGACAAAGCGAGGCAGGTACCGTTGAAATTCCTCATCATACTTTTGTGCATAGAGTGCAGCATTATCACAAATCTGGGACTTTAGGAGCTCCAATAAGCCCGCTTCCTCTTCATCCTCACATAGTAGAAAAGAAAAAATTCAAACACACAACTTAAAGACACAAGTAAGGAAATAGCTCCTGAATGAAGAATGAAGAATTAAAATCTAAATCCAAATCCACTGGAAATGAGTCTATGCTGCAATCAATCTATTCAAGTCCTTTGAATTAATAAGCAATAAAATACTTATTATTCATTAATCATTTAGAATACTCTCAAAAGTTTTCAACAGGAAAGTGGCATATGCCTGTAATCTCAGCACTCAGGAGACTGAGCAAGAAGGACTGAGAGTTTGAGGCCAGCCTAGGCTACATAGTGAGAACTGTCTCAAAAAAGCACCAAAATGCAATCTCCAATACTGCCAAAAACAAAAAGTAAGACCACACACACACACACAAAATCCCACACACAAAAAGTTGAATAAAGCATCTTCTTGTGCTTGCTGAGCTACGAAGTGTTTCCACATTAGATTGAAAACATTCCTATAGAAGCCTGAACAACAAAGGCCACATCACACTTTCCACTGCAGCCTCCCAGAAGTGTTATCATTTCAAATATATTACCATATGCAAGGCTCCCACTCCCAAACAAGATAATGCTACAGGATTCTCATGAATAATATTTTGGTTCCCTGGACCAGGGGTCAGCCAATTAGTCTGTAGGCCAAATCGAGCCTGCTCCTATTTTTATAACTTTTATCAAAACTTATAAAACTTGTTATTTACTTATACAGTACTTTCTGCTTCTTTCACATTACAACTGCAGAGTAGCTGCAACACAAACCCCAGTGACCCAGGATGTGGAAAATATTTACAACCTGGCCCATTGTAGAAAATGAAGCCACTGACAGTGAATTGTGCCAAAGACCTCCAATTTAGAAGAGATGAAAAGAACTCCTTACAGCTAGTTCCTTAAGCCATAAAATAAAAGGGATGTTACATAGTGAGATAACACAAGACAGCACATGGTTAATTGGGCAAAGAACCCCCGGTAAGAATTCTATGTGAGAAATTTCCTGTAGACTTAAATGTGAATAAAAGCTTTGTTTTCTGCTAGGTGCATTGGTGCATGCCTTAGTCCCAGAACTCGGGTGCCAGAAGCAGGAGAATCACAAGTTCAAGGCCAGCCTAGGTTATATAGGGAGATTGTCTCAAAATACAATGGGGTGGGAGCCAGGCACCTGTGGTTCACATCTGTAAACCTAGCTACACAGGAGGCACAGATCAGGAAGATCATGATTCAAAGGAAACCCCAGACAAATAATTCTTGAGACCCTATCTCAAAAAAAACCCATCCCAAAAAAGGGGCGGGTAGAGTGTCTGAGGTGGTAAGAGCACCTGCCTAGCAAGCATGAGGCAATGAGTTCAAACCCCAGTGTCACAAACAACAAACAAACAAACAAAAAACCCCCAGTGGGGTAGGGGTATGGCTCAATTGGTACAGCCAAGGCCCTGAGTTCAAACCCCAGCATCACCAACCAACCAAGCTTTGTGTTCTGAAGGAGTGAGGCTTTTTTCCAAGTATATTAAAACAATTATTTTACGGAAGCCACATTTTTGTTTGTCCCTTTTGACTTAGTCAAAACTCAGAAAAAAATCAGTATACAACCACGGTAATGATTCTTTTCTATATCCCGTTTTAAAATCTGATTTGAGTTACCAATTGTAATTTTAATTTTATCTGATGTTGATGTGCTCTTAATACTTTTAGACGCAGACCTTAAATACACTAAATCAACGAATGAGTTGAATGAAAAAAAGTGCCGTACGTTGAAAAGTACATATTACAAAACCAAGAGCAGAAATAAACTTTCACCATTTGCCACTTTCTTTCTGAAAAGAGACTGTCATTGCAGAGGTTTAGGTTTTCCTAGTATCTTCACTGACTGACTCTATTTCATAAAATATTCATCATGTGATTAAAGTCTTAGTTTCAATAATGCAATGAACTAGCCCCTTCTCTATATGCTGTGAGACTCATAAGAGTTTTTCTGTATATTACATGTAGCCAAAGATGGAACATGCAACAGAAGAAGCAAAGACTACTTGCATTCAGGGAATCTTAACTAGTAACAATCCAGTATTTTAAATAAGTTTTTAGAGTGTAGCCAACTAATTTTTTTGGTGGGGGGAGGGGGGGGAACTTGGGCTTGAACCTAAGGCCTTGTGCATACTAAGCACACACTCTACTACTGAGGTGTATTTCCAGCCCCCAACTCATTTTTAATGAAAGAAAAAAACTACTTAGACAATATTATAAGTACTTACATCAGTCTGTAGAAGTTTATTATCCAATGTCAAGAGGGTGTGAAAATTGTTCATCCAAGTTTCCATGTTATCTTCAAAAAATTCAGGGAGATCCTAAAGAATAACCACTGACTTGAGACCTTTTATTAAAATAAATGCGCTATTTTAATGAATGTTTCTACTTTGCATATGCTTGTAGGGTGAAGTCCAAACTTCAGTTGGAGCGTTACTTGTTCTAACACTTCTCTGCTTCATCTGGGTCCCTGGCAGCTGAATAAATCACAATGACTTCTGCCTCTGCTTACTGTCTTTACCAAAAGTCATAACACCTCTACTCCTGTCTCAACTTCAATCTTGATTCCTTTGAGGCACAGCTTGACTAGATGAAGCCCATCCTTCCCAAGCTCAGTGCCTTCCCTTCTGAACTACTGCATTTACTGTAATATGGCCACCAACCCAACCTACTCCCTTACATAGCTACTGATTTGCCATGGCACAGTACAGTACTGCTTTCTGAGTGAGGGGCACACCCTGAGGAAGATTATGCCCCTTGACTTCCCTGGCTGTGCCTGATGACTCTTCGAGAGCTTCATTTTTCCTGACCTCTCAGAAGCAGAATTCAAAAGAAGGTGTAAGCAAAAACATCAGTATTCATTTAAATTAAGATTTCTCAAGCTGCTGTCCAGCTGAACACTGACATGGAGCCTATCATTTGGGGCTGTTCATCTCCTACTTTACCTTAGAGAACTCAAATTCCTTTTGGGAAATACTCCACCACTGTGAATGCAGTCAGGTTGTGAGGTAAGTTCAGATTCCAGCTGTGAACAGTGAAAAGGCAAGTGCTTCCTGCATCTCAGTGTAGCAATCTGTATCAATCAATACCCTGCTCTGGGACCTGGAGCTTTGAATCTTAATGACTCAAAAACAGAAGGAATGAATGGAGACCACTATCTCAGTGACAATAGGATGACCAGGTATTTCCTGCTGTAACACTGTGGCTAAGAAATGCCACTGGTTCTAACAAAGCCTGCTACTTCAACCTTCAGTCTCCCCCACAGATATCCAATGAAAGCCCCTGTGCACAAGCTATCCAGGGACCCTCAACCAAAGTATGGTTTCCCCAATATTAATATCCATTAAATAAACAAGAGAAGAAGGCTTGAAAATTTGATTTCTGAGTGCCGTAAATAAGGCACTCAGAGAATACAGGGTGACTCTGAAAGGGTGAGTATCAATGTAGGGTTTCCTTCCCTAACTTACTAGATACAAGAGAGTGCTACTTTTTTTCCATGAAACATTCAGTAGCATTTTTAGGAGCTACTATAAAATAGAACACTATTATATAAAGATTAGGAAGAGTCAAAGAGTTTTTTTCTTTCAGATAAACCACTGCTGGCCAAAAAGTCTGTTACATAGGACTGCGTGTTTAACATCAAAAAATCAGAATCAAAAGACATTAAAACTTACCTGAAAGTTTAAGCTATAGAACAATTTTGATATCAAGATCAAGGAAGAAAAAAGAATCCTCAGGGCAGAGGCATCATTGGCGTGGGTACTGCACAGTTCAATGGTGGCCTTGGAAAGAAATTTAGGAACATGATTGCACTGATCTTAGTCAATAGCCTTGTATTACGCTGAGACTATCTATGGTTCTCCAAAATATGGCTTTTAAATAGCATCTATTCACATAAGAGATTCTGAAAAATAAGTTAAAGTGTAATTTTTAATTTGCCCAAAATAGCACTACTAAAAAACCAATATTAATATTTTGAACTCATCTTTTCAATCACCTATGTGATCTGTATAAATACATTACACAAAACAGTTTTTATATGTTGTCATTAAATAATTCCTGTGCCACTTGACATTTTGGCTGTTTCCAATCACTCATTATTTTATCTGGAACAGACAGGTTCCTCTATACAACTGTGTGTTCGCCTCTAATTTTTGTGGTCTGAGATACTAGAGGTATTACCAATGCAGCACATATGACACGGCATAGGTTTGGGAACCCAGGCTCTGTTACTCATAGGGAACACTACTATAAGAAGGTAAGTTATAGCCAAGTGTGGTAGGCAACACCTATAATCCCAGCACTGAGGAGGCTGAGGAAGCAGGATCTCAAGTCCAGCCTGGGCTGCACAGAAAGACCCTGTCTCAAAAAACAAAAATAAAATAAAATAAACCTTACTATAAGCACCAGTCTCCTTATAATGTGGGAATAATGTCTCTCATATATACAGAATATGAGAATTAAATGAGAAAACATACACATAAAAAGTCCTAGACTATTTTGTGCACACCTACTATATAAGCAGATATTGCTTGCTATATGCTGGAGTTCAGAAATGTAAGTAAATACTAAAGGTTTCTCAATGAAATACTAATGAATACACTGGTGTAAATGAGTACCACGTACAAGCCAATAGACAGTGGCAATGCGCTCACTTCGTGTGCTGTGGCTAAGACTTTTTTTGTGGACCTGGGGTTTCACACTTGCAAAGCAGGTGCTCTACTGCTTGAGCCATACCTACAGTCCATTTTGGAGATGGGGTCATTGTGAACTATTGCTCAGGTTGGCCTTGAACAGAGATCCTATTGATCTCTGATCAATAGGATTAGAAGCATAGCCACCAGCACCTGATTATTTTGTTTGTTTTGAGACACGGTCTCATTATGCAGTCCAGACTGGCCTCAAACTCACAATCCTCCTGCAGCTGCCTCCTGAGTGTGGGATTACGGGCATGTCCCATTACACCTGGTCTCTGCCTAAGACTTTTAGCATCATTAAAAAGAAATAAAGATGGGTGCTGGTGGCTTGCACTTATAATTCTACTCAGGAGGGTCGAGGTTTGAAGCCAGCTGGGGCAAATTGTTTGTGAGACCCTATCTCAAAAAAGCCACCACAAAAGAAGAGCTGGAAGAGTACTCAAGGTGTAGGCCTTGAGTTCAAACTCCAGTACTGAAAAAAAAAAAAAAAAGAAAAAAAAAACAATCTCTGCCAATCCAAAAATGGAGAACAGTGGTATCATTTAGTTTTATTTTTTAAAATAAAACGCACCATCAGTATTCTCCTAACTACCCTGTGCAAGCTTTACATTTTAATTACTGAATATAACACAACCTTCCCTTTAAAATGAACAATGTTTCTGGAGTTAGCCAAAACTAGGTTTGCAGCCCAAGTCTCTTCTTTATTAGCTGTGTGATATGGAAGCCTCTTTCCTTTTCTGGAAAAATCAGTTACCACTCCTTTCAATCATGTAAGATTCTCACAAAGATCAAGACCACATTCAGGAAAGTAACCTGTGCATTGTAAATTATGTAAATTGATTAATACTTAAATTCCATGTACAATTAGATCAAGTTGTGGGCCTCTCTCATTAGAGACACATACTCAATAACCTGGGTAAATAATATGCCTTGGTTTTGCTTTCAAGTATTACTACAAAGGCCAGATTAAACAGCAGAGCAAGTGTTGGAACAAAAACTTGCATAAAAGCAGAGCTCACTGCACATCATCTTCATTTCTGGGTAGGTTTGAAATTTTTCAACAGAAATGCTACTCCATCGAGCTTTTGAAGGATTCTCTTAAAATTTATATAAATAGTTAAGCAATTTAAAATATTAAGTAATTTCAAGCTATCACCAAGATATTATTCCATACCTTAAATAGATTAGTCAAAGGCAAAGCAAAGGCGTCCAGGACAAGTTTAATTTCAGTCCATAACTCATTTGACTTGAACTCATGACGATATCTAGAAATTTAAAGTAAAACAGGCAGGTTTACAAGTTTCTGTTTACTCATTAGTTCTTTAAGGATAGATCTAATTAGACACATTTGAAGAGACAGCTTTTTTTTTGGGCAATACTGGGATTTGAACTTAGGGCCTTGAGTTTGCTCTGGCTCTAAGTACTCTACCACTTGAGCCAGCCCTAGGCTGACCAGGTGGCTTTCTGAAATTTAAAGAGAAATTTTGTTTTTTTTAAAGAATCAAGACTATTTTCATAGGCAAAAGGGCAGTATGAGATAAACACTTTACTGAGAAGAAACAAACACAATAATGAACTGAGAGGTTTATGCTCCTAGTCTTGGGTGATTTATATTCAAAGGATTAACAGCAGTCACAAAAATATGACTATTTACAGCCAGGCTCACACCTGTAATCCTAGCTTCTTGGGAGGCTGAGATTGGGAGCATTGTGGTTCAAGGCCAGTCCAAGCAAATAGTTCACAAGACCCTATCTTCATAAGAGCGAAATGGTGTGGCTCAAGTGGTAGAGTGCCTGCTCTGCAAATGTGAAGCCCTGAGTTCACACACCCAGTCTTACTAAAAAAATATATATAATAATAAAAAATTTAAAATATATCTATAAAACTATTTACACAAGCAAATATAATACAAAAAGAGTGTATTAGATACCTTTTAAATAATGAATGTGCTGTACGAAGGACCCCATTAATAACATGGAAATCTCCACTCTGAAAGCGATTCACCATTTCTGTCAGTAAGTCAGGCCATTTCTGAGGGAAATCTTCTCTGCCAATAATGCTAATAGCATCACTCAACTGGGGAAGAAAGAGACTAATTATAGGGGAGTCTCAAAAAAGAGCCCACCAAGGAAGCAGGGGTACGTTACCTGCTTTTGAATCTGCTCTGGGCTGCTGAGCATCAAGTGTACTATGTTGGCTTTAATGGCTACTCGATCAGCCTCACAAATTTTGTTTGGCTCATCTTCAATCTAAAAACAAAACATCAATGAGCGGACAGTACGGAATCCATGTTTACGCCCACATGGGCTTGCAGGTAAAATACAACTAATTTTAATTTCTCAGTTTATTAAGAAGAAAAAGAGGAAGGTGAGTTCTTCCTCAGTCTCCTTCCACATGAATGGGTCAGGGATCCCTTTAATAATCTGATGAAAGCATGAATCCTTCCCCTGGAAAAAAAGTACATTCCCTCCCAAATGTAAATATTTCAGATACAAATCAATGAGGTTCTCTGATTCCCTGAGGCCAGTTAAGAATTTTAGTTCAGTTCTGGGTTGGAGGTGTAGCTCATGGCAAAGGGTTTGTCTAGAATGAATGAAGCCCTTGTTCAATCCCTGGCACCACCAATAAAAGAAAAAGACAGATTTCTACTCAGAACATATGGTTAAAATCTTACAGACTTAATCATACTCATCTTTAAAAGCTCAAACTTTACTCTCATCTTAAATCAAACATCTTTCCTATGAAAACATCCCAGACTACATCATTCAAAGAGGTTCTGCAAATCTCTCTAGTTTTATAAACCAAGACTAAGAGATTGTGCCTTCAAGTAGATGGATGGATCTTAGGTTCTAAGGTTTATGAAGACATTTCTTCACCACATATGGTAATACTTGCTTTTAAAATAGTATTTGTTGTTTTATAAACTCTTTTTAATACCTTTTAAAGAAAGGTATTAAGAAAGGGACCAAGAAAAAGATTCTAAATAAACATTTCAGTAAGTTTACATTCTATAATATCATTACTGTTGTCATTCTAAAACAATTCTCAGTTTTCCTTATCATGAACCAGGGTTTCTCAGCACCAGTGTTACAGATACTTTGGAGCAAGAAGTTCTTATTATAAGGAGCTATCTTGTGGATTATAGAATGGATAGCAGCCTCTGGTCCTTACCCACTGGATCCCAGTGGCACCAGGTTGATATCTCCAAATACTGACAAATGCCCCTGGTGGGTAAAACTGCCCCCAACTGAGAATCATTGTACTTAAGATAAAACACAATGCCTGTTTCTTAAATTGTAGTTTAAACTAAACTTGTAGTGTACGGGGACTCATCTTGAAGTTAAAGTGCATTTCCAGGGCTGGGGACATGGCTCAAGGGTGTCAGAGCACCTGCCTAGCAAGTATGAAGCCATGAATTAAAACCCCAGTACCACCCCCACCCCCCACCAACAATGCATTTCCATATCCTGAGAGACATTCAGAGCAAGTTAAATCCCTTACAAAAAAATTTTACATCTAGGGCTGGAAGTGCAGCTCAGTGGTAGAGTGCTTGCCCAGCATGCTGAAGACCCTGGGTTAAACTGCATACTGCAAAACATACACTAGCTTTGAACTAGCTATCACCCTGCATCAGTCTCCCAAGAAGCAGGGATTACAGGGGCACATCACCATACCCAGTTTGAAATCTTATTATATGTGATTTTTTTTCAGCTTTAAGTTTCCTAATCTACAGTAAAAATTATTTCAATTTTCCATTTAGACTGTTTTCGCCAAATGTCTCTTCACTAGGACCTGACCTAGAGTTAAATTTCAACCACAAGGAGATTAAAACCCCACACTCTCCAGCAACCTGAGTTGAAGGAATTTACATGAATCTTTGTCTGAACCTTTTAAGAGCACTGTTTATATAAACATACATTTATTAAATTTATATATTCCCCAAATACTTACAATTCTCCAGTTCCTTTTAATATAGTTCTTGAAGGTTACAGAAGCACACACTTTGATAACATTATCCTGGGACTTTTCCAGTAATGTTAAAAGCAATAGTGGGTAATTCTGATTTCCTTCTACAGATTCAAGAAATTTCTCAGCTGCAAAAGAATTTTCATGTTAGAAGACTCATTAATGTAATAAAAATCTTTCCACTTGAAAAGGGTACATGTCTGTAATCCTAGCTACTCAGGAGGTAGAGAAAGGAGGATCTCAGTTCTGAAACCAGTCCAGGCAAAGCATGAGACCTTATCCGAAAAGCAATCTAAAAGAGCTGGTGCCAGTGGCTCACACCTGTAATCCTAGCTACTCAGGAGGCAGAGATCAGGAGGAGCAAGGCATGAAGCCAGCCCCAGGCAAACAGTTCAAGAGACCCTATCTCAAAAGCACCCAATACAAAAAGGGGATAGGGACTGGCCAACTGGCTTAAGTGATACAGTGCCTACCTAATAAGCATAAGGTCCTGAGTTCAAGCTCCAGCACCACCAAAAACAAACAAACAAAAAAAAGCAAACTAAAATAAAAGGACCAGACATGTAGCTCAAGTGGCAGAATGCTTGCCTACTAAGCATGAGGTCCTGAGTTCAAGCTCAGCCTGGGAGGAAAAACCCTTTCTTCTTTATATTTATATGAACTGTGTGCATCTTTAACTAAACGATGAAAAACGGAAAGATCAGGATATTTCCCTTTAGTTAACCTACTGTCGTCTATAGGGCCTCACTGTGTTTATCAAATGACTCACATATAATACTAAATTTCTGTTATGTTTCCGTTTTCAAGTCACCTTACCATCTATTAACTCACTCAATTCTCACAAGCCTATCAGGTGGCCTACTCAAATGACCCCATCTGAAGCAGCTGCTTCCTAGAGAGGTTAATAGCCACCACAGTAAGTCACGCATCCCACCTCACTCAAGAGAGTAGTACTGTCAGTAGTGCTTCTTTTATAGGGCCGCGATGACGATCAAATGCGTTAGCTCATGCTAATCTATGTCATTAGCCGTGCGGCCCTGGCCCTTCCCTTCCATCTATCCTTTCATCAAGCTGCCACTATGCCCAGCGAGGCAGCTAGCACTAGCCTCATCTTAAAGACAAGGCCACTAACTAAGAGTGCAAAGCTAAAAATGCATTCACCACCAAACGCTTTGGTTTCGCTCTTACTCTATCGTACCAGTTCTAAGCGTTCTTATCAGAATAACCTTACACCAAGATTGGACCCATGTATTTTCAACCCAGTATTACATTCTAAGATAAATTTCTATGCTTTGCTGATCATTCAGTAAAGGTGATAGAATATTTCTTTTAATTTTTTGAATTGGGAACATAGCTCAAGTGGCAGAGTGCCTGCTTAGCAGTGTGAGGCTGAGTTCAAAACCCCAGTACCACCAAGTAAAGGGGGAGAAGGATAAAAAGAAGATAAAGTTAATTTTTTTGAAATGGGGGAGATAGGATACTATGTCCCCAGGCTGGTCTCCAACTCTTGAGCTCAAGTGATCCTATTGCCTCAGCCTCCTAAGTGCTAGGACAATAGGCACGTGCCACCGTCAAGACATTTTTCATATCAAGTTTCACAAAGCAATTGCCCCTCCCAAGACTCCAGTGTTTTTAGAACAGGTCTGCTGTTGGTATCTTTTATTTTCTAGAATTTATCACTGAAGCAACCCTCTTTCTGGACTAAGTCCTAAAGAGTTTAACTGATAGTCCCTCTCTGCTTCATATCTACCATGTCGTTCTTGAACTGAGAAATGCTTTCAGGAGGGAAACATATGAGTACAGGCTTTGGTTACTTACACCTTGTTAGCATTTCATACAGGGCAACACATTGTACTCATGATTTGAGAAAAAGACAATATAAAATTTCAAGTGTCTGTTGTACGTTGCAATCAATGTCCTGGAAGCAATCTTCTTACAAGCTTAAGTCTATTCCTTTCTGTGTATACTTTCTTCAATTTATAGAATATTCGCATTTACACAAGCATGGTTATAAACGTCTATAATCCCAGCAGTCAGAAGGCTGAGGCAGGAGAATCTGTGAGTTCAAGGCCAACCTGGGTCACACAGTGAGTTCAAAGCTAGCCTGAGCTACATAGCAAGACCTTGTCTCTAAAAATAAAAAAAACCCATGTTGACTCAGTCCATACCAATGCCTGACAAATGCTCTGCTGGTAACTCTTCACTGTGTCCTAGAGTCACAAAACCTTAGCACCCTTTCTTTTCAAAGACATATTAAAAATAATTTTTAGGGATGGAGGGGTGGCTAAAGCAGTACAGCCCCTGCCTAGCAAGCCCCAGTACCACAAAAAGAAAAAAAAAAATTAATAGGCAGCATTGACAAAGGCTTTCTGGGAAATTCTAAGATTAGAGACATTAATTTCCTTTATCCAGAACAGATTACATTTTTAAACACTAATAGAAAAATCAACTTGACCCCTTGGAAATCACACAGACTGTTCTACCAGTGGTAGATTGCTTACCTAGTACTTATGAGGCCAGCACTCGCCACAAAATGTATGTATGTATGTGCTCATGATTATTTTTATCATATATATGTCTGTCTGTCTGTCTCTCTCTCTCACACACACACACCCTTCCAAATTCCTCTCTGTGAGCATCACAGCAGTAAGCTCTGAAGGAATTTGGGAAAATTTCTAGTTAGTGTGGCTTACATCAAGGATCACCAACTGACTGTTCTACAAGGCACATCTGGGCCCCAAGGTTAGTTTGATTTGTACTGTTAAAAATTTTTCTGGTTAGTTGCTACTATTAAACAAAAAAAAGGGTGGGGGGCGCTGGTAGAGTGGCTCAAGTGGTAGAGCAGCTGCCTAGCAAGTGTGAGGCCCTGAGTTCAAATCCCAGGGCCACCAAAAAAAAAAAAAAAAAGGCTTATTTTTCAAGCAAAGTTGGAAATATGATCTTGCTAGGTGGATGAAAATTTATCTTTTTTTGGTGGTACTAGGACTTGAACTAAGAACCCCATGCTTGCAAGGCAGACACTCTATCACCTGAGCCACTCCACCAGTCTGTAAATCTGATTTTGCAAAAGTCACTTGTATCCCCAAATGGTTCCAACAATCATTTGTCCCTTAGCCAGTGAATGTAGTCACATATCACCAGTCCCCACTAGGCCAGCCATCTCATTTATTTTCACATCTGAGTCCTATGAACACCTGAGGTTGAAATTCTAAGCTTCTACAAGTTTCTAATGAAAGCCTTGTTATGGCAGTTGTAAGCAGCCAACCTACACTATAAACTAAGCCTGAGAACCCAAGTGTAAGTCTTTTATTTATTTATTTATTATTTTTTTAAATCAAGATTCATCTGATTTTTATTTTATACTTTTATTTTTATTCTTAAATTTTACAAACAGGAAGATTGAACAAAAGTTTTCCACATCTGTCAAAGAATGAATCAACCAGAAAACATTTATTCTGTTTACCTGGACGTCTGATGGCAGGATCAGGATCAAGGGTTTTCTTTAAATATTCTGTTAATGTTTGCAAATTTGCATCGCTGAGCTCCATTGCTCTAGAACCTAAAATTAAAAAAAAAAAAAAAAGTTTGAGTAATTGGTTATTTGGAGGCACAGTGAGTTACATAAATGAATCCTTATATTAATGTCTTCCCCTCTCTGAAAGCCATGTATTTATCAATATGGGCAATAAACTTGACATTTAGCCGGGACAAAGTCTAAAAGACAGGATTCCACATTAAAAAAAAAAAAAATAAAGGTGATATAATTCTGAGAATAGGGAGAACAAACATCCCATAAATTTTAAGATAGGCATAGAAAAACAAAATTGAATAGTTCAAAGTCACCCATTTATGACTTAATGCTACAAAAAAAAAAAAAAAAAAGGTGAAACAAACCACAAACTTTAAAAAAGTTCTCGGTAGTAAAAGATGCTGAGATTAAAGAAAGCAGAGTAAAGCTGGCTGCTGGTAGTTCACGCCTGTAATCCTAGCTACTCTGGAGGATTAGTGTTCAAAGCCAGCCCTGGCAAATAGTTCATGAGACCCTACCTGGAAAAAATGGCTGGTGTAGTGGCTCAAGGTGTAGGGCCTGAGTTCAAACCCCAGTACCACAAAAAAAAAAAAAAAAAAGAGTAAATTCCTTCATGTATAACATGCAGTAATAAATACTTGCTAAAATCTACATACCGAGAAGGTGCATTAGGGAGGTAATCATAGAGTCCAAAAGATGAAAGATAGCTGATTATGATTAAAAACAATTTTCCTTTTTCTTCCCTTTTTACTGGAGTTTGAACTCAGGACCTCATGCTTGCTAGGAAGGCACTCTACCATTTGAACCATTCTGTCAGCCCTAGGCAGCTTTTAAACACACAGAAACATATAGCTCCAAGTGAACTGGAAAAATGTAGCCTTTCTAGGGACACCATGTGCCAAATTAACCTGAAGCTTCTATGATAAGGGAAAAATGTGTTATTTCTGTAAAATGTAACAAAGCTAAGTGGGAAGGTCAAGAACACCATAATTCAAATTATTTTTAAAAATCTGCATACAGCCAAGTGCTGGTGGCTCACCCTTAATCCTAGTTACTCAGGAAGATGGTGGTTCAAAGTCAGCCAGAGCAAATAGTTCCTGAGACCCCCATCTCTAACATAACTAGAGCAAAATGAACTAGAGGTGTAGTTCAAGTGGTAGAGACCCTGCTTTGCAAGCGAAAAGCCTTGAGTTCAAACTCTGTTCCACAAAAAAAAAAAAAAAAAAAAAAAAAAAAGAAAGAAATATTAATGATAGCCGGGCATTGTGGCTCATGCCTATAATCCCCACACCAGGGAGGCCGAGACAGGAGGACTGAAAGTTCAATGCCAGTCTAAGCTACCGAGACCCTGTCTCAAACAAACAAACAAACAACAACAAACCCAAAACCAAACCAAATCAAACACTTGGGGCATAATATAAAACAAATGTTAAAATCCCTAACAGCTAAAATACTGCATAGATTCTGGAATCTTGGTGTCAGCTAAAGGACTAAATACTTGTCAACAAATCCTTTTTAAAAAAATCTTAGTGATTAAGTCTTTAAAACCAAACACAAGTTGGGTATCCCTACCTAAAATTCCAAAATCCTCAATGTTACAAAATCCAAAAGCTTTAAATTTTTAGAGCACTTAGGATTTCAGATTTTTGGATATGGATGCTCAATAGAGTACAATATATAAACATTCTAAAACTTGAAAAAAACCCTGCAAAACCTGGGACTTTTCTGGTTCCAAGCATTTCAGAAACGGAATATTAGACCTATAGTTAGCTTAGCTCTGATTTAGATAAGCATGCCAAATCAAATCAGGGAATTTCAGAGAATACTCCACAAGTATTTACAATGTATCAGCAAAATCACAAGGTCTAATTAAGTAAATCTTATCTGACTACAGGTGAAATTTGACACTTTAATATATTACTGGCTGGGTGCATTGGCTCCTCATGTCTGTAATTCCAGCTACTTGGGAGGCAGAAATCAGAAGAATCACTGTTCAAGGCCAGCTGGGGCAAATAAACCAGATTGGTGGTGTTGTCTGTGGAGAATCTCAGTTTGAATCTAGCCCTTGGCAAAACAAGAGACCCCATCCAAAAAGTAACCCAAGTGCAAAAGGCCAGGGGCGTGGCTCAAGCAGTAGCGTGCCTGACTAAGCAAGCACACGGCCCTGAGTTCAAACACCAGTAGCGCCAAAAATAAATATATACATAAAACAATATTAGTAACATATAAATGTAAAACATATTGATATAAAAGACACATTAGAAACAAACACTTTATCACTTTTAAAATGAGAGCATGAGACTTTATTTTCCCTGCAGAGCTTTGGGAATCCTTACCAATTAAAAAAAAAAAAGCTACAATAAATGAATTATGATAGATTTATCTAAATTCCAAATTCTTCTTGTTGAATAAATGGCTGAACCTAAACCTTGTCTCTTCCTACAAACCCTCAGTTGTAAATGAAGATTTTTAGAATAAGAACTTGTTTTTTTTTTTTTGGTGGGACTGGGATTTAACTCAGGGCTTTGCACTTGCAAGGCTTGAGCAACACCTCCAGTCCATTTTGCTCTGGTTATTTTGGAGATGGAGTTTCATGAACTATTTGCCTTGGCTGACCTCCAGATCTGAGTCTCTCAAGTAGCTAGGATTATAGGAGTGAGCCACTGGTGCCAGGCTTAGAAAAGAAGCTTTGCTTTCCAGGGCCATTTCTCAAATATCCGTGATATTAACTAATCCAAAATGTGTGCCTTTTCTTTAGATAACAGAACTATTCCTGAGGCCTTTCATCCGTGGAGAGGGAATGAAATCCAATAAAACACACCACAGCAAAAACATACTCCAAGTCGGGCAACAGTGGCTTGTGCCTGTAATCCTAGCTACTTGGTAGGCTGAGATCAGGAGGATCAAGGTTTGAGGCCAGCCTGGGCAAATTGCTCGAGAGACACCTATCTCCAAAATAACCAGAGCAAAATGGACTGCAGTGTGGCTCAAGCAGTAGATTGCCTGCTTTGTAACCTCAAAGTCCTGAGTTCAAATTCTACCCCCAACCCACACACAAAAAAACCGGGTGTGTGGTTCAAGTGGTAGAGATCCTGCCTACTAAGCATAATGGCCCTAAGTTCCACCTTTAACCAAACCAAACCAAACAAAAACCACACCCAGACACCTCATCCTCCCTCTGCTTTCTAACTCCAGAAGTCCACCACTCAGCATCAAATGCAAGCTCCTCACCTTACCTGCACTCTTGTATGACCTGTCCCTGGATCCCATCCTTCCCTTCCTTCACACACTTTAGCAACCTGGATGTTTGTCAGATGTTCCAAGCCTGTTTCTGTCCTTCAACATTTACACTTCCTACTCCCTCTGCTTGGAATGCTGTCCTCTCCCCTTCCCTGGATGGTCTCTGCTCAAATGCCACCTCTTCAGAGAAGCCCTCTTTGCCTGGCACATCATTTTGTCATTATCTGAAATCATCTAATTTGTCCATCTATGTTCTTGGGAGGTTTTTTCGCCCACTAGAATACAAGCTCCCCAAGGGAAGGGACCTTGTACACTTATTTCCTCACTACACTTCCAAAGATTAAGAGGATGCTCAATAGACTTATTAAACAAATAAACAAACTGGATCCAAGACTAAGACCTGCTCTCCCAACCATCCAACCCTGTGTAGAAAATTGCTTCCCTCTGTCCCAGATCCCAACTAGCAGAAATCAAAGTAACCAGAAGAGGAGAGAATTCCTCTGTGTTGATGGAAAGAAGTGAAATATAGTCACTGGAAGGGACAGCAGGTACATCAAGAGTCTCAGGAATTATGCAAAAAGTAGGGACATACAAGGAAAGGCCATGAACCTGACCGTGGGACCTCAAGGTGAAGAGAATAAAAGCATCACTGGACACCTACCTTGAAGAACACTTGTGCACCTACATGTAACAAGCACATGCAGAATACAACAAAACAAGACATACAAGGTCCTTGCACTTTTTTTTTAAATGGCGGGACTTAAGTTTGAACTCAGGGCTTCACGCTTGCAAAACAGGCGCTGTACAGCTTGACTCACATCTTGAGTCCATCTTGCTCTGGTTATTTTGAAGATGGGGTCTCGTGCACTCCCTGCCGAGGCTGGCCTTGAATCGTGAACCTCCGAATCTCAGCCTCTCAAGGAGCTAGGATGACAGGGGTACGCCACCAGCACCAGGCCGGTCCTTGCCCTCAAAGAGCTTACACTCTAGCAGCTGACAAAGAAACAAGTAGACAGTAACTGAGGTAAGGTAAATCCTGCTAAGCTTTGAAGCAAATAAAGCTAAAGTAATACTGCTGGACAGAGCCTGGTCAGGGGAGGCTCGAAAGAAAGGGAGCCAGCCCTGCCATCTGAGGTCGGAGGTTTCCACGGAAACGAAGAGGAGCAGGTGCTCCGAGGGAAGAGGGATCTTGCAATACCTAAGAAAAGGCCGGCCAGCAGAGCTCCCTTTTCTCCAAGGAGAAAGCGGGTGGGAGAGGTGGACGACGGTCAGCGCAGGCTGGCCCTTTCGAAACCGCCTGAGTAACAGCGCATGCTCAGGGCCGCTTCGCGAGGTGAGTTAACGCCGTTTTGCAGGTAAAGGGACGGTGGTTTCGGTCTGGGGAAGGAGGGCCTGCCTAGCATGTGCGAGGCCCAGGGTTTGAGCGCCTGCACCGAAAAAAAAGGGAATAGGACCGGCCCCAAATGACACTCCTAGGGAGAGCCAATTCCTGGGCCTGAGCTCCCGAAGACAGCGGAACCTTTACTGGGCATCTCTTACGTCCCAGGTGCACAAACAACTCAGCAAAACGAGATCGCGATGCCAAGTCCACAGTCGGGGAGACTGAGGCACAGCGAGCCGAGAGAATGGTGCACTCAAGGCCCTACGGCGTTCGGGACCGGCAGGCCTTGCCGCGGAACTCGGCTCGCGCTGCGGCCCGGCGCGCGGAGAACCGACGCGCGGGCGCCACCAATGAGAAGCGGCCTCCCCGCGGCGCGGCCAATCAGCGCGACGCTGGAGGGGAAGGGGCGGGCGCTCACCCGGCTCGCATCAGGCCGCGCCCCGGCTACATCGCCCGTAACAGGCCCCGAGGCTGCCTGGCTGGAGCCACAGGCTGGACCGCCGCGGGGTGCCCGAGGGAGCCAGCCCGCATTCCGCTCTCGCCCGGGGGGCGTCCTTGTTTTTCGAGCGCTCCGAAGTGCTTCATCCTTCCCTCACCCAGATCCCAAAAGCCACCCTGCTAGGCCGTGCTCGCCCCGCGCCTCACCTCGTGGGGATCCGGGTACAGAGGAGGGAACCCCAGCTGCGGACTGTAGGCGGCACAACCCGGCCCCGCCGCTACTTCGCCTCACATTCAAACCCCGGCAAAATGGCGCGGTGGCGAGGGTGAAGCCAGAACGCATGCGCGAGCGGCGCCTCGATGAGGGGGCGGAGCCAGGAATGCCCCCGGCCCCGACCAGGCTGCGAGGGCCAATCAGAACCCGTCTCTGGTTTTGCGCTGATGTCACAAGGGCGATTGCCCTTTGGCTTTGGCATCTCCAACCTTGTTCATGATCACGGGGGTTTCTCGGGACGAGTGTAGATTCAGTGAGTGACTTCTGGATCGTGACCTACTATGATGTTAGGAGTTGGCGGCTGCTTAGGTTACTGTTGATCGAACAGTCCTCTTTCAAGTAGACATAGGGGGCGCTCGGCCCCTGATTGACTTTCTATTTTAGAGGGAGAAGCGGAATAAACAAATGAACACGGATTTCATCCATGACAGGCAGCGACCTGGAAGGTAAATGGGATGGCCAGGGAAGGCTCCTGAAAAGGCCCAAATACTGCTGTGTGGGGATGGGGGAAAGAGCTTGAATCAGGGAGGCCAGGAGAGAGGTTGTTGGAGGCATGCAGGGGAGCGAGATGATGTCTAGGATGGGTAGCAGCACATATGGAAGAAATGGACGGCTTTGGGGTATATTTTAGGGATAAGAGCCCATAGGATTCTGATACACTGAGTGTGGGGAAGAGAGGAACCAGTGACGAATTAATAAGATCCAGCCCACAGTTTTGGCCACCACTTGCTTCTGCTCCCTCAGCAGACCCAGTTTCCTTCTCAGAGCCCATCCCTGAGACTGAAAGGCACCATTTGGTCATTACTTGATGAAACAAGTTTTATAATAACAAAGTTATATAGGAATCCTGGTTACAAACTTATAAAATCAATACCAATGGACAAAATCCTGCTTAGCGTGAGTGAAGGGGCTATAGATGTAAGTTTTTGGTGAATTTACTGACCGTTTTGTATCATAGCCTACAAACCTTATCAAACCTTGCCCCTGCTGACCTACCTGCCCTCATCATCTCCCTCCCCTCATCATCTCCCTCCCCCCATGCCCTCTGCCCCTTCTTGCTTTGCACTTACTCCACTGCAGAACTGTCACCTCTACCTGGGATGCTCTTCAGAGACCCTGAATGATGGGCTCCTTTGCATTCAGGTTGCAGCTCAAATGTCATCTCCCCATAGAGCCCTCCCCTCTGTCCAAAATTGTCCCTCCACACACACACAACAGCACACCGTTTAGCAGATAAAATACAGGATGCCCAGGATACTAAGAATTTCAGGAAAATGCATATTTTAGTATAAATATATACTAAAAATACCAAAAATCATGCATTGTTCATCTGAAATTAAAACAGGGCATGCTATATTGTGTCTAGTGGGTTTGGCTCCATTATATCATTGTTTTCTTCATGGCAGTTAGCACTATCTGCAATTAAGTCTTTTTTATTGCCTTCCCCCTCTATTAGATTCCTTAGAATCTAGTAGACTCTAATAGATTCTATTAGAGCAAGGACCTTATTGAGTTGGTTTATAGCTGTTTCCCCAGCACCGAGCACACAGTAGCTGATCGATAAATATTAATTGGGTGTTGAATGAGATACCATATATAAATATATTAAATAAAGCCAGGCATGTAGTCCCAGCACTTGGGAGGCTGGGGCAGGAAGATGGAGAGTTGGAAGCCAGCCTGGGCTACATGGCAAGACACTTTGTCAAAAAAAAAAAAAAAAGAAAGAAACCTAGGTAAAATGACATGTATAACTACATTAAGACACTGGTGAAAGATTTTTTATTTTTTATTTTTTTACCACTGAAGCAATAGTACAGCAATTTTCTTCCTTAGAACACTGGGGATTGAACCCAGGGCCTGCAAGTACTCTACCACTGAGCTACACCCCAACCCAAAGCAATCCTCTTGATCACACTGACCTGCTTTCCTGGAACAAACATTTTCCCCCAGTCCTGGGAGGAAATAAAGCTGATGACTTGATGACTTTTCTGTTTTCCATCTGTGGCATGAAGGATGTGTGATTGGGGTCCTGTGTCTACTTAGCATCTCAGCCAGTTTCTGCAGAAAGCCTATGAATTGTGCCAAGATGATCTTGTCTATGGACACAGATCTGGGGGTCAGTCACCCACCATTTCCCTTTGCAACCACTAGAAGAACCATGCAGGCAGAGGCCATGGGAAGGCTACTCTTCACAGTGCATGGCTGATGCCTAAAGACTCCCTTGGGAGTACTAGAAGAGTAGCTGAAGAGGGAGAGTGCCTGCCTAGTAAGCGTGAGGCCCTAAGTTCAACAGTACTGCCAAAACAACAACAACAACAAAAACTCCTTGGGAACCACCACCAACAACAACACACACACATACACACTTAGGGTTTGCTGCATCCACTGTGTTGGAAACCAAAGAAGATAACTGAACAGGAACCTAAGTAGCCATTCCTAAGGTTTCCTTTCTTTATAAACCCTGATGAAACAGTCTGTCTAATGGGAAAGCAGTCTCAAAAGACACATAGGAAGACAGTTTTATGTTTTATTTGGATCAGAAGGGTATGAACACATATGGCTACGCTTGAAGAGAGCAAGGCTTCTTCTGCTCCATCTCACTTTTAAAGTCCAACTGGGATGAAGTGTGTTTGTTGAGAGCTAAAGCTGAGAAGCACACAAGTGTTTCTTACCTTTTTAAAAATGGAGGCACCTTGCATGTAGCGAAAAATGCCACACAGTACAAAACAGGAAAGCAATCACTAATTAGAATGTGAGCCCTCAGGTATATGCTGTCTGGTAATCCCTTATTTAAAAATATACCTGGTGCCCTCTGAGAAGCATACTGTCTCTCTTCACGATCTGTCTGGCTTTGTTATGGTCACCATGGACTTCATTCTGCCTCTGGTTTCTATTTGAAAGTTACTTTACTAGGTAAATAAAGGTCTCTGCCATTTCTCTTGCCATGTGACAATGTGAAATGTTTCTGTGGCTCTATGAAAATTTTTCTCTTCCAGTTCTATCTTGTCTGATATAAATAATGCCAGACCTGCTACCTCTGGGTTAACACCTTCCAGTGCACCTCTTACCATCCCTTTATTGTCTCTTTTTGAATCTTTTTGTATTAGTTAAGACATCCCCATCTGTGTGAGGCTCAACAGGTTACAACTTATTAGTTGTCTAATCTCTAAGATAGAGATAACAGTAGCAACTTGCCTCATAGGGTGGTGGTGAGAATTAAAGAGGCAATACAAGCCGGCTGCCAGTGCTCATGCCTATAAATCCTATCTACTTGGGAGGCTCAGATCAGGAGGATCAAGGTTGAAAGCCAGCCTGGGCAGATAATTCATGAGACCTTATCTCCAAAATAACCAGAGCAAAATAGACTGAGGGGCTGAAGATGTGGCTTAAGTGGTAGAGCACCTGCTTTGCAAGTGTGATGCTCTGAGTTCAAACTCCAGTTCCACCAAAAAAAAGAGACAATACGTATGGATACATATGGAATGTATAAGATACCCCCTGGAAAATGGAAAGTGCTCAATAATGTTGGCTGTTATGACCAAGTTTTTTCTTTTTTCAAGCTGGGGTCTTGGTAAGTTGCCCAGCTGGCCTCAAACTCACTATTTACCCACCTTGACTCCCAAGTAGCTGGGATTATGGAGTGCATTGCTACTGTGCCCAGTTTTATTCTTTGTAGTGCTGGGAATGAAACTCAGGGTCTCATACATACTGAGCTTGAGGTCCACCACAGCTATGCCCCAGCCCCACCACTTGTGTTTTTGACCTCATCCCATATCTTGCAGTCCACCATTCCCCCCAGGTGATGCTGCCTCAGGCCTGGGCAAGCTTGCAGACTTGCTGTAGCACCACTTCAGAGGGCTCCACTCTGGTCTGCTCAAGCTGCTCCCTCCCCATAGGCAAGTAGGTGCACTCATCCAGTACCAGTGTGACTCCTTTCAGGTCTCTTTTTGTTGGCCATGCTGGGGTTTGAACTCAGGTCCTCATGATTACTAGGTAGGTGCTCTACCACTTGAGCCAAGCCACCAGCTCTTTTTATGTGTGTTGGGTATTTTTGAGATAGGGTCTCACTTTTTGCCTGGGTTAGCCTGGAACCTTGATCCTCCTGATCTCTGCCTCTTGAGTATTTAGGATTACAGGTGTGAGCCACCAGCACCCAGCCGCCTTTCAGTCTGTTCTTCAGAGACCAACTACACAGTACATGTGAACACCCTGTACTAGAAGGGTGACAAAGGGCAGAAAGGTGTTTGCAGGGGCATGGACAGAGCTAGATGCCACACACACATTTAAGACCTTGTGGTGCACATTGAAGCTTGAGGTAAAAAGAGAAAAGAGTGCAGGTCAGGAGCCAGGTCTCCCCAGGCTGCCACATGCTGGCGTGTACCTCTGAGAATCCCACCTCTGAACCTGGCCTTCAGGCCATCGCTAAGGTACCTTGGTAAGAGGAGGAGGGCAGAATGTTTACTGAAATGCCTATTAGCTTCCACTCACAGCACATGAGCCTACTTTGTATTTCTGCAAATGATGTTGGTACTAGGCCAGGTGTGTTCTCTGTCCACAGGCACCATGACCTATCCTATCCATCCGCTCTCCAACACATCAAAACAGCCTTCTCTGTGTGAAATTCATCCATGGGGTGAGACTAATGGAAGCCCAAGCTTGCTGTGGAAGAGAGGGGTGGGAACTGGAAGTGGTGCTGTGCAGTGTTTAGGACGGGGCTCTAGAGCCAGATTGCAGGACTTTGGATCCTGCTGAGTGCCTCAGGCAATCTGGGCTCCCGGTTCCACTCTATAAAAAGCTGGACTGGTGGTGGTGACTATTTTATGGAGGTGCTGTGAGAATCAGAGATTGAAGAACAATTGAAATGGTGAGCATAAAATAGCTGATTGGTAAAGCCAAGCAGGAGGAAGTAGTGAAGTTGCCACTCTTTCCTCCTCCGGGGAGCAAGGCTTCAGGTGCCCAGGGCTGGGCTCCCAGGGCTGCAGGGGAAGTAGCTTCCTCTTCAAGCTCATGAAGCGAACTGAGAGTGGAACTCAGCAGCCCAAGCAAGCAAAGGAAATAACCTAGTTTCCCCAAATGTGTGACTATTCCATGATCATTCTACAAGAATTTTTTAAAATCCTGGGTGCTAGCAGTGGAGTTTAGTTCAGCTTGCCTAGCATGTGTGGCCCTTGGTCCCCTCCCTAGCACTTCAAAATCAATTACAACTTAAAAAATATGTAGTAAAATCCTTGCATTCTTTCACCAAGTATTCACTGGGTGACTACTGTGTGTCAGGCGCTGTGTTCCAGCAGGTGAGACTGTCATAAGCAAAACAGCATGGTCACTGCCCTTGAACCTGCATTGGAGATAGGTGAGGAGACATCACTACAGTCTGTGGTGAGCTCCAAAGGGAACACTGGTCAAGGAAGCCTCCAGAGAAATTAACATTTGAGGTGAACCAGGAGCAGGCCATGGATAGATCTAGGGAAAGAGCATCTAAGCAGAGGGAACAGCAAGGTCAAAGGCCCTGGGGCAGAAGCAAGCATGGAAGTCAAAAGCAGTCATGAGCTAGTCAATTTTAAGATGTGTAATAGTGGGAAAAGGAAGGCAGTTCATGACTCCACCAGCCCTTTTAGTGGTGTGTGTGTGTGTGTGTGTGTTGGGTATTTCTGAGATAGGGTTTTGTTAACTATTTGCCAAGGCTGCCTTCCAACCAAGGTCCTCCTGATCTCTGCCTCCTGAGTAGCTAGGATTATAGGTGTGAGCCAACAGTGCCTGGCTTAGTAAGCAGCATCTTAAACAAGCTTGGGCTGGCCCTTCCTTAACCAGTGATCCCATAATGTTCTCCCTTATAAAGCAGGTAAGCAGAAATAGGAAGGGCAAAGAATGCTGGAAGTGTCTGCCCCAAACTGACTGCGGAGCCCTACATCACAGGCTGACAGAGCCTAGGCCGAGGCCCTTCAGCCTCAGCACCATGTGTGGGCTTAGGAAACTCCTTATTGTGGGGGGCTGTTTAGCAGCGTCTCCAGCCTCTACCCTCTAAGATACCAGTAGCCACTCTTGTGCCAGTTTTGACAACCAGAAATGTGTCCAGACAGTGGCAAATGTGCCACATGTCACCTTGAGGACAAGTGGGCACACCTGGATGGCAGCAGGTTGGGAGAACATTGTGGTAGACCAAAGCTGGGTCCTACCTGCTTGGACAGGACTAGGTTCTTGCATCCTTTCCCAAAAGGAGCACTAGCTGCCTTCTGTTCCTCAGCAGACATTCTTTACCTGGAGTTCAGTCCCACAGAGATTCAGGTTTTACTTCAGGGAATTAATAAAGATGACAACATTCATCAATCAGTTTCAACAGGGACTATTTTAATATGATAATTGATAGCTTTAGAGTATTTCAGAAAGAATTCTGAGTTCTGAGGTAGACAATCCAAGCCTCATGTTTACCATCCTCCTACGTGAGCAGCACGCTGAGAACTCTCAGTCCCCAGCTGGCTCCCAGCCAGTCTGCTCAGTGCCAGTGAGAGTGGATTTCTGTCTTTTTGTGAACTGACCACTGGTCATATTCATTAAGGTAAAGTGGATTTGAGAGATACATAAGAATCTGGTCATGTCTGGGTTTTCCCCACCTTTCATTTTGGGGAAGGGCACTTATTTTACCACTAATTGGGAACTATAATCTTAAATCTGCCATGAGAAAAAACTCAAACTAACCTGAAATTAGGGCTTGGTAATATTGTAATCACTACATTAAATCATTCGTACTTTTTAAAACTTTATTGATTTACCACCTGATCAAAGCATGGGATATTTTAACAGTATTATACATAATAATTTTACATAGAAAACTTTACATAGCATTTCTAATTCTGCTTTATTCTTTCAAAAAATGTATACATCCACTGGGCAAGGAATGCTTTTTATTAAATTACCAATATTAAATGCACTTAATCATTGTGTATAGATTAAACCAAAGTAACTATTAACTAACCTTTAGGCATTTTAAGGAGGTAAAACATACATTGTGCACATAAAGAAATATTTGATGCGAATATGCAGGTAAAATTTTTAAAAAATTAGAACACTGAGAAAAACTACACTTTTGGTGAGTGTCATTTTTTGAGAGCAAGGATCTCCAGATATATTCATTCTTCAAAATGCTCAGCTTTGGTTTCTTTATTTCCCAAACTTGCAAAGCTGCTGGTAGCAAACTCCAGGGTTTCATGTCACTCAGGCGGTTCAGGCTATGTCTACCTTAATGCAGAGAGTGAAACAGAATTCAGAAGGATCCAGCTTCCACTGAAACCAATATCCTTCCATTTGCATCGTGACAACAAACATTCGGATGAGACGGTGACACTTGTATTTGTCAGCAGGTCTTTTAGTCACTACAAAGACAACTAAATATATAGCCATAATCACAAAACAACAAAAATGGTTAGGGTTTTTTCATTTTGTACAATTGTCTCCTGTCAGAGGAAAATGTTGTGTCTCAGATATTATTATACAATTTTCAAAATGCATGTTCTTTGGTTGTACGTGAGGAGTACAAGGAAAAGGCGCATTTGATGCTAAAGGTGCACACTGGAAATAAAATTTCCATCTACTGTTTGTTGTTAAGATGCCAAGCTGGTGATCTCCCTAACAGAAAACGAAGAGAAAAAAAATTGCTCAAAGCAGCAGTTCTGTAACAAAAACTTCTCTAGAGACCCAGTACATATAAAGCAACACATAAAGCATTCTGAGAAAAAAAATAAGGCCTTGGAAATGCTCCATTCCCTCGGTGACTTAGTTAACCCTAAACAGCATCCCGGCTCAATGTTGGAGAGCTACACACATGCTCTTCACTAGTGTTCAGTGGCTCATGCCACATTTGCCATAAGAAAGAATACATTTGTTCACAGAAGAATTTAGGCTGAATGGCTTATTAGTGGAGAAAAAGGATTTCCTATTTGTTGCTGTCCACTGACAAGAAAAATTACCCTGGTTTTACATCCAGTTTTTAAAAGGTCCACTGTGGATATAATTCAAACACCTCATTCAGAAAATTAAATCTTTTACAAGACAAAATTAAAAAATTCAAGCCCAAATGTTTCACCAAGTAATACAATGGACTGACACATTTCCTATTTGCAAGAGGCTAAAATGAAAGAGAAGGTAGGAGGACACTGGCAGTGCTCTCATGAACAAAATAAGTCACCAGAGGGGATGCAGCAGTAAAAAAGACACACTCCATCAATGAGCATGTACAAATATCAGTGCTGATGGACGTGATGAGGTGTGATAGACAGCAGTACAAGGCAGCAGGTCTTAGAATGTTGGATTCATGGTGTAGCATAAAGATGGAATGAATTCCAGGACAAGTCAGTCAAATGTACTCACATTTTCCATTCACAGTAAAATGTTCTCCCATAGTCCCTTCCTGTTAAAATTATATAGCCACTCTCATCTTATGTATACAAATACAATAAAAACCTAAACCTGCTTTTCTTCCTTGGTAGAGAAATTAAAACACTTTTGGGGAAAGAAAAACATAAATGAGGGTACCACCAGCCAAAACCAGCATTTCTCAAGGCTGTTTTAAAAAAACAAGGTAAGAAATTGGTCTCTTGGTAAGCAAAGCACCAGAAATCCTTCTCTAGAAAGAAAAAACATCTAATTTTACAAATTCCCAAACTACTAGCTTCTAAGGCACCAGAGTTGACATCAATACAACCCAAGTTACAAGACAAGGATGCAGGTGGAAGTCTGAATGTCTCCAGCACTCTCTGTGGGGCACTTTGATGCTCAGTGCTGCTCAAGGTGAGCCACGGATGAGGGCAGAGAATGAAATGCATGTTTTCTTTCTCATGGACTCAGAATCAATGAAGCTTCCAAGTACGCTGCTTGTGGGCTTTGGGCACACTTCCAGGGCTCGCTTTCATACAAGCAATGCCAGCATTCTGCTCTACTGCAGTTCAGGGCACTGTACCAGTCAGCAAAGGGCCCAGAATCTCATCTTGCCAACGAATTCAGCCCCTCGGCTCAAATAAGCAGCAGTGCCACTGCCTGCCACTGCCTACCATCGTCACAGCTCAGCTATGCTGGCTCCACTCGTGGCTGAGGTCACAGGAGTGATGTGTCTCACACATAGTTACTACCTTCTCTCGAGGTCCCTTTAATGGGGACTGTGCAAAACAGCAATACTAACCACCAGTATACTCACTCTCTGAGGTAAAAATAAAAAGCTTTACTCAAAGATAAATGAACTCTGGGTAAGTTAATACTTCATATTCATGACTACTTCATATATTAAATTTCAGTGTGTGAGATGGACAGTGTATTCTGGAAATTTTCATTGAACACCCATCCACAAATACTTCAGGAAGACTAGTCATCTTCATTAAACTGTGTACTTTTTTTCTATAGACTTTTTCTTCCCAAGTTTCTAAAATAGGGAAAGCAATGAGGCACTACTCTTTTAATGTTGCAAGTTCTTAATTCTAAATTACTAAATTCTGCCTTCAATCAAATCTTAATACCTTTTTGTAAAATACTTTAAAAATAACTCAGACATTAACAAAACATAAAATTTAATGACCCTTCTTTTCCCTACCTTTCCCCAAACTAACTATGCTGACTTGTAACTGACAAAAACACTCAAACGTCTCTAAACACTCAAACAAAAAAACCAGCATATTTTAGGTGGCAGGTAGCCGTTACAAGAAATTTTATTAATGTACTCTCTAACAGACATGAACCTATACAGCTATGTTCAGTATTTTCAAGGAGAGTGACTTCCTCTGACAACACGTTTACAGCCAGTCATGAGACTCTGCTAGGAAGAGGTGGCATCTGCAGTGATGTCTGACCGTTTAATCAGTAAGATGAGTGACAGCTGAAGAAGATGCCCCACCCATTGTGTTACTAGGTCCAAAAGTTTATGAAACACCACAGCTCCTGCGGCCAGTGTAGAGGTCATATTGTCTTGGCTACTCTGAGATCCAAGAGGGTGGCTCCTAGTTTCTGTGTGTCCCACAAGACATGCCAGGCAGAAATGGCATGACGGATGTTCTACAGAGCTCCAGCAGTGGCCCATGGGGCCAAGGCTACCACACGGATGACAGTGTTGCTGGTACCTGCGATGGGTCTTCTGGAATCCATATCTTGTATACGACACCTATCCGTAGAAAGAACTTCCGCAGAACTGCTCGAAGCTCAGGGATCAGGTCAAACTGCATAATTTCACACAAGTAGGGGTAGTACATTGAAGCATGTGCTTTGAACTTGAGGAGAAAGCAGAGACGTAAAGTTACAAATGGAACTAGTTTTTTGGGGTTTTTTTTTTTTTTTTTTTGCATTTTTTTAAATGGAACACAATATATTTTTAAAAAAAAAATTTCATGGGACTGGGGTTTGAACTCAAGGCTTCCCACTTCTGAAGCAGGAGCTCTTCCATTTGAGCCACTCCCTAGACCATTTTGCTCTGGTATTTTGGAGATGGGTTCTTGTGAAATATTTGACCAGGGTGGCCTTGAACTGTGATCCTCCCAATCTCGGCCGTCCAAGTAGCTAGGATTACAGGCATGAGTCACCAGTGCCCGGCTTTTTACATCAATTTTTAGTAAATATTCATCTCACCCTGAAACTTCTTATAATATTGATGCTTTTTCTTACCATTAGAAACTTGTTAGAAAAAAAGTTTCCACATTAAAACCTATTTTAATTACTTCTTTGAATACTAGGATAGTCTTACTATCAGAAGTCAATAGCCTTTTATTTTATAAAGCAAGTTCCTAACCTAAACCAAGGTTTCACAATCTCAACCTTCCCTTCCTGCGCTAAAAATCACCAAACTGTCCCCAACAGCCACACCTGTGGCTGACACTGCAACCATTCTCTGGGGTTCTTCCAGAGATAAAGTCCTACACCTGAAAGCACCTAGTGTTTGTAATGAATTAACCTGTCTGCAGTGCACCTAGAATGGTGCTAATTATGTAATCATCCAGAGAGAACCCAGTGAAAAGCCCCAGACTTAACACCCTAGAAGAGAGGTAAGACTCTACTTGTCCATACCTTCTCATCGTTGATTTTGAGGGTTTTGGTTAGAAGTAACAACAGGAGACTCGTCCAGGCCTCCCGGTGGCTTTCAGAATTCACTGTGATGAAATAGGCAAGCGCTTCTCTGCACACGCTAGAATGAAGAGAGGTGGAGGCACATCAGACAATGCATCACAGACGCACCCTGGGGGAGACGTACTGTTTCTCAAAATGAGCACTCACTGAGCACCCACCATGGCTGTGCCATCATGGGCACATCACTGAGCCCTCATTGCTTCAGCTGTAAAATGGGGGCTACTGTGAGCATCAGATGAGATAAGTGCCACATGACAGCTTGACTCACCTGGCTCATGGCTAAGGCTGGGCTTCATCAATGTAGCACACGCCCAGAAGGCTTATGATTTCTAGCTAATATACAGCTGTCTTTCTTTTCTCATGATCACATGGAATTGCTATTACTTTGAAATCTGTTATGCTACAATCTTGACAGTTAAGTACATTCCTTTAGAGAGACTTTATGAATAGAGACTACGTAAGTACTTCTCGTGTCGGTTTGGTTTAAGAAATGAACAAGATACGGTGGAGCACAAGTGTAATCCCAACATTCAGGAGGCTGGGGCAGGAGGATCATGAGTTTGACGCTGGTGGTTCACGCCTGTAACACTACCTACTCAGGTGGCAGAGATCAGGAGGATCGCAGTTTGAAGCCAGTCCGGGCAAATGGTTCTTGAGACCCTATCTCGAAAAAACCACATCATAAAAAAAGGACTAGTGGAGTGGCTCAAGGTAGAGGCCCTAAGTTCAACTCCAGTGCCACCAAAAAAATAAAAAAGTTTAATCTGCAACGAATATTCCCTGTGGGAATCCTGGTTCATATTTCCAATGTATTTTCTTAAGTGTATTTCATAATAGAATTACTAAGCCAAAGAGAATGAACCTTTTCAGGTTCCTGGTATATAACTGCCTGTTTTGAGGAAAAATTATTTCACTGTACATGCCCATCAGCTGTCCAGGAGACTTCTGACTTACTAACATGGTTGCCAGTACAGTATGCTACTGTTTTTAAATCTTCAAGGAGTAGTAAAAGGAGGCTCAGGGGTAAGGGTGTACTTCAGTGGTCCACTGTGTGGTTAGCATACTAGAGGCCCTGGGTTCCATTCCCAGCATTAAAATAATAATTTAAAAAATTAGCACTTTAGTGATGCCTAGGAAGCAGGTGGCACGATGGGCTTTCTGCCTGGTATTCTATCTCCCCCAGTAGTACATTTCTGCATAACTGAGGCAGGCACATCCCGGTATCCATGTGATTCTAATTCCTTCATCCATGTGATTCTAATTCCTTCTTGGAATGAAGGAATGAATGCAGCAGCTCTAAAAAGGACCTCCTCCCAGAAGGGACAATGACCTGCCCAATGTCCCAGGTGCCAGCCACAGTTAGGACTTCTCTGTAACCTGTGGACTCAGCAGTCAGAGTACTTCTCACTGCTGGTATCTCGTGCTTGAGGGAGGACTCAAGAGTGGGATAGGAGGCTATGCCCTCTTTCTTCAGGGAGGAGTCACCAAGCAGAAGGCATAGATTTTGTGGAGTTTCAGTGTGTACAAATTTTTCTTCTATTCTTTCCAATTCTGATGTATTTTGTGAATGAAAGACATGAAGTTGAAAGGGAAACCAATGTTCTTACGTTAAAAGTCGCTGCTGTATTTCACCCCAGGAATCCTTGCGGTTCTCATCGATATACATTCGAAACAGGATCCTCAAACAACAGGCCAGGCTGCTGGTTTCTTGTTTGAGAAGATTGGGTTTAGACTTGCCTTTAAAGCCTAGAGATGAGACAGTCACATAAGTACGGCACTCTGCCAGGATAAGGTGCAGACATTGGGTGGGAACCGGTCATCTAGTTACTTTAGGAATACTGCAACATCTCACAGTTTTCACACAGCTCATTGTGGTTTCAGATGAAGGAGGTCATGACTGCAGAGGTATGTACTGTACAGATGACCTGATTCCTCCAGTTAGACTTACATATTGGCTAGGAAAGTCAATAGTTTTATCTCTGTCTCAAGGTAACAGCTCTTAAGAATTCTATTCTTTTCTAAATTGCAGGATTTTCCCTCCACAAAGCACACAGGATGATGCAGTTTTTAATACACAATAGTACCAACCAGCCAAAGGAAGGTAGAGCCCACCCTTACAAGTGAGACCTTATTACAGGCAAAGACATAAGCCTATGGATATTTTAAAGCCACAGGGAAAAAAAAAATTATACTTTTTTTTTTTTTTTTGGTGTTCTGGGGTTTGAACTCAGGGCTTCATGCTTGCTAAACAGGTGCTCTACCACTTGAACCACTCTGCCGGCCCTGTTTTGTGGGTCTTGAAAGCCATTTGCCCAGGCTGGCTTTGAACTGCGATCCTCCTGATCTCTGCCTACTGGGTACCTTGGTTTACGCTTATAATTATGCTGATTAAGCTACCAGTGCCCAGCTAAAAAAATAATACTCTTTAATTGTGGATTAAAACAGCCATTTGGGGAGAAGATTAAAGTAATGGTTAAAGATGATTGCTACGTGCAAAGTTCAAAATAATGAGAATCTTACCACTGCCCTTGGGGGGAAAATATATACATATATAAATATACATATGTATATATACATATACTCCAGTATGTAACTATTTGGCGGTAGAAACGAACAAGCACCCCACAGACGTAGGAAACACAGAATGCTTTCTGTCTCAGGCTGACCACACTTCACCACCATGTTTAACTCTAAGTTAGTGTTCAACTTCATGACTTGAAAGATGAATTCAGTTCTCCAGTTTTCAATCTGCCTTTTCGTCAAATACTTCTGAGAACCTACTGCATGCCAGGCAGTTTCCTGGCCCTGGGATGAAATCTATCCAGCATGTAGCACAGAAATACCCTGGAAGTTATTTCTAGATATTTGGCTCGGCCAATGTGTCAGAGTTGCTAGCGCTCCCTTTGGTGCATAACATGTGTCTGTCCAGGTAGTTCACTACAGGAGTGCATTCTTCTCATATCAGTGCATAAACATAGTTGGCTATGTTTAGAGAATTAAAGAAGCCTCCCAAAGACTCTGTGATCTAGGATGGTGACAAGTGTGGCCACCAAGCCTATCTGCTGTGGCCTTACCTGCTCTCCACAGGACAGTCCGCTGTTCGTAGTTGGAGTTGAAAGCCTTTGAGAACGAATGGGACTCCTGCAAGCAGTCCAGCAGCTTGAAGAGGTGCTGGGAAGACATGTACTTGTACATGCCCTGGTCCTCTGTCTTGATGTGGATCTCTGCATCCAGTGTGTCTTGCTGGAGGGAGAGGACAAGACAGCTAAGTAAAGACGATGGATGGTTTGGGCACTGTAATGGCAAAGGCAGTCTGCTTCTCCAGAGGTCAGATCTCTATAAAATCCACTTTGATTACCAATGCCCTAAGCTGTTTCCACTGAAGACAGCCCTGGCTGATGAAGGCATGTCCTGAGATGCTGCATGGCAGTGGGCTTGGTGGTCAATGTCAGTGTGCCTTCACTGCATAACCAGAAATGTGTGAGTCCCAAGTATTTCACTATAGGATTGCATTTTCTCTTTTCATTTAAAAATAAATTGAAAAATGAGAAAAAATATCAGTTGCTGGGTGTGGCAGTGCATACCTAGAATCATAGCTACTCAGGAGGCAGAGATGGGGAGCATTGTAATTCAAGGGCACCTCGGGCAAAAAGTGAGAATCCCCCATCTCAACAAACAAGTTGGGCAGTAGTGGCACACACCTGTAACCTAGCCATGTAGGAAGCATAGGTGGTAGGATCACAGTTGGAGACCAGCCCCAGGCAAAAATGACCCTATCTGAAAAATAAATAAAGCAAAAAAGGTCTGGAGGTATGGCTCAAGAGGTGGAGTGCCTGCCTAGCAAAAGCAAAGCACTGAGTTCAAACACCAGTACTGCTACCAAAAGAAAAAAGGAAACTGGGAGCCAGTGGCCCACACCTGTAATCCTAGCTACTCAGGAGGCAGAGATGAGGAGGATCGTGGTTTGAAGCCAGCCTGGGCAAATAGTCTGTGAGACACTATCTTGAAAAAACCCATCACAAAAGGCTGGTAGAGTGGCTCAAGGTGTGGGCCTTGAGTTCAAACCCCAGTACTACACACACACACACACACACAAAAATTCAAGGGCAACAAAGTGCATATTTCTTATGCACATCCCAAGCATAAGAAGTAAAGGAAATTGGTAGGCAAAGCCCAAATGGTGATGTGATAACTGATAAACTCAATGATCATATTTTCAAATGCTAAAGAAAAACCTTTAAAACGTATGAAATGATTGAAAATTTTATTGAACATGTTGCCTAAAATCTGAGCTGTGATCGGGGATTTTATACTTCTTGAGATGTCTCATCTAGAGATCACAGGAGGAAGACTGTGCACTATGTCCTAAACTGATCTCTAAATTCAATGGGATCCTTCTCAAACTGAACTTCACTGCAGGTATTAACAGCTGATCCTAAAATTCACATGGAAATAGAAGTGATACAGAAGTGGCATAACAATCTTGGAAAAGCAACTTCCCAGCTTCCAAAACTTCCTACAAAGCTGCAATAAGCAGGATAGTGTGCTGCTGGCCTAAAGATAAGACATATCAACAGGATGAAAGGTAAAGTCCAGAAATAAACCTTTATGTTTACGGTGAAGTGATTTCTAACACTAGTGCCAGTAAAATTCACTGAGGAAAGAAAGACACTTTGGAGTAAATGGTGCTGGGACAACCCTATATTACATGCCAAAAAAGGAAGTTGGACCCCTACTCCCATCAGAAACACAGAACTAAAAAACTTGTCCAGTATACTAGAGTTCTCAGAGTCTGATGGCCTTGACTCCCTAGTGAGGCAGTCAGTGCCCTGATCAGAAACATGCCCATCTGCATCTCAGAAAGTATGGGCTGGCAGCCTCTTTCCTCATGCCCTTTGGCGAGTTGCTTCCTGCTGTGGTGTATGTGGTATACTGTAAATCCTTTTTTGTCGTCCTAGAACTACTGTAGAATTCTGGGGAAGGGAAAGCTCCCTAAGCAGACCATCATCATGAAGGGCAAATTCTTCAGCAGAAGAGGTGAGGGGAAGATTAAGGAGGTGCATGCTGGTGGTGAGGAGGGCGGGGAGACACTGTGTGGGCTAAAGTCGCACAGAAGAAGGAAGTTCATTAAGCACTAACATTTTTTTAAAAATGCAATGCAGACCTAGAAGAGCTAAAATTATAAAAGTCTTATTACACAGGTGTAACTCTCAGAGACCTTGAATTAGGCCATATTTTCTTGGATTTGACATCAAAAGCACAAGGGGCTAAAGAAAAACAGGAGCCTTGGGAATTTCAACAAAATGAAAAACTTTTGTGCTCTAAAGGATACAAAACCAAGAAACTGAAAAGGGGCTGGCGGAGTGGTTCAAGTGGTAGAGCGCCTGCCTAGTAAAGCCTGAATTCAAACCCCAGGTCTGCCAAGGAAAAAAGAAAAAAAGAAACAAAGAAACTGAAAAGACAGCACAGGATGGGAGAAAATAGTTGCAAATCATATATTTGATAGGTGACTATCAAATACATATTATATATGTTGCATATATAAAGCCTCTTAAAATTCAACAAAGATAACAATTTAAAAATAAGCAAAGGATTTATTTGAATAGACATTTTCAAAGAAATAACAAGCACACAAGATGCTCAATGTCATTCATTACAGAAACTCTAGTCAAAACCACAGTCAAACACCATTTCCCATCCATAGGGCGGGTATCGTCACAAGGCAAGGCAGCACCCACTGGTGGGGAGGGTGTGGAGAAACAGAACCTCCTTACACTGCTACTGCAGACAAAACTGCAAACTTTGGCAAGTTTATAAAAAGATAAACACGGAGTTACATGTGATAACCAATTCCATCCACTCCTGGAATATAACCAAGAGATCTATGTGCACACAAGAACTTGCACACAAATGTTCATAGTAGTACTATTTTGTTTCGTTTTAAAGACAGTCTTGCTACATATGGCCCAGGCTGGCCTTGAATGCACGATCCTCCTGCCTCAGCCTCCCAAGTAGCTGGGATTACAGCCATGTGTCACTATGGAGAGGATTGTTCAGAGCAGCCAGACAGTGGAAATAATTCAAATGTTCATCAACTGATGAGTAGATAAATGACATGTGGTATATCCACACAGTGGAATGTTATTCAGCCATACATAAAAAGAATGAGGGTGACATGTGTTGGCGCATGCTTGTAATACCAGCTACTCAGGAGGCAGAGATCAAAAAATTTAGCAAAACCCCCATCTTAACCAAGAAGCTGGGTGTGGTGGTGCATGTCTGTCATCCCAGCTACACAGGGAAGTATAAATAGGAGGATCATGGTCTGAGACTATCTGAAAAATAGCTAAAGCAGAAAAGGGCTGGGAGCAAGGCTCAAGTGGCAGAGCACCTGCCAAGCAAGCAGGAGACCCCAAAATCAAACCTCAGTACTGCAAGAAAAAAAAAAAAAAGTATTGTTACACATGAATGAAACCAGAAAACACTATCCTAAGTTAAAGGAGCCACACATGAAAGCTCACATATTGTATGATTGCATTTACATAAAAGGCTCACAGCAGACAAATCCTGGGAGACAGAAATACATTAGTGGTTCCCAGGGTATAGAAGGAGGGGGAAGGGAGTAACTGCTGATCTCATAGCAGTTCTGAGATTTTTACAGTCATCAAGATATTTGCAAACTTGACAGTGGCAATGTGGGCACAATTTTGTCAATATACAAAAACCACCGAATTGCACATAAAAAATAAACACAAGAAAGGGTGGTCCTGGGCATAGGGATGTGTTTTGTTCACAGTAGTTACCCACAATAGCAACCCAGTGCTGCCTGGCTAGAGGTTTCTGATGGATGCAGCCCCAACCCAGCCCACCTCACTCACTCAGGGCAGCAGCCCCCAAGGCAATTAGGTTCCCACCCATGGTGAAAGGATACTTCAAAACTCTGAGCATGCAATTCAAGAATCCCTTATATATAGAAATCTGCACAGACAAAAAAAAAGCACTTTGTGAAGGAAAAGCTGGGATCTTTTTTGTTGTTAATGGCTTTTTGAGACAAGGCTGGCCTTGAACACTCAATCAGCCTTCTGAGTGCTAGATCTGTGCAGCATGGTGTCCAGATAAAACTGGGATTGTTGCATACCTATTGCCCCTCTCAGTTATGGTTAAACTGTACACCAGTGACATGGAATAGTTTTGGTGATAAACAGTACTCTCTCAAGCACCAAGATAGCGGGGTAACAGTTGAGCAGTGCACTGGTACACCAAGTGTGTGGGAAGGAAGAAGGAAGGAAGCCCTGGCTTCTAGTGTTTCCTGCTTTCTGTGGTGTAAGTTCCATGTGGCCAATTTCAAGTGACCAACGTAATGTCCCTGAATGCAGGGCTGGATAAAGATGAGCAGGATGGGCTCTGGACAGCCAAGCCCAGCTGAGCTGAGTAAGCTTCCTGCGGAGAATCTCCCCCTCTCCTCCCAGCCTGCTGTCATTACCTGGGCAGCAACCATGTGCTCTGCATCCTCCTTTTTGCTGGTCGCAGGGTAGAACACGATGTTGTCAATGGTCTGTATCAATTCCAGCTGGACCACACACTTGATGAGGAGGCTGGCAAACAGTTTCTGATCTATATTAGATGATAAAGATTAACCCTAATAATGAATCAGTCAATTTTGAGTAAATGTTCACTGAGCTCCTACCATGGGCCTGACATGATTTTTTTTTGGGTGGTATCAGGGTTTGAACTCAGCCTCTTGGCTTGCTAAGCAGGCACTTTACACTTGAGCCATGCCCCGAGCCTTGATACATTTCTTTTCTTTTTTCTTTTTCTTTTTGAGATAGGGTTTCACTTAATAGTCCAGGCTGGCTTCCAAATCATAATCCTTCTGGCTCAGCCTCCCAAGTGCTAGGATTATAGGCATATGTGACCAAGCTCGGCTCCTGGCACAATTCTTGATGCAGCAACATAGCAATGCCTACAATGAGCAAAATCACTGCTCCCATGCATTGACAGATGATGGGTAAGATTTAAGCAGACAATACAGTATGTCAAAAGATGCAAGGATGGGACACAGGGTTGGACTGCAAGTTCAATTAAATAAGCTGGTCAGGAAGAAGGCGAGGGAATTGACTGCAGGCTGTGTACCCAAGCAAGCTTCTGTCACCCATGGGCTACTATTCCAGAAGAGCTCTGCACTGGAGTCATGGTCCTGCAGCAGCAAGCCTCTCTGAGGAGCATCTCCCATTTGAGTCACATGCAGGAACAGCTCTTCCAAGTTCTTAGTTTCCGGGTCACTTTGTCTAACCTCGCTGCTTTCTGCATTACCCGTTTTGTGTCTTAAGAGGGCTCCTTTATCCCCTTCTAGTGGTTAGCAACCTTTGTCTGGTGAACAGTTCTTATACTCAAACCTCCCTGTTCATATCACCAGTGTAGCCAGATGTCTATACTCACAGAGGGCCCGGGATCCAGACCCTGTTGCTCCCCTGGGGAAGAGGGCATTTGGTTGCCCCACTGTCAGCTCAGTTGCAGTGACATGGATTCTCTTATTGAAAGGAATGTGCATTTGTCCCCGCACCCCTACAAATAACCATCTTATCTGGAGCTGAGGAAGAAACAGCTCCTTCTACCTCTGGTCACTGGAGGGAACTGGTTGTGCAGCAGTTATTAAATGCATCAGCCCAGCAGGGGACCTTTGTACCATTTCAAGGGTGACTACTTTTATTCCTTCAAAAGATAATGGTGACCCCACATTGCTTTGGTCTACTGAGCTGCTTCAGAAATTAACTTCAGTGCTCACACCTAGGATACAGTAGGACTGCTATGCAGACAATGGGGTGCACAAATTTAAAAAGACCACAAGGACATTTTAAAGTTCTGAGTCTTCATTCTACCAAAAGCTGTCTGAATCCCAATTCTACTACATACTGGCAAGTCATATCTGACTAGGCCCCAGATCACTCAAATGTACAACAGGTTCTCCCTAAAGACTAGCAAGAGTTTTAAGTGAGATCACACAAGTGAAACATGGTACAGTGTCTAGCATATTACCATTGATACACTTATTTTTCAAAATGGGAAACAGTAACACACACTGTAAGCAATACTGAGACAAACTGGTAAAAGTAAAGATTACTTTACTGTCTGAAACTTGTATCCAGAAATAGGATTTCTAATACATAAGGTGTTCCTCCACACCAATAAAAAAGGATCAGCAGTCACCACAGAATAGAGACATGAGCAGAGTCCACAGAAAATATAAGTGCTTCCTAAACACAGGAAGCTGGTCAGTCCCAGCCAGAATGAGGAGAGTGAAACTGCAAACTAAAGCCACCGTAGAGGCCAAATGTCTTCTAGGCTCCCAAGATCATGAAAATCAGCGCAGCCCTGATGCACAGCAGTCCAGAGACATTGCGCTGCTCCACTGACCCACAGGCCCTACTTCTGAAATTTACTACGTAAACTAACGTCATATGAATTGTGTTATGCAGAACAGTACTGTTTGTAGCAGTAAATGGTTACTAATTTAATGAAATAACAGAAATTCAGCAGTCGGCTAAAGATACGTTTATATATTGAGATAACAAGGCAACAGTGAATATGAAAACATGTTATGTACTGATTTTGTGGGTTTTTTTTTTTGGTAGCACTTTGAACTCAGGGCCTCATAACTTGCTAGGCAGGCGCTCTACTCCTTGAACCACTCATATACTGATTTTGAATGAGCTCTAAGATAAACTAAACAAGCAAAGAATGATGCATACTAGTCTGTAATTCATATAAAAAGGAGAGGAGGAGAACTTATGTCTGTGTGCATGTATGTCAATGGACACACATGTGCTTGCTGGCACATGAACAAAATGACTCCAGAAAGTCACTGGCAGCACAGCTGACACGGGTAAGGAGGAATATCCCATTTGCCCTTCTCAATATTTTAATCACATAACTGTGTCATGTATTTAAAATAAATTCAAGAAAAAAAACCCAAAACAAACCAAAACAAAAAAGGATCTTACTCGCATAGGGTCTGCCCTTCCAGCTGTCATCGGTTGGGTTGGAGAGCTGGCTCTGGCCTCGCTCGGATGCATTTCTATCTATGCTGCTTAGAGACTGGCGGTCCAGATCCACTTCCTGAATGAAACCAGAGAACACCACAGAGCTCACTTGTCTTCAGTGCCTGAGTAGAGGTGTCACTGTTCAATACCAATGGCCCAGCTTAAATTTAAGCTATTTCTGACATTTCTCTATACATTATGATCTTAAGATGACTGTGATAATTTAATTAGATCAAGTTCAAAAATGGTAATGCAGTGGTTATTTATACAGCTGATAGTAAGAGACAGAATTAAAAAACAAAATATCCAAATAATGTGCTTCACATTTAGGTTGTTATATCCTAAATGCCTTTTAAAAACTAATGGTTTTATAGTTATTTGGGTATATGTTAATAACTTAACCTTCCCCCACTAGTACCCAGTAAACCAAAGTATTATAAAGTGAGATTTTAATTAGAGCTTCTTTATGTGTCCTCACACAAAAAATAAGAACTACAGTTTCTTTGGTGGCAAGGAGAGCACAGCTTACTTAGGGTAGTAAACACAGATAATCCCTCCCAGGTGCTATTTATAACAGAAATACCAGAACTGACCTAACAGTCTACTCTAGGGAGAGTTAGCTAGAAAGGTTACTGAAAAGGCTATTGTCAAAGAATATTAGGAACACAGAAGAACGACCACAATGTTATTAAAATGTGTCAAGTAACTCATTGTGATTGTGTGGGGGGTCTGTCAGGCATGCAGAGATATAAAAGGAGAAAGCTAGAAAGGTGAACTATGCTTTTTACTAGGTGAGAAGATTTAAAAAAACTTCCCTGTACTTTGTAAAAAAAAAAAAACGTGTATACACACACACACTCTCTCTCTCTCTCTCTCTCTCTCTCCTGTACTTTGTAAAAAATGGTCATAAACCTGTATAGATTTCGGATGTTATAACCTTTTCTTACAGACTTCCATCAAAAATGCAAACTACACAGACTAAAAACTGATTTTATTAAGATATAAGAAGAGAGGAAGAAATAATAAAATCCTACCAAGTGCTTTTCTGATGACTCCTCCTCTGTCCCCACAGGCCTCCATGTCAGCAAACTTAAAGGAGTGGGAGAGAAGGAAATGATCAACATAAAGGCAACCAGGAGCTGAGATGTCCAACATAGGACTAAGCGCAGCAAGGGCATCGCACTTACACATGTGGGATGGTGGTTTTGAATATATCTAGCATACAGTTGCATGTTTCATTCCAGACTTTGGGACTGAATTTCTCTCCACTGGATATCACTAAGTTTTCTAAGCAATTTGTACCTGATCGAGCCAACTGTTCATTATCTGCAAGACAAAACAGCATCTGTCACTAAACTTCAACTGTAGTTGTGATGCCAACTGGTCCCAGATGCCTTTCACTGTGAGGTAAAGATGGCAGCTAGAGGTTTGTAGTCTTTTAATTAACGAAGCCAGGCTTCAGAGAATTATAATTTTATAGTTGTATTGATAGGGATGGAAGAAGATCAATGTTTTGATACTTTAAATGCCTTACATGAGAAATAGTGAAAGAAGATGGAAAACATTAAGACCAGTGTTTCTAAAAATGTACTCATACACATTTCCAACTTTTGTCATCTACATGTACCAGATGTTTTGTCATTTATTTTATTTCATTTTAATTTTTTGGCACTACTGGGATTTGAACTCAGGGCCTCATGCTTGCTGGCAGGTGCTCGACTACTTGAGCCACTCCTCCAGCCCTTTGTCATTTATTTTTAGAGTCACCTTTTGAAAAATTTAACTGAATTTAACCTTGCTCTAAGCCAAAGTGGAATCCAGATCTGATGTTAGATGAGTCTTCTCATGATACACCCTAAAATAAATCCACAATTATGCAGACTAACACCGTCTACTGATGAAGCTGATGATCTTGATGCAGACTACTTTCAAAAAAGATTTTACCACTGAAAATTTCAGACCTACAGATCTAGAAAGAATAGCAAAATGCACAAAGGCACATCTTAGAAAACAGAAAGACTGCACACCTTCCCCTTAAAGAAGTGCTTTATAAACTGACTGGGCAGGGGCGTGGCCACAAGTTGTACTCTATATTCCTTGGCACTACACCCATGATTTCATATATAGAAAAAGTGAATGTCTCATTAAGACCACGTAAGAAAAATTAAGCCTAAAAACAAAGAATACCTTGTTTGACACACCACTGCAACTGAGCAAACACATCAGAGAGAAGCACTTCATGCAAAGACTCGTAGAACTGGGTAAACACGTCACAGATGGCGTAGAGTGCGTGATTACAGGTCGTCGTCATCCACTCAGATTTCTAGAAAAACAACAGAAAGACAGTTCTTAAAAGCCACTCTTTCTATGATGAAATGGGTATTCTTATATGTCGGTGGCAAAGCTGCTCTGCAAAGTGATTTGGCAATACATATCAAGAGTTTTAAATGTCTATACCGTAACACTACTTCCAGGAATACGGTTTTTTGTTGGTTTGTTTTTGTTTTTTTGTGGTGCTGGGCGGGGGGAGGTTTGAATTCAGGGCCTACACCTTGAGCCACTCCACCAGGCTCTGTGTGTGTGTGTTAGTTTTGAGATGGGGTTTGAATTCAGGGCCTACACCTTGAGCCACTCCACCAGGCTCTGTGTGTGTGTGGTGTGTGTGTGTGTGTGTGTGTGGTTTAGTTTTGAGATGGGGTCTCGCAAACTGTTTGTCTGGGCTGACTTTGAACCACAATCATCCTGATCTCTGCCTACTGAGTTTCTAGGATTATAGGTGTGAGCCACCAGCCTGGCTCCAGGAACAGATCTTAAAGAAATAATCAAACTTGTGGGCAGAGGTTATGAAGGAAGATGTTTACCACAACAGTATTCATGTGCTGAAGACACAATACAATCTAATATTCCATAATTTGGGTATTAAATTAAGTAGGTGCATATAACAGAATATTAAAGTCACTCAAAATGTACTTACAAAAAATTTTAATGATCTGGAAAAATAAAGATGAGATTATGCTAAACACACTTTATGCCAAGAGTTTAAATATTAAAAAATAGTAACCTGAACACATGGGAGAACTACGTAAGGATATTTACCAAGTCACAGGGGAGGGAAGGGCTGCCATGCATGGTTCCCAAAGTGGAAACCACAAAGGAGAAAGGTGGTAGATTTGCTAAAAATTTTCCAAAGTAAAAGGAAATAAGGTCTGGAGGTGCTGCTTAAACTGTAAAGCACCTGCCTAGCAAGCACAATTTCAAACCCCAGTACTGACAAAAAAGAAAGGAAATAAAAGTAACAGTGGGCAGGGGCTAGGGATGTAGCTCAGTGGTAGAGTGCTTGCCTGCCATGGGCAAAGCATTGGAAAAAACAAATAAACAAAAGGAAAATCAGTGGGATAAAGTCAACAGCAACTTACACAAGGATACGCTACATTGTTCACACATCTAAAATCCACAGGAAAGGGGTGATAGATGGCCTAAAGGTATGAAAGTCAATAATACAAACCATCAATGACATTAGGGAAAATAGGCCACCACACTAACAATTAAAAAAAATTTTTTTCGGTGGGATTAGGGTTTGAACTCAGGGCTTTACACTCATAAAGCAAGCGTTCTATTACTTGAGCCATGCTTCCAGTCCTAAAACACTTTTAGGATGTTTTTGGCCTATCAAGTTAATAGTGATTAAAGAAATTAAAATATAGGAGTCTTTGCTCCCATTTCCTGCATGAGGGCAGGAAATGTTTCTCTCTTTTTCCACCCACCCCCACCCCTTGTCTATACTTTATCCTGTTATACTGAAATAAATCCTTGCTAAAATTTAAAAAGAAATATGAAGAGTTAGAATGGGTATGGATAAACAGGAACCCTCGTGCTTGCTGGGAGAATTCAACTGGCTACATTTGGAGGTCAATTTAGAAGTATCAAAAGGCTCAGTGAAAGAGGAAGGTGGGAAGAGGAAATGGGAATATTATGCAAGGAGTGAACTTGGTTAAAGTTCACAGCAAGAATGATGGACTTATTACAAATGAAACCCCCTCATACTGTTAATGCATACTGATCCAAAACATATCTATCTAAAAAAAAATAAAGCAAAAAACCCCACAGTGATGTACCAGCCCAAATCTGGTTGTCAGGCTGCCTTGTCCTAAAGAGAAAAGAAACAAAGAACACAAGTACAAGTGTGACTGCAAAAAAAAGTTCCTGTCAGCGCCATTCAAAGAAAGAAGAACTGGAAACAAACTAAATGGCCAGGGAAGAGGAAGCATTCACAATAGGAATTCTTTGAAGCCAATAAAAATATGGCACAAGAAGTTACATTGGTGGATTAAGAAAGGAGTATATATAGATGTGCTTGGATCCTGTTTTGTAAAATAAAGGTCTCACACACACACATCACCTGACATGGTTAACAGTGGCTGCCTATAGAAGATTGGGACTGTGGGTGTTTCAAGTTTTTCTTTGTGTGTTTTCTAACTTTTTTTTGTAATGAACTTTTTCGGGGGTGGTACTGAGATTTGAACTCAGGGCTTTGTGTCTGTAAGGCAGATTCTATAGCTTGAGCCAGGCCTCCAGCATTTTAAAATTAAATTAAAAAACTACACTATGACCTCAACCATATTTAAATCACATTGAGAAAGGGCAATGTGCCAAAAAGCAGTAACTCCAGTTTTCTGGATGGTATAAGTCTGAATTTTTTGTGTATTTCTAATATCCCATATTAAATATATGCTACGTCTACGCTGGTGTGAGGGAGAAAAGGCAAAAATGGCAAAAAAGGGCCTTGTGTTTGTCAGTGTCATCTTCATCTATAGTGTTACCGTAAACCCTTGAGCACCCCAGGCACATTCTACTCTCATGCGGTGCAGAAATCTATGACAGAAAAACAACTGACATGAGTGGCCAGAAGCCTGCTGACTGACAGGGACGGTGTCCCTGGGCCAAGTGGGCAGAGGGGAACCTCTGAGGATAGTGAGTGGCACAGCTGAACTGGCAGGGACAGTGTCCCTGGGCCAAGTGGGCAGAAGGGAACCTCTGAGGATAGTGAATGGCACAGGGCCAGAGGGCTGAGTCCAGTTCTAAAACCCCCTAAGTAGCTCAGTGCTTCAGATCAGGTAGATGACAGCTCAACAGCAGGCAGGCCAAACAGGCCTTCCGCCCCATTACATCCAACGCAGCAATGCTGGCAGTACCACCTACCTCCGACTGCAGCTCAGGGAGTTTCATATTGTCAAATATCCGAAACACGATTCTGAACAGATCCTGCCACCAGTGCCTTTCAAAGGTGTGGCCATAGCTCTTCATGATCTCAAACATGACTGTGAGTCCTCTGGAGGAAACACAGAAGAGAGAGTGGGCTGGAAAGGGAATGACAGAAAAGATAGGGAAGAAAAGTGGTGGGAGAGCAAGAGACTGAGGCTCGTTTTGGGGACATCAAGGCACCACCACACTGAGGACCCGGTTACCTTGTCCGTACATCTAACTTGCATCTATTAATGATGCAGGAAAGCTCAAATAAGATGGGGAACCAGCCTCGGACCCAGACTCTGTCGCCAGGAGCTACATTCATGTCATCACTTGTGTATTCTTGTAGCACCTACAATGAAAGTCTTATCTTAGATGCAGAGCAAGTGAGCAAGAGGAGGGAATAACACAAAAGACTGAGATGCCACACATTCTCCTCTCCTGAAGTCTTCCAGCAGGGCTCAGTGGGAAATCCCACACAGACAAATTCACCTGTTCAAACAGCACTGGAGGAGTTTCTCCATGTAAGTCTATGACCTTTTTATAGAGTAAGGTGAGTGGGGCAGATCGCAAGAGTCCTGGGACAGGTGGGCTACATTAAGAGCAATAAATGTCAAATATCTGCAATGATTTGACTGTGGCCTGTTCTGGAAAGTTATTGTAACAGATAGTACTTAAAACTAGTGGTAGGCTGGGCGCTGGTGGCTCACACCTGTAATCCTAGCTACTCAGGAGGCAGAGATCAGGAGGATCATGTTTAAAAGCCAGCCCCAGGCAAATAGGTCACGAGACCCTACCTTGAAAATACTTAACACAAAAAGGGCTGGCGGAGTGGCTCAAGGTGTAGGCCCTGAGTTCAAGCCCCGGTACTAGAAAAAAAATGAAACAAACAAAACTAGTGGTAGTAGCAGCTATGATTTATTGAGTACAGGAATGTTCGAGTGCTTTACGTGGATTAATAATTCCTCAACAACCCCAAGAGGTAGAAGGAAATGATGGTTCCATTTTAGAGAGAAGTTGACGGGCACCAAGACACTACGTAAATTGCCCAGGGCAACTTTTCAGCCTGGGTGGGAAGCCCTATTCTGCTCTCTTAAGATTTCGACTCCTCTATAATTGCTCATACAATTCTTGCAATTTCTTTATCAATTCTGGTTATCAAACATCAGGCAGTTTCCTGTGCTTCAGTAAACTCCTCTGTGAATGGGGCATGATTACTCACAGGTTTGATGTGGGGACTAAATGAATCGGCACACAGACAATACCTACATGGTGCCTGCTGACATGTACCAAGTGTCCAATCCATGTTGGCTACCGTTGTCATTACATCTTTGTTGTTGTCCTTGTTTTGTTTTTGTTTTTTGAGACAGGGTCTCAGTAGGTAGCCTAGGCTGCCTCAGCAGCAAGCCTCCTGCCTCAGCTTCCCAAGTGCTGGGATTACAGGTGTGTCCCACCATACCTGGCTCTGGTGTGCTGGTTTTCCTCCAATTTGGGTGTCTAGGCACACTCCCTAAAGCCAAAGCTGTTCAGGAAGGTGACACAACAGGAAAACCCCAGAAAGGAGACACAACAGGAAAATCCCAGGAGAAAGCACGTACTCTGCCGCCCAGCTACAGCCCAAGCCCCAAAGGGTGACTTTTAATTGTGAATTCTCAGGCTCATTACAATAGCATGTCATTTACTAGAAGGAAAATTTATTTTCTTTCATAGGAAAACTGCTAAAATATGAAAACTAAAATACTGTATCTTCTACCAGAACAATTTATGGAATGCTGTATAAAGCTCAATATGGATAAGAAATAATTTCATACGTACAAGGTAAGGATAGGCAGTATTTGAAGTGGACACACATTTCTAACAAGTTCTCAGACAGAAGCAGGGCTCTGCCTGTGACACCCCCCACCCCAACACCCCACCCCACCCCAACACACACACCCTCGGCCTCTCAGACACGTATCTCCCACAGAAGCGGATGAGCCGGATGGCCTCCATGCTGGTGTCAGGGAAAGCAGCATTGCAGGCAAACTCTGACAAGCACTTCACAGCGTCCTGGAAGGAATCGATGGCTGCAGGGAAATGATGCTGGAAAACCGTCGCTGGGGAAACAAAGGCACATTTTCACAAGAACAGGGTTTACACACGGGCATTAAAGCACCCATGACACACAGACTGAAGGGGACCACTGCCTTCGTAGGAACCTAAGAACGGCATGTCAGTATCTATGGAAGACCGCTTTTCTTACTTGGTCCACATTACTCTTCTGTGCCTCAGTTTCCTCTTTGGTAAAATGGAGAAACAATGGCATGCAACGGTCTTGTTATTCCACTGTCATGCTCTTAATCGTTGCTGTGAACAATGAATTAGGGAACACTAAGCCCTGCACCTATGGGAAATATAGGGCTACTGCAGGTCTCTGGCCACATTTTCATCAAGTGATCAACATGTAACCTTGTTGTAGGTGTGTCTCTGTTCAGGATATATTGTTGATGGGTTGACGTGAACTCATGGAAAATGGTACAACGCCTGCCTGCAGGAGGCACATCTAACATACTCTCTTTGCAAGACACACCACAGCCTTTCTGCCTGAGGGGCACTGGCCAGCACTCAGCACTCCACAGAGAGAGGTCACCAACAAAAGCACAAAAGTGTGCCGCTCAATAGACCGCACACAAGATCTTTGTTTATGGCATGAGAGCTGAAACGAGTGGTCAGAGTCACCTTGTTCACCTGAGCTGTGACTGTGTCCCCTGGGTGACTTTTTTGTTGCTCTTTAATTTTGTTTGTGCACGTGTGGGTAAGCAACCACAAAAGACCAGGATATTGGTTTTGGGGTTATGTATACACTTTAGTGAGTTGGCAGATTCATAGGGAACTTGCCAGTAAGGAAGACTGACTGACTGTATCTCCTTCACAGGGCTCCTGTAAACATTCTAAGCATGTGCCAAGAGCTTAGAACACCACTCAGCACATAACTACCTAAGCAAGGAAACAAGGAACAGATAGCGAAGAAGTGCCCACTTGCTAGCTTTCAAGCAGATACTAGACAGGACAGAACAGAGACTCTTACAGACGATGTGGCCCGTGGTCTGGAAGGCCAGCTCCACAATGCTCCCATCGTGGTCAGAGGCTGCCTGGTGGAACACAGCAAAGATGTTCTTCCAGCCCGAGCGGATGCTGGCAGCCTGGGAGCTCACCATCTGAGCGACACAGCGGATCACCATGTCCCGGATGGTGGGAGACCTGGGGGAGGGAGGGAGACAGCCCATGTCCTCTGCACAGCAGAGTGGGAGAACAAGCACAGCTCACCCCTCGGAGTGGCAGCTAGAAAACCGTTTTCTAAAGCACACAGTGGTCTGTTCATTTACCCTCTGCCCCTTTCTCCTATTCCCATTCTGAGTCTAGCACAATGTCCAGAGCTAAGTTGCCATCCTGAAATCACAAAACAAAGTCAAGGACAAAAAGTGACTATGTGGATAACAGAACCAAAGGATGGAAACAGCCTAGGTCTGCAATAATTTGGGCTATGGAAACAAAGCTGGGACTTCCTGTTATCTTTATTTTTTTTTTGTGGTACTAGGGTTTGAACTCAGGGCCCACACCTTAAGCCACTCCACTAGCCCTTTTTTGTGAGGGGTTTTTCGAGCTAGAGTCTCAAGAACTATTTGCCTGAGCTGGCTTTGAACCATAATTCCCCTGATCTCTGCCACCCAAGTAGCTAGGATTACAGGCATGAGCCACCGGTGACCAGCTCGTCTCTGACTTATTGTTAGGGAAACAATGCACAGCCATGGCTGAACACATTGTTGTCAGCTTTTCTGGTCCAAAGCATTTCAATTAATGCTTTTTTTTTTTTGGTGAGACTAGGGGTTGAACTCAGTGCTTCATGCTTGCAAAACAGTAGTTCTACCCACTTGAGCAACAGGTCAAGTCCATTCTACTCTGGTTATTTTTGAGATGGGGTCTCGTGAACTGTTTGCCCAGGCACAAGTCACTGTCACCCAGTTCAGTGAATGCACTCTTAATTCTGCCACCAGAGATAATCTATTGCACAGTTTTTACTCTCTATTCTCTGAGGCTTGGGGGCAGAGATATATGTGTATGATAAACACATATGGATTGGAGTATACATATATAATTTAGATGCAATATTTTAAATTTAATTTTTACCAAAGAATACAGAGAAAAAATGGACCACTTTCTAAAACAGTATGTTAAATTTTTCATTGTCTGAATATTGGAAATAGATTAGCATATATGTCTTGAAACCTCTTAAGATATACACAGTTATGGGGGAGTTCTATCATCTCACAAATGGCAAGAAGCAAAATTACACAAACCTACTGCTTCTATGCACAAGCTGTCAAAGTCACTAAGGCAGACCTAGGATGTAAATCTTACTTTTGGAAATGATACTCACACCTGTGTGTCAAGACACATGCTAAGTGATCAAAGGAAAGGCCATTCAGAGAAGGCAAGGAGACAATGAACCGCAGTAAAGAGGCCACCTACAGATAATGGAGGACTGACTACCTACCAAGGTGACTTTAACAGATGCTGAAATTGAATTCCAAATGCAGAATTTTACGTCTCTACTTAAATCTTCCCACTGCTCCCGCCTGTAATGCAGAGCAAGCCAAAGTGCTTTTGATGGCTGACAGTTCCTGCGTGGTCTAAGTGCCACCCTTGGCAGGGACTTCATCTTCTGCAACTATTACGACTGTTTGCTTCCCCCACCACCCTGGTGTCCCTAGGCTCCTTAATTATGCTAAGCCCTTCTTGTCACAGGGCTTTTGCTCGTGTCTCTCGCCCCCTCCCTCCCATTCCTAACACTCTGGGCACAGCCTCTCTTGGCTTGCTCCTCACTTCTGCAAGTGTATTGTGGAAGGGTCATATTACCAAGTCTGTTTTAGCCGATGGCCTCTATAAAGGAGGGTTCTACCCTATCCCTACCTCTATTTCATGTTCTTCTCAGCACTCATCTCCCTCTGATTTGCAACACATTTGTTTATTAACTCCACTGGAATGTAAACAGGAATTTTTTTGGGGGTGGGGTAATATCGGGGTTTGAACTCAGGGCCCTGCCCTTGTTAGGCAGGTACTCTACAACATGAGCCACACCCGAGCCTTGGTTTTTAATTTTATATGGAAAATTTCAAACACAGAAAAGTGGAGAGAAGCCCAAGAGCCAATGGCTCACATGTGTAATCTTAGCTACTCGGGAGGCAGACATCTGGAGGATCGAGGTTCGAAGCCAGCCCGGACAGATGGTTTGCAAGACCCTATCTCGAAAAACCCATCACAGAAAAAGGGCTGGCAGAGAACTCACCCAGCAAATGGCAGGAAAAAGAAAATAGAAAAGTAAAGGGAATAGTTTAAGGGACCCGTGTCTAACCATCACCTCGCTGCAATGATGATCAATTCATGGCCCAGCGGAGTTGGGATTAAATGTTTTCTTTACTGCTGTATTCTCTGCACTTAACACTGCCTAGCAGATGGCAGGCCTCTATGAACACTGGCCAAGGGTTGGTTTCCTAACCTTTTTATCACCTCCCTGGGGCCAAAATTCTAATTACTGTCCCTGTCTGAGAATGGTCCCACAGTGACTCTTTCTCTACCACCTGGCCACCAGACTGAGTCACCAGACTTTGAGCTCCTTCTCCAAACTCCTTCAGCACCAGTGCCAATAGGGACATGTGACAATTGCAATGGTGGGCATCTATCCTAGGAAAGGCTCCATGTGGACTCCTGATGTGATTTACCCAAGGACAAGTGGTGGAAATCACAATCTGTTCATCCTATTTGCTTTCACTAACAAGAGAGAAAAAAATTAACTGTGTGATTAGGTGAGAATTTTTAGACCCTAATGGAGAATTTGACCAAGAGCTTTCCACATTACCTGTTTTTCTTCATAATATGCTCAAAGGGCCTCAGAAAATCCTTCTGGAATCGGAAGTTGGCTAATTCACCTTTCTCCAGAAACTTCATGGAGAGCTGCCTTAATGAGTCAACGGCAAAGATAGCCACATCTTCATTGGGATTACAGCCAACCTGAGCAGGGACAGGAAGTGCGGTCAAACAGACGGAACCTTGCAACTGTGGATGCAAGGCTCTGAACATCAAGATGGATGATCCACCTACAAAATACACATTCTGGAAAAATGAACCTAAGGAGGGAAAATAGCTATTTCTTGGCTATGAGCTATCCAATTTTATCTAAGTGCAATGATGAAAGATGGGTATTTCACGTTTAATTAATACTGTGAGCCCCATCTTAACCATTCTGAAGTGCACAGTTCAGTACTGTCATTCATATTATTATGCAACCAGTCTCTAGAACTCTTAGCACTTTGCAAACCTGAAACTCTGTGCCCCTTAAACAACTTCCCAGGTATTGTTTCATTTTAACTAAATATTTATGAGGGGTCAAGAGACTTTATAGAAAATCACAACATCTGTCACCTAAAGCAAATGATTACAAGCAAATACCCTGAGAAATTCTGCAGAAATATTTAGGCTTTTCAATTTCCTTACTTGTTCTACCTGTCTATGGTTTCCCTAGTTTTAGGAACTGGTGTTAAACAGGTATCTTTTCAGTTGGTGTTTTCCAGAATATGGCCTTAGAAGATCTCTAAAAGCAGAGCAAGAGAATGCTTCCACTGTCCCAATAAAAAAATCAGAAACAATGGGAAATGGCTACATTATGGTAGACCCAGATACATAGAACACGGCTTGGCAGTTTAAAAAGAGAATAAACTCCGCCTTACAGGGAAGGAAACTGACACATGCTGCAATGTGGATGGACCTGGAGGACATTATGTTGAAAAACAATAGTCAGTCATAAAAAGACAACTATCCAAGCTGGGGTGTGGCTCAAGAGGTAGAGAGCCTGCCTAGCAAGAGGGAAGCCATGAGTAATTCCAGTAACATACACACATACACACACACACAAAGACAAATATCCTACGACTCTAGATGAGGTGCCTAGAGAAGTCAAGTTCATCAAGACAGACAGTAGATGGAGGTTGCTACAGGCTGTGGGTGTGGGGAGAATGGGGTGTTAGTGTTCATTGGGGACCGAGTTTCTGTTTTGCAAGATGAAGACATTCTGGGGACCTGCTGCACATGTGGACATATATAACTCTGCTGACCTGTACACTTGAAAGCAAAAGAAATGATTTCTAGAAAATATATGTTTAATGGATAAGAATGCTTAACTCTGGGAAGGGCCAGCCATGTGAACTCATGTGCTCACCACTTAAGCTACGCCCCTGTATTTGTAGTTACAGACTAGTGAAAAGAACTTTCCCTCCTGAAACCCAGGCACACATACCATGCTTACTGTGCTGCTTTGCTCACCCCAGGCCACAATTCCCATTTCCTAGTTCAGAAGCACATCATGTGACTGTTCACATGCCTTGCTAAACCACAGCTGGAGCAGCCAAAGCCACCAGATTCTCAGGTGCCTCGGCTCACAAGGTGGAAGGGGATATTCTTCCAAGTGGTGGAAAGAACAGAGTCCCACAGAGAGTGAGTGACCCTCCCACAACTTGGCGTTTAACGGTACTGGTAAAATGGAGCAGACCCTGTGTAAGGAGGCTGCCAACCGTGAAACGTCCAGTTCCCACCCGCCAGCCTATGCCCCAAGTTTGCCTGTAAGTGACCTAGAGATAACTAAGCAGTACACACACAATCTTGATGACACAATCACAGGTAAGAAAAGTAACTTGTACAAAATGACGTTCTTTCCCAAACAAGCTGAAACTAATCACAAAATCTAGACTTTGGAGAGCTGGGAAAATGTTTATCAAAACACTTTTGGAAAGTCATTTCTGAGAGAAAAAGGATTCCACAGCTGTCAGCCAAAATATGTGGTGAAATAAATGAGAAATGGTGCGTTCAGCTTTAGCTGTCCCAGCATGGGGACTAGAATACAGGACACTGTCATGGCGATGACTCATCTTCTGTCTCAAGCAAATTCACACCAGTCACTGGAGCTAGACTACTATGAATCTGTTCATAGATTAGAGGCTAGGGAAGAGTAGAGGAGCCCGGAAGCCCGTAGCTCCTGGTTTTTTCCTCCTAACAGTATTTCCAAGTATCTGTGTTAGAACTTTATCCCTAGGCTTGAGAACTCTTTCTGAGATCATTAAATGTGTTTTAGTAGGAAAACAGTATTCTTAAGTTATCTCCTTCCTCTTGGAAGCAAATGGCATCCATCCATACACACTCTGACTGCTTTTACAGCACTTTCTTTTGTTGTGGCTCAACAGATACCTGACTGTTCACTTCTGTATATGCAGAATGAAACCTCTGGTGGGGAGAAAGAAGTTGAGGCTCACATTCTCAGCAGGTGTCACTTTTTATTGTCTTTGGCTTATTTCTGACTTAAATATAACAGTTAAATTTTCAACAAAGTCTTCAGAAGAGAGTGGCAATGGGAACCAGAATACACAAAGTTGTGACATTTTACAGTGTAACTTTATGAAGCATAAATGAATCGCAGATCATAGGATTTCACAAGGCCTCCAAGCAGCAGTGTATTTGTACAACCACTCTGCCAATCTTTGTGGTGGAGCTGAAATCCTGGTATGGGACACTCAAGTATTTTCAATACCACCAGATTTTTTAACTCAATCTATTGAACTCTATCAAAACCTAAGAAAAAAACTCCTATCAAGCTATCCTTCATTTTATAGGAAAAATAAATTTATGGCATCAAAAAAACAGGGCCAACTTTACATTTATTTATTTTAATGTACTCTAGGCATGAAACAGCTTTGGCCACCCAGCTAGGATGAAGAAAGGTCTGTCATCTACTCTGCCCCTAACTGATATAAGATCACCACCACCAATGAGGTGCTTCTTTGCCCACTACCAGGGGGTTGCCAATTTTTTTTTTTAATGTAAATTTTCCAACTTACTTTTTTTTTTTCTTTTAAAGATTTTTAAAAATATTTAAGTTTTTTTGGTGGGCCTTGGATTTGAACTCAAGGGCTTTGAGCCACACCTCCAGCCCATTTTTGCCCTGGTGTATTTTGGAGAGGGCATCTCACAAACTATCTGCCTGAGCTGGCTTCCAACCACGGTCCTCCCAATCTCAGCCTCCCACATAGCTAGGATGACAGGTATGAGCCACCAGCACCCAGCTCCAACTTTTTTTTTTCAGTACTGGGGATTGAATCAGGGCCTCGCACATGCTATGTGAGTGCTCTATCACTTGAGCCACACCCCTATTCCTTTCAATTTGGGTTTTTTTTTTCTGAGATAGTGTTTCGCTAATTTTCACGTGTGGTGGCCTGGAAGGGTGGGCCTTCTGTCTCGGCCTCCCAAGTAGCTGGTATTAAAGGCATGTGCCACCACACCTGGCTTAGGAACAACTCTTTCTAAAACTTGTTTTTGAATTTGTCTGTCTGTCCTTTCAAAAGTTACCTTGTTGAAGTGATCTCCAACCACGTGCCACACGCGGGACCACTGCAGTCGGATCCGGTTCATATTGTAGTATGAGATCTCCACGATCTTCTGCAGGCTGAACATGCGAGGGTGGTGGGCAGAAGCCAGCTCATCCATGGACACAGCACACAGCCAGCGGACAAAGTCAACTACAGGCCAGAGCCAACAGCACATGCAAAGCCTCGTTAGTCATCAGGCAGTCACAACGTGAGGCTCCTGTGGTCGTCACAGGTGTGTGAAATACATACCTATTGCATTTCCGTCCAGTCTGGTGGAGCCAGTAAAGATTCTAGGGAGACAATTGCAGACATAATAAAATAAAAGTTAGATCTGGAAGCTAAAGTTTCTCAAATACTCAGAAAAGGCAGAGAAGGCAATGCTTTAGGTCTGGCATCTTTGTCAAAATAAACAATGAAAGCTGGGCGTGCTAGTACAAGTCTATGACCCCAGCTACTGAGAGGCATAAGTAGGAGGATCCCAGTCCGAAGCCAGCCCTGGGCAAAAACTCAAGGCTGTATCTAAAAACAAAATGAAGCAAAAAGTGTGGAAGGTATGGCTCAAGTGGTACATGTGCCTAGCAAGCACAAGGTCCTGAGGTCAAACCCTGGTACCACCAAAATAAATAAATAGTGAGCAGAGTGCTGCTTTAATTTGGCTATTTCCATTACTACCTCCCCAGCTCCACAAGATGCCTGAAATCAACAGCATTACAATAACCCTAACTGTGAAGCCTAGCATGGTGGTACACATCCATAATCCCAGCACTCTGGGGGGGAGGCAGTAGGATTGAGAATTCAAGGCCAGCATGGGCTGCATAAAGACCCTGTCACAAATAAACAAACAATGTGGTAACTGTGAAATCAGCAACCTAGTGGCCAGAAGAGGGATAGAACAGTCCTGAAGTTCCCAAAAAGCACCATTCTCAGAGAACTGACCTATCTGTTCTGAGTTCTCACTCAGGGCAACCAGCCTTTCTCCCAGGAGCTTTTATCAAAACCAGAAGTAGCAAGTGGCTGTTTGACACTACAGCTGCAGGAGGCAGCAATCACAGTTGGGAAAAACAAGCAGCTGACCAAAAAGTTGAAAGGAGAGCCTGGGATGAGGTGTCCATGGGAGACTGGGAGCCGAGTGGACTAGCACATGTGTAGGCTTTGCACACAGCAAAGACCGGCAGCAGAGGATGAGCTCTCATCTCCGGCTGACACACACAAGAGGCAAAGGCAGAGGCAGCACTGGAAACTGCCTGCCTGAGTGTTGAAGGAGGTCTCCCACATGTGCACAGACCCCTCAGCAAGCAAAGGCTGAGAGGCCTAACAAAGGGCCACAGCAATGAAGGAAGTCGGACCCCTGGAAGCCCACCCAGCAGAAACTTCAGGGGCCATATCAAAGAGGATGAGGATTTAACGTATCAGTTCAGGAAAGCCACCAAATGAACAGCAGTGATGACAACAAACCTGGGTGGGGACACGGAATCTGATATTCAAAACTGCCATGACATATTATTTTAAATGCCCAGTTTTCAACAATAGCACAAAATATAAGGCATGCAAAAAAAGAAAAGAGATGACAATCTACAAGAGGAGAAACAGTCAACAAAGACACCCTGAAGAGGGATGTTGGATTTTCCTTTTTCTTCTCTTCTCTTTTCCTTCCATCCCTCCCTCCCTCCCCCCTCCTCCCCACTCCTCCCTTTCCCTCTTTCTTTTATTTTTGGCAGTACTGGGATTTGAACTGAAGGCTTGTGCTTGCTAGGCAGAAGTTATGTTCCTTGAGCCATGCCCCCAGATGCTGAATTTTCTAGACAAAGTTTTTAAGCTAGTTTTCAGTATGTTTAAGGAACTAAATGAAATTAGATCTAACTAACTAAAGAAAAAAAATTAGGACAGTCTTACCAAATAGAATAAATAGACAAAAATAATGACATTATGGAGTATAAATTACAAAGCTAAGATAAAAAATTCATTAGGATAAATAGTAGTTTTGAACTGGCAAGAAGGAAAAAGAATCAGCAAGCTTGAGGATAAGTCAAAAGAAATTGTCAAATGTGATGAAATAAAATAAACAAAAATAAAAAAGAGCTAGGTATGGTGGTGCAGGCCTGTAATCCCAGTACTAATGAGGCTGTGGCAGAACAATTGTTAAGTTCAAGGCCAGCCTGGCTACATAGTGAGTCCTTGTCTCAGAAAAACAAAACAAAGGGAAAGATAAAAAGAATTTTTGAAAACCGAGTAGAGCCTCAGAGGTCTGTAGGGACCCCTTCAAACATACCAACATATAGCACATAACAGCAGTCCCAGAAGAGGAAAGGAAGGGGTTGAGAAAAGTTTGAAGAAATGATGGCTGAAAACTCCCCAAACTGATGAAAAACAATCTCTATATCCAAGAAGCTAAATTTCAACTAGGACAAACTCAAAGACAGCCACGCCAACATATTGCCACTCGAGCTGCTGAAGCCAATGAGAGAACGCCGATGGTAGTGAGGCAGAGTAAGTCCCTCAGTAAGATGAACCAGATCCTCACCAGAAACCACAGCCAAAGGCAGTGGGAAGCCATCAAGGTGCCAAAAGAAAAAGACCGTCAACCAAGAAGTCTATCCACAGCAAACTACACTTCGAAGATGAAGGAGAAGCCAGGTATATCTGTGCATACCTGCAATGTCAGGAACTTGGGGGGCTGAGGCAGGAGAGTCATGAGTTTGATGCCAGCCTGGGCTACACAGTGAGATCTTGCCTCCAAAACCCCCCAAAAACAAAAAGACCCTTGAGATAACTTGTCAGTAGCACACTTGCCCTGTTAAGAAACACAAAGGAAGTCCTTCAGGGTGAGATGAAAGGAATCTAGAGAGCAACTCAAAACTAATGAAGAAATAAAGGACACTGGTAAAGTTAATCCACAGGAAAACACAAGAGATCACATGAAAAAGGATAACCGGATGTGGTAGCTCAGGCCTAGAATCCCAGCTACTTGAGAGGTGAAGGCAGGAAGATCCCAAGTTCAAGGCTAGCTCAAGGGAAGGTAGCAAGACCCTACTCAGACACAAAATAAGAGAAAGGGGATGTAGCTAAAGGGTAAAGTGTTTGCTTACTGAGGCCCTAAGTTCAATCCCCAGTACTGCAAAAGAGGTTTAAAAAAAATAGTATTTTTTGTTTGTAAATCATTTTTAATCTGATTAAAATGCACAATCGTAATCTGCAATGCCCCAACTGTAAGTCTTTTGATGGGGATGTGCTTATACAGATAGAGTGTGCATGATAATACAGATGAGGGGAGGAAACAGAACTTAGAGCCAAGATTTTTATACCTCTAAAATTAAGGTAGTATCACAAAAAAAAGAGAAATACCTCCCAAAAGGTTTTACTTCACTTTAACAAGAATGTTAAAAGATACTGAAGATAAACCCTAATTATTACTAAAACAAACCTAAAATGACAAGAAGTAAATGGATGCACTAGAAAACATTTAACTCAAAGAAAGCAGTAATAATGGAGGAAGAGCTGAAGATACTAAAGACATCAGACAACTATGACAGGCATTGTACTACACATCTGTAATCTCAGTACTCAGGAGGCTGAGGAAGGAAGATCAGAGTTCAAGGCTAGCCTTGGCCTACATAGTGAGATGTCTCAAGAAGACTTCATAGTTACAAAAGGTTGAGTCCAACAAAAAAGTATAGCAATTATAAGTATATATGCATCTAAAACAAAGCCCTAAAATATATGAAGCAAAAAAAGAAAAAGAATTAAAAGGGAAAACAGATAATTCAACAAAATCTAGAACAGGGAAATCTAAATAAGGTAGATTATTGGTTGCAGGAGGGTGGGAAAAGGGAAGAAAAGGAAATGCTAAGAAGTATGAAGCTTATTTATTTATTTAAGATAGGGTCACACTACGTAGCTCAGGCTGGCATAGAACTGGATATCCTCCTACCTCCCCCTTCAAAGGTTTTGAAGAAAAAGTAATGGAGACTTGGCCAGTCTTTACTTTCCACTCCTAAGTTCTTCTTAATGTTTTTTTAAAAAGTAATTTTCACTAAGGAAACAAACATTAGCAGGAACAAAATTCTTGGTTTTGACATAACTTGTCACAATGTTAAGGTCATAATTCTAAAAGTGTTTACAATGAAAATCAAGGTGAAAACTCAGAGGACTGTGGAAACTATTACAAGTTGGATCATGCGTGCCATCTTTAATTTTTCTCAATTTAAACTATGCGGAGTCCACAACCCACAGTTCAAACAGATCAGGAATCACCATGCCATATAACTACTCAGAGGACTCCAAACCAAGGGGCAGGCCAGCCTCACTAGAGAGTAAAATCCTTACCTGTCCACAGCGACAACCACACTCTGTGAGCTGGTCTCACCAACTGACTCCTGGAAGCTGGCCATCTGTCTTTTATCCACACCCCCGCTCACCAAATTACCTGAAACACCATGCACAGTCGGCAGGGGGTCAAAAAAGGTTCAGTGTTTAGAACAAAGTATCCTTTGCCTCATCATGCCAAGACAAGGAACTTAAACATATGGTTCCTTGGGCAAAACAAAACAAAAAATCCCATTATTAATAGCATAAAATTAAACTTGTTTTGGCATTTAAAAATACATATTATAAGCTGTCCTATATGTACAACCATCTCCCAGCTCTGCAGACCTATGTGTTTTATAGTGTTGAAGGCCTAGAGTCAGGAAAACAAATTAGAAGCACCTTCACTTGCTATGGCTCCCACTTGCTGGATGCTTGGTGAGTGTTACAGAGCTTCAACCCAGTCACCCTCACAAGCACCTAAACAGTGGGTACTGTCACAGCCTCCAGTTTCCAGAGCCTGGGCTCTCCTCCACTACACTCTGCTATTCCAGCACTAGGTGGGTCCTGGGAGCCTCCTCCCTGCATTCAGAGGGGCCAGGCTTGAATCCCGCCTCTGCTACGTCCTTGCCATGTCAACCTGCTCAAGTCACTTAGTTTTCCCAAATATTGAATGGGGAGGGTACTTGTCACCCCATCGTTGAATTGTTTCAAGAATTGAATTGAGTTAAAGTGTACAAACCAAGTCCTCAGAGGGTAGCCTGGCACATTTGCTTACCCTGTTGACTGTTGTCATCCTGCTCCACCACTAACAGAAGAGGGTTCCCGACCTACTGCAGAGCCACAAGTATCTTTAAGTGCATAAGAATATTGCTTAAGTCAAGCCTGTAACCCTAGCTACTTGGGATGACAAGAATTGGAGGATCGAGGTTTGAAGGCCAGCCCAGGCAAGAAGTTCCCAAGACTCCATCTCCAAAATAACCAGAGCAAAATAGACTGGCGGCGTGGCTCAAGTGGTAGAGTGCCTGCTCTACAAACATGAGGCACTGAGTTCAAACCCCAGTCCCACCAAAATAAATAAATAAATAAATAAAATACTGTTTAACAAAAGCCCAACTTCACAGTTTAACCACAATTAAGAGCCAAAAGGGCATGTCCTCTTGGAATCATAACTGCCTTGTCATCTGGCACAAAAGACAAGAAGGTTTATCCCTCTTAACTTGAGAATCTCTGCTGGTCATGGTGGGGTCTGGGATCTTACCAAGGCCAAGGCCCATGAACTCTTCTCCTGCCAATGTGTGGCTCTTCAGGCTCCCTTCTCTTTCACGCCCAGAGCCAGACAGGTAGCGGGTCTTCACTCCAGTTCCTATCAGCTGAGCGAGCTCCAGCTGGCTGATGCATTTCAAGATCTAAGGAAAAGAAGGCGTGAAGAAACGAATTCCCACTTTCGATTGAAAAAGGGCCCTGAAGTAATTTTTTTTTTTTTTCCCGGTACTGAGATTTGAATTCAGCCTTGCACTTGCTAGGTAAGCATGCTACCACTTAAGCCACTCCACCAGCAAGGGCCACGCGGCTTTTCACAGTGGAGTGAAGTTGGAGTGCTGGCTTCTCTAGAGGACAACTCACCAAGAGAGCAAGGGTCGGGGCTACGTGGCCCTTTGAATGTGGGTTCGAAGGCACAATGTACGCTACATTTTTTTTTCTATTTAAAAAGTAAAGAGCAATAAGCAAGAAAAAGGTTGGCACAATGGGGTAATGCCATATAGATGCTGTGTAAACTTAATGAGTGCTCAATAAAGAGAAAAAGTACTTGACCAGAGCAGGGGATTCTACTCACCATGTCACTTAATCCATGTGATCTAAACCAGCCACCCTCCCCCCACACAACACACCAGCCTCACTGGCCTGCATTCTGTTACTCTAACTTGCCATGTCTGGCTCCACCCCGGGGCCTTTGCACTTACTGTTCCTTATGCTGGAATGCTTCTCTCCCCTGGCTCACGCCTTCAGTTTCCAGAACACACATCTGGGTTACTCTTCCCCAGAGAATAACCTGACTCTCCTCATCACATCCCTCTAAACTATTAACTAGTAACTTTTTTCCCTTAGACTTAAGTACTTTTTGGCATTTTACCACTTACTTATTGATTTTCTGTCTTAAGGGTAAAGAGGGCATTAACTCTGTCTTCATAACTGACTTTAGGATTCATGAAGTAAAGCTAGGCTTAACTTCAAGAGAAATGAACAGACCAAGAAAGACCTGAACTGACAAAGAGGTCTAGAGTCCTTGAGAAAACTCACCTCGTGCCAGGAGTTCCCCAGGTAGTTGCCATCGGTGTGAGCCACAGTGATGAGTGTTTTTATCGTGTCGATGTTCTTCTGCTTCATTTCTGTGATGCTGGAGCTGGCTGTGAGCAGGGAGAAGCGTGCCAGGGCTTGAACGTAGGCATCTCGCTCCAGCTGAAACCATGAGAACACTGTGCTTCTACCCACACCAAGGTCAATTCTCTGTGTGCACGGTGGGGCAGCTGCCATCTCCACAGGGATGTGGCAGGCTTTCTGTGCACACAGGGCTTCCTGGGCACCACATGCTTGAGAACTAGCTCTCTCCTTCCAACAATCAACACACTTCCTTATCCTGTGCTCCAGTCCCTCTGCTAAATGCCAAGATCAAAGAGTAAATCCTAACATTCACAATAGTCCTAAAGGGAGGTCTATCCTCTCAAGTTTACCTATCAGGAAATAAACAGTAATGTCTTGGAGGGAAGTTAGCTGGGCCAATGTCATCTGACCAATGTGAAACCATGGATGGCTGTATAACTTCAGAGCCTGAGGTCTTGGTATAAGAGAAAATGCCTAACTGTAAGATGAATGGGGACAGAGACTGAGGTTTTGAGATGAATGTGTGTGAATTCTCACAGACTCAGAAAGTAACGGATGGGATGGACAATGACCTGATTTCATAACATGAGAACTGTACTTCATTTACTTGTATTTTTCAATATTCAAAAAAGTTTTATAGACATATTAATTTTGCATTCAACTATTTGTTTTCCCAGAGAAGGGTGGGAAATAAGGGAAATTATAGTAAAAATGAGTTTTAGAAGGACTGGGCCAAGGCCTTGGACATGCTAATCATGCCTTTCATCCCTGAGGTACACCACTAGCCAGGAAACGATATTCTCAGCACTAACACAGCTAGTCAGGCAAATGGACAGAAAGGCAGTTTCGTCATATCTAGTCAAATGGCTTGGACCTTACTCACCATTAAAGGTTTTTTTACTCCCAACCTCTCATCATCCCTATTGAGGCTGTTGCATGCACAAGCCATCGGTTTCTTCTCAGTGGGAATGAGGAAGGAGTATGCTGAGGCTCTTGGTTAACTAGAAGTCTCTAGCTGATTCTAAGTTTTGGCAAATCTCAAAGAACACAACCCAGTGGTGTCTCTGGAGCCTTGTTCACTTACACTCACCTGCATTCCAAAGATGCAGGCGATTCGGATTGCACATCGGATGCCTTCCAAACATAGGGAGGCCACTTCAGTGTCATCACAGTTCTGTAATCCAATGCTATAGGCTGCTAGCAATGGCGTCCACACCAGCTACCAAAGAAGGCAGGTTTCAGTAACATTCACTTAAGACACACAGTTATAAGAAGAGCCAGGACAAAGTTTACTGCTATTTTGACTTTAATCTCTTCTACACACAAACTATGGTCAAAGCTATTACTAAATGTGCTATTTACTAAATGTTCACAGGCAGTATGGTCTGGTATGTCACCTTTACATCTACCTGTGCCCACGGCAGACATCCCTAATTGTTCCCTCCTTACACAGCACACCAATCAGTCACTACCAATCAGAAGTGAGTATGTAAAATAAAACCTGTAAGTGATTTAGGTTCTGTGAACTTAAGTTTATTGAAATTATATAAACTACTTTTCCTTGGAAATAAAAGGTCACAGAGGTCTAGAAATAATCACCTAATGGATACAGATAGTTACCATAAAAACATCCTAGAGAAACAAAATGTGCTATGTATACAGAACATGTATCTTGTCTACACATCTTTAAAGCAAAGGCTTCAGTTACTATCTTTTTCTTCTACACAATTTCATCTGATAAACTACCATGAGACCACTGCAGTGAGATGTCCCACTAAGACAGTACCTTTATCTATTTTGTTATTGTTGTTTTGAGAAGGTGTCTCCCTATGTGACAGGTGGCCTGAATCTTGTGATCCTCTTGCCTCAGCCTTCCCAGTGCTGGAATTATGGGAGTGTGCCACCATGTCTGGGCTCCTATCTTTTTATCTTTTGCTTGAATAATTCATTCGCTCTGGGGAAAGCTCTTACAGCAATTCCACATTTGTCCACATTTTACAGATGAAGAACAGAGAGGGTGAGTAACCTGACCAAGGTCACACAGCTACCAAGTGGCAAAGTCAAGATTCATACCCAGACAGTCTGACAAGCAAAGTCCATGACTGGTGCTGGCAGGCCCTCAGTATCACCAAGAGCTAGGCAGGCAGGATTCCCTTAGAAGCACCCGGCCTTCCTCTCTCCTCAATCTCTTTACCACTGGGAACTTGCTGGCCAAGTGCAGAGTCAGGCTCAGCTACTAGCAGTACCTTCTCAGAAGACTCACTTTGAACATTGGCCGGACGTGGTCCAAGTGAGTGGCACTGGTAAACGGGGCTTTGGCATGGCTTACGGCCTCCATCAGAGCTTTGGCTGTTTTGGCCATTTGCTCCATCTCCAAGTTGTACAGCAGCCGCCGTTGCTTTTCACTGGCCACACCTGTACAGAATGAAACAGCAGCTAGCACAGCGTTTGCCACATGCCCAGAACTGCCTCAGAGGTTCACAAGCATCAACTTACAAATCCTCCCAACTATCTAATGAGCCTGTTAAATAGGATCACCATTTTTCACACAGGGAAAATGAGGCAGAGAGGTTAAGTGACTCTCCCAGTGTCCCACAGCTAGTAAGCAGCGCTGGGACTTGATCCAAGGCTGTGGGGCTCTAGAGCGGGTGCTCCGAACCACTGCACTCCTCTGCCTCTCAAGCAAAGAAACTGACAGCTTCATAGGGGGTTAACAGAATTCTAATAGAGACTGGCAGAATCACTACTGAAATCAAAGCAAAGTTTTAAGGAGTATTTTTAGGGGTGATTTAGCTCTTAGATTACCTATTTTAAATTCTCTCTGTTCCTAACCACAACTCTACAAAGACAGACATATTCTGAAAGAATTATCATAATCATAAGTAATTAATCATGTTCCCTACAGATCTCTAGATATGCAACTTAAATTTATCATCAGCCTACTTCATCATGTGGATCCACTCAGAAGTCAGAATTAATGGGAGTAATTTGCACTGGATCTTACTCTGCTTAGTGGATTTTGTTGCAATCGAATGCTCCTTTGTTTCTTTCATTGAAATTTTCTTGCCTTCTATCTCTTCGTAGATGCTGGAGAGATATTCTTCTGGTAGGTCTTTGCTATCATTGATTCCCCGATTCATTTTAATATACTGTTCTTTTGTCATTTTATTTTTTACCTGAAATTTTAAAAAAATGATAAAGTCATTTAAAAACTATCGAAGTGTCCAAATAAGGCTACTTTTGTAGCTAGGACACTGTATGAATCATAAGTGTACTTTACCTGAGGGCTGTGCAAGTCCGTGGTCAGCATAATGATGGAATATGCGAGGACATAGGCAGTATCAGCACTAGCAAACAGAGTTTGCCTGCAAGAAAAGATTCCAGATGTAAAGAACATTCCCAGCCATGAGGGTGGAAGAACAATGCCACAGGACGTGCATCACTGAGAGCAGGCTCACCGTTCCTTTCACGTGATGCCCAGCCAGGACAGTTTTTACACTTCCACCATCACTGAAGGAGAATTAATGACCCAGGGTACAAACAGGCTGGCCAAGCTTGTGGGTCAGATCCTAGGCTTCTTTGAGTAAAGCAGTTTCAAGGTCATTTCTTAAAAAGACCCTTGAGGAACACCCTGGACCAAGATTAGGTGAGGCAAGTGAGCACAGATGGCAGAAGACATCACTCCTGGTGATGCTCCTGCTCTGGCCAACTTTGCATGCTGTGCTCCTGTGCCCCAACCTAAGAGCATCCATTAGCTGTGTGCATGCATTGTGGTGGCACCAGACAGAGATGACAGAAACAGCTGTGTAGAGTTACTGGTTACTTATGGTTCATAGAAACACAAAGAAAATACTTTGGGCAGAGGGTGGGGGGCTGGGGGCAGGTGGGACAAGCTGGGGTTTGAACTCAGGGCCTACACTTTGAGCCACTTCACCAGCCCTTTTTTTGTGTGATGTGTTCTTTCGACATAGGGTCTTGAGAACTATTTGCCCAATCTGCCTTTAACCCTCAATCCTCCTGATCTCTGACTCCTAAGTAGCTAGGATTACAGATGTGAGCCTCTGGCGCCCAGCCAAAGGAAATATTTATGTTGTTCTGAACTATATGCTGGTGCAGTCTGACATTTTTGCCTTCAGCAAGAGAAAGACAAAAACCTGTAGACCCCAGTCTCAGTGTGAGCTGAAGGTGGAATACTAGTCTATCCAAACTGCCCAACAGGAAAGGGAGAAATCTCTGGGAATACAGTGAAAGGTCTGCATTCTAATAAGGGAGTTAATGGGCTAAGTATTCGCTGACCATGGAAAACAGAACAAAGCCTCTAGGTCCACATAGACAACACTAAAGGCTAGCAATATCTAAGTACATCTTCTCAGCAAATTGTAATGTTCCTTAGGTTAAAATGACCAGGTGCTGACCCTGTGGACCAGGCCATCTCCTGAGGACAGCTGGCCATACACTGGAGGATTGAAATCAATTAATACGAAAATGGAATTGACCTGAGAGGCAAAATTGTTATCAAAGTGTTTCCCCTGAACAACTTCAACATCATGTTCACAGTGTAATCAGACATCCACAATTCCATGTGCAGTGGAAGAGTATGACTTTATTTATTTTGGTGCTACTAAGGAATGAACATGGTTATCACAGACACATGACTTTTGAATTAGACAAATTCATGTTCAATCCTGGCTCTACTACTTACTAGCTGACTAATTTTGGACAGATTGCTCAATCTTTCAGAGGCTCAGTTTCCCATCTATAAAATGGGTACACTAATCCCAGACTTACCTCTGATTAAATGAAATGCATGTAAAACTTATTGCATGCTTGACACACAGGAGGTACTTAATAAGTTAGTTCTTTTTCTATTTTCTACTACAAAAACAGAAACCACCCATCAAAAAATAATCCAAGCCAGTACTGTAATCTCAGCACTGAGGTGGCTGAGACAAGAGGATCATGAGTTCGAGGCCTGACTGGGCTACATAATGAAATCTTGTCTCAAAGACAAAACAAAACAAAAAAATCCCAAGATAAAAGTCATGTGCTTTAGTGACTTCTTAAGTTACTTAGCCATTTCTACAATCTGTTTATAAGTCCATAACCAAAGAGAAACCAAAATCCTTGAGTTCTATGCCATGCATTAATTAAATTAGGGAGTTGTTTTTTTTTTAATTCTGGGGATTGAATGTAGGGCTTTGTGCATGCTAAATAGGCTTGATCTTCCTGCCTCAGCCTCCCAAGTGCTGGGTTATACTACCATGTCCGGCAGGGAACTGCTCTTGATTAGGGAAGAGGTGCTCAACTGCCTCATCTCAACCCACAAAACTGCTATCTTATAGTGTCAATAGCATGGACTTTAGCTCTGTGATCTTTAGCAAGTTACTTAACCTCTCTGGTCCTCAATCTCCTTGTCTGTATGGTGGGAACACAAACATGGTTGCTGCAACATCTTATTTGAGTTAGTTCCTTAGCATAGAACCTGACACACAGTGAATAGAAACTTTAGATTCAGAGACATTAAACCCAAACCCCATCCAAATCAAGCTTCAGATTCTGAGGTAGGCAGAAAAAATGAGGCGGGAGGGACTTAAATCCAGCACTCACCCTTGGTTACACTCTATGTATCTTGCAGCAAACTTCTCCATTAACCGGTCAATTTTCTGGGCTTCCCCAGGAAGGCGAAAACCTTCCAGGAACGTCCTCAGGGCTGAGACGAATTCCTTCTCACAGAAGTCCAGTTGGTCCACATAGGCGTACATCACCTCCTTATTAAACCTTGCGCTGTCTCCCAGAAAATCACCTACTTGGGTCTGAAACATGTACTCACATCTAGAAGCTGTCAAAGAGGAACCCACAACCAAAGACACCAGCCAAGGAGGGATGGGGTCAGAACACGCTGACCCTGAATGCCCATAGAGGGCTAGACCAGGAAGGAAGCAACCACCCCCATCCATTCCAGGGAGGAGGACAAGGAGTTATTTTTAAGGAGGCTTAAAAATGCAGATGATGGGACACGCTCAGGAGGGAGGTGAGCTGCAGTCACAAAACAGTCTCTAGCAGTGGGGTGTGCTTCTAGCTGATACTGCTCACCAGACGTACAAATGCCAGCCAGGAGGCCGCTTTGATCTCATGGGAGAACGTTTGCAACACTGGAGAGCAGGATGAACTAGGCTGCCATAAAGGGGCAGACAATGGGCTGAAGTCAGGGTCAGCCAATCTCAAGGTGCTGACCGGTGAGGGCTCAGAAGGACCCAACAGATCCTGGGTCTTACAGAATCAAGACGTTCCTCCTGGTGCAGGAACTGTGCAATGTCCTCCACTGACTCTCCTAGCATGCCCTGCTCCTGAAGAAACTGGATCCCCCGCTTGGGTTTCTTATTAAAGCTGTTTCAAGAAGAGATGGAACAAAGGTGGCTCACTTCAAAATATGGAGCAGAAAAAAGCCTGATATTTGAGATCAATTACAGTGAACACAAAAAACAAGCCATCATCCATAAGCCAAGGACCCTTTTATCCTGGCAGCTTTCCAAGTTCCACCTTCAGTTTCTGACCCAGTGATAGCACAGTCTGCTGGGTGCCACCCATTTCCATTCTCCCCTGCTTCAACACTACAGAACCTTTTATGTTTAGTTGGGTACACAAGCACGTGGAATAAACGCTACATTTCTCCAATCTTAAGTGAAGTACAGCCACACAACAAAGTTCAAACCAGTGAACACAAGCAGGAGTCAAGTGGGGGCTGCTAGGAAGAATCCTTGACCAAAGCTGACTCAGGTAGCAGGTACTCTTTTTGTCTTTGCTCCTGCTTCTTCTCTAGAATGCACATGTGATGGCTAGTGCTCCAGTAGTCATCCTAAACCATGAGGCAACTCTGAGGATGAAAATTATGTTAAGGTGGTGAAGCAGACAGCTAAAAGGAGACTGAGTTCCTTATGTCCACAAGATCCACCATAACAGCCTCAGACTGTCCACTTTTGGATTTCCTTTGAGAAAAAATACTGCTATTTTATATTTCCTGCTAAAGGAAAGCAAGCTACTATGTATAAAATCAACTTTTTACTAGCCCTGCACTACAGTGGCACTCATGCATGAGCACAAACTGGCCAGGGACACGAAAGATGTAGATACAGACTGGGACAGAGACTGACTTGGGCTTGTTCAGCCAGTGGGCTTTGAGGAAGAGACATTTTCCCAAGTTTGAGGGACAAAAAGGAGCCAAGAGCATTCCAAGGGGAGGAGAGACACCCTCACCTCAAGAACTGGAGGTGTTTAAGGGAATAAAAACATGTGGTGTGACTTAAGGGTCTTGCAGGAAATGTGGTCAGTGAGGGAGGCCAGGGACTGAGCCAGGTCCTGGTAGAGATCAGGAAAGCTGGCATGCTTTAGGCAGGAATCCTCTCCTGTAAGAGGATTACTCAGCTTCTACAGGGAAACAGGATACACTGGAGAGAGGTAAATGAGTCCTCTGCTTCCATTTCCATTCATTAGCGAGTGTTAAACTACAACCTTTAAAGTGAGTTGGCTTTGCTGACCATTCTAAAGCTAGGCCAGATAGAACACAAGACTGTGCACGCTGGTGTGTATCAGACACTGGAAGGAAACAAATAGGATCTACCAGTTACTGTAATGATGTCATAGTTACATGTACAATGTCCTGTGTTCTAAAGATACGTGGCTGAGGGATCATGAAGGCTACAAATCATGAATGGTTCAGAAAAAAATATATAGATAAAACAAACATGGTAACCATTTTTCTGTGTGTTGAGATTTTCCAATGGTGATTTCATCTAGGTTTATACTTTTCTGTGTTTTCTAAACTGGCTTAATTTCTATCACCAGAAAAGGAAAACTGCCCTAAAAGCCACCCAATGGCATTAAGGTTCTCTCTCCTCTTCATGCTCCCAAGCTCCCTCCCTCAACAGAGCACCAGTACCGGCCTCTGTCACAGGCACTTCCCCAACAGGAGTCAGTCTCCTAAAATGCCACATGAGTGGCAGCCACACTCACAGCTCGATGCCGTGTTCAATGATTTCCTTTTGCTGCTTGATGACCTCAAACTGCTCTGGGTCATCCTGAATGGCCGTCTGGGTCCCTGAGGACACTGTGGACTCCATGGATGTCACGCTGCACCGCCTTGCCATGTCGAGGACTTTTCCATCCCCCATTTCATGATCAGTAAGCCTCTCCTGACCTACAGTGATATAAAAGCAAAGGAGACCAAACAAGCAGATGGGACACAAACGTGGCCAAGTAAGCTCTAGCTTCACAGTTCCAGATCTCTGACGGTAGCAAGTCTGTACTCTGAGGTTCGTGAGCCTGCCCCAGTATCACTCAGATACCCAAATTAGCATCACCCAGAAACTTAGTTTGCATGGAACCCGGTAAGTTAGTTCTAAGAGTCACATGAAAGAGTAAAAACACAAAAACAGTTAAGACACTTAAAGGACAATGAACAGAGGGACTTGCCCTACCAGGTATCCAGGCTTATTATACAACTCAAACAATGTGAAAAGTGCAAGAACAGACAAATCACTAGAAAAGAATAGAAAAATTTGGGAACAGGCTTCCATGTACAGGAACAGGAAGACATGGTATATCAGAGGTAAGGCTTCAACCCAGTGAGGGAAGGAGAGATATTAAAAAGTTGGAATAATAACTTCACACTATTTTCCCAACATTCCAGATGGACTACTAAAAAGCAGGACATTTAAAATATGGTAGGTATATTAGCAAACTAAAATGCTTGGCTCAATTCTAAGACAACACTTTGCAGCTGCCCTAAGCAGCCCACTCTGAATGCAGAGGGGCAGAGCTCGCTCACCAAGGCTGGTCTGGTGGTTGGGATTCACATACAAGTCCTTGCTCCATTCCACCATGCACTTGAGAATGGACACGAGGCACTCCAGGCCTTTCTTCCTCAGACTGAGTTCCTAAAAGCCAAAAGTGACACAGCAGAGATTTCACAAACAAATTAATAGCAGGCACATTTGGGGCTCTGAGGGAAACCTGTGAGGATATCGAATAATCACTGACATTTGCTACTATTAAGGATGAAACCTAAGGTAAAGGTGACAGCTGACATATGCATTACTGGCTCACAACTGTAATCCCAGCTACTCAAGAGGCAGAGACCAGGAGACTTACAATTCGAGGTCAGCCTGGGCAAAAAAATTAGTGAGACCCCATGTCAATCAATAAGCTGCATATGTCAGCACACACTTGCCATCCCAGTTCAGCGGAGGCCTAAATAGGTAGATGGCGGTCATTCAGGCTGGCCTGGGCAAAGACAAAACAAAAAGGGCTGAGGGCATGCTTCAAGTGGTGGAGTGCCTGCCTAGCAAGTTCAAGGCCACAGTTTAAATGCCAGTGCTGCCAAAATAAAAACAATGAACAACACCTGGGACATCTGAAAGATGTTTATTATCCACATTAAAAGAAAAACTTCTCTTTCATTTCTGGATAGAACTTATCTCCTAAGTACTGGAAAATGCATTCCTTTTAAAGACTTTTTAAATAGAATTTATTCTTTTTCTTTCTTTTTGTTTTTGAGACAGGGCCTCACTATGCAACCCAGACTTGAACTCTGAATCCTTCAGACTTGGCCTCCTTGAATGCTGGGATTACAGGCTGGTGCCATCAATGCCTGGCCTATAAATAGCATTTCTTAATTTGTTCAGTTTGTGGGTTTTTTTTTTTTTTTTTTTGGCAGTTCTGGGGTTTGAACTCAGGGCCTGAAGCTTGCAAGGCAGGCGCTCTTCCACTTGACCACTCTGCCAGCCCTACAAGTAGAATTTCTTAAATTAAAAATTGAACACAAACTGGAAATTGTCTTTAAAAAACAAAACCATTTTAGACTCTCAACACCACAGACAGCACAGATCCCTCTGGGATGCCAATGAAAACTTGGACTTGACCTTCTTCCAGGGAGAATGCCACACACCTATGTTCTACACAATTCCAGGAGGCTCACAGACCTCTGGCCTCCCAATAGCAGGCAATCTCCTTGGCTGTGCTGGAGCCTGGAAGGTGACCGAGAGTGAACTGGCTTTCCATGGGTCTCTGCTCAAATGTCACCTTCGGGGAGGAATGAGGGGACTACACTGATGACTCCGTTATGAGTCACAGCACCCCCCAGCAGGACTTTGACCAGCTGACAAGCTACTGTTTCACTGTGGTTTGAGGATGGCAGAACTCTGTGTGTGTGTGTCTGCTCACATCAGCACCCCCAGCCCCCAAAGGAGGACGGAGGCTGGCATGTGGCAGCACTCTATAAATGCTTACTGGGAGACATGAGTTTAATATGACTGAATGTCCTCAGTGTCCTCACCTGCAGAGGGGTCATTCCAAGCTCATGTCCACTTCTTCCCTGAGCAATTTTGGATAAATCATTCACTAGGCGTTCAAAGATGTTAGCAGCATTTAAGTCACAGTCATAGTTGACATAAATATCCACAACACACTGGGCATCTTGGAAAAACACACAAGTATTAGAAATTCAGGCCAAAGATAAATATAACTTTTATTAAACAAGATTTCTCTGCCAGAATATTTTTCCAGTGAACTCCCAACTCAGGTGGCCACACCTCAGGCAGAAAATGGAAGTCAGGAGTACTGCTGGGGCAGGAGGGGCACTACTCTGCACTGACTGAAACCTCAGGCAGTTCATCCCATCTCTCCAAATTCAATCTCCTCATCCAAAGGGGCTAACAGGCTGGCATGGTGAAAGGTCAATCCAAATTTATCACAGCACCAAGTCAAGGGCCCCATGATTAATCAACAGTGCTCAGTTTCCACGTATGGCAGCCAGGTGTCCGATTTTGCCAGGATTAGGGGGTTTCTGGGACATGGGATTTTCACTGCTAACACCTCAAGTCCCCAGCAAATTAGCCTGTATTGGTCGCCATCTGAAAAAGGAGGTGAGGTGGCTTCTCATTACTGAGGATGAACCTTTTAGGAAATGGATTTTTCCAACCATTCACTAAAACTCCATGTAAAGAGCTAAAGGTCTTAAGATGGCCTTGGCAGATGAAAGTGTCAGAAGTGTGTCCCATGGACAAGTACCGCCAGGCTGACATACCTGCACAGATCCTCGTCAGGGTCTGAATGACCATCCACCTGTGCTCAAAAGAACTCGTGGATGTTTCTAAAATGTTCAGAAAAATCTCTTTAAAAAAGACCTGTATGATATGAAGACAAAAAAGGACAACAATGAAAAGTTTCAGTTAGGACTCAAAAACTCTGAAGTCTTTACAGGCCAGGCAGGTCCTACAAATAAGGCAGCCTGGTTAACAGGAAAACAGGGGTGCACACTTGGTGCTGAAGAGCTTTAGACCCTGGCCTGGTCAGGTCAGCGGGCAGGGTGGGGCCTATCAGGGAGCAGCTTTTGCTGGGCTTGCATCCAGAGCTGCCACATGCAGTACAGGAGCCATGTGTGCTGTGATTGCTGAGAAAAACCAGAACATTAGATTGTTATGTAAAATATGGTTTCTCAATCTGGCAGCTAACTCAAATTATTTCAAACAATTTTCAGACGTGTTTGGGGGGCTACACACACAGACACACACACACCATAAGCCTTTAGCCAAAATGAAAGGTGTGCGAGATTTAGGGGCAGAACTTTTATGCAGAGATACCACCTCACTCATTCAAAAATCCCTCTCCGGATGCCTGCAAATAGGATGAGTTAACAATAGCTTTGGAGACTGTGCCACCAGCAGTTTTCTCATCTGGTATGAATGTCACCAAGTAAAACAATTAACTTGAACCCGTACCTCTATCTGCATTTTCAAGTGCATCTTAAAGTTTGAAAGAAGAGTAAGAAAAATGGCGAGAGACAGCTCAAAGACATCAGGCACTGAGGAGACACCGTTTTTGGATAAGGCCACACAGAGATATTGCTTGATTGCATTGATGAACATCTCGTGGGTCCTGAAGACTGGGCCAGCATTCTGCAACACGGAGAGGAGCAGCTGCAGGGAAACCACCTTGGAACGCAGCTCGTGGGACCTGTGGAAAAAAAAATCCAATGATGCTAGAAGATGAAATGAAAAACAGTACTTTTTTTGTTGTTTTTAGAGACAGGGTCTCACTGGCCTGAAACTTGACATCCTCCTGCCTCTGCCTGATGAGTACTAGAATTACAGGTGAGCACCAAGACGACTAGCTAAAACAACATGCTTCTTCTTGGGCTGAGGGCATGGTTCAAGTGGTAGAGTGTCTGCCTAGCAAGTGTAAGGCCCTGAGTTCAAACCCCAGGTCCACAAAATAAACCAACAACAAAAAACAAATTTAAAAAAACCCAAACAGTATGGTTCTGGAGAAGGCCTTCCTGCTCCATCATGAACAGATTTTTCCAAGGCCAGTGAGTTAAGAATTAAGAACTGCAGCTAAATGTCAGCAGAATGATGGCAGTGAGCCTGAGATGGGCCCTCCTGAAACCCCAGGTCCTTTGAGAACAAGAGTGACCAACTCCTATTCTTCTCATTTTGCAGGAGCAAAGTGAAGGTCAAATGAGTCTGGAGAGCTGGCTCCACAGGTAAACTGATGGAGTCAGTTACCTCACATCATTCGTGTCACGAGGAGAACTCAGCCCCTCTCTCTACTCTAGCCAGCAGCCTCACAACCCTCCTCCCCGACCTACCCTAGTTCAGGGATGGTAAGAAATGGAAAATTTTAGCTGGGCATGGTGGAACACACTTGTAATCCCATAAATTGAGAAGCTGAGGTAGGAGGATCCAGAATTAAAAGACTGCCTGAGCTACATAGCAAGACCCTGTCGTTCCCAAACAAAAGCAAAAATAAAGAAATGCATACAGGCACTAGTAGCTCAGGCCTATAATACTAGCTGCTCAAGAGGCAATTATCAGAAAGAATCCAGTTTGAAGCAAGCCCAAGCAAATAGTTCTCGAGTCCCTATCTCAAAAAAACTCATCACAACAAAGGGCTGGAGGAGTGGCTCAAGCAGTAAGAGTGCCTGCCTAGCATGTATGAGGCCCTGAGTTCAAACCCCAGTGCCACGAAAAGGAAAAAAAAGAAATGTAAAACAGAAATTTTTCTTGAATCATTTATTCCCTAATGATGTCACAATGCAGGCAGGATTCTCAACAGAAGAGCTGGGAATTATTAATGATGAATAATAGCAGTGACTACAGTGACTCTTAATGAAGTGCACAACCCTGTGCTCAGAGCACACCCATCTCATTCATTTCATCAACCCTGTAGGGGGATTTGCTATCTTTCCATTTCTGGATGAGGTCCAATCACTCACACAGCTTTGGAGATGCTCTTGAATGTAGGAGCCAAGACCTGCTGCCTGATTTTTTTTTTTTTTTTTTTGCTTGCAGTACTGGGGTTTTGAACTCAGGGACTTGTGCTTGTTAAGCAAGTGCTCTACCACTTGAGCCATACTCTCATTCCAGGAGTGGAGATCTGAATGCAGCTCTCTCTGGCTCTGAAGCCCGTTTTCTTTCCTCCTCAGCACTGACACCTTGGGCTAGCTTATTCACTTCAGAGAAATGTCTGACCTTGACACTGAATTTAGGGCTCAACCCTTTAGCCATGAAGCAGAGGCTTCCAAGTGGGTCAGGGAACAGACTTTGCAGTCACTCTCTAGCCCTTCCTCAGCTCCCACCAGGAGACTACATCCATTAGTCAGTAAGAAAGAGGGCGTATGTTCTAAATATTGTTTTTTAACATATAAACTGAGAAAAAAAATTGGGTGAGATTCTGGTTAGTAGATCACTCAATAGGAATGGACCTGAGGGACTGCAAAAGCCTGGAAAGTTGCAACACCATCCCACACCAATACAAGGACCAGCACTAGACCTGTGGGAACAACATGCTTCTGGATCACTGGGTGCAGATGCTAGTAGCTGCCATGCACTTACTTTGGATCTGGGGGTCCTTCCCCAAGGGGCTTCATGGACAGCTTGCACAGAGAGCGAAACACCAGGAAAGCATCCTTCTGCAGAATGTGAGAGAACCTAGTGGCTACTTGATGTCCTTGCACATCTGATTCCTGAGGTCAGAAACAAATAAAAGAAAAACCAGTGGGACAAAAAAGGATAACTGATTTCAACAATAATAAATGTGACTATCTCATGGGAATTTAAATTCTTATATTTATTCAATAGGGAGGTGAGAGATGGGGAGGGGGGAAAATATGATAAAATAGGTGCTTTGGGGGAAGTCATTAGAACATTTTGTTTTTGTTTTGAGACAGACTCTCACTCCATAGCCTAGGCTGGCCCCAAACTCATGATCCTCCTGCCTCAGCCTCCCAAGTGCCAGGGCTACAAGGCCTGTATCACCATGCCCAGCTTAAACAATGTATTTCTAAGAATGCCATTTGCAGCATAAATGAGAAACAATGGTACAAATTTCAAAATAAACTTCTTTGTCTAAAAAAGTAAACTAAATTCAAAACGAAAAAGTAAATATTCTTAGCATGTAATAAGGATAAATATCTTTTACACACAAAAGTTCTTAGAATTCATTAAGGAAAACATGCAAAGGGATGTGAGGGCGATCTGGCTGCAACACCTGTCACCCCAATGATTGCCAGAGGTGATTCTACTGGTCTGGCTGGCTAGGTGGATGTCCCCTTCCTCCCTCCCGAAGCTGCACACCCAGTTGAAAAGGACAACCATCCCTGATAGAGGAGGACCGTTCTTCGGTCAAGGGCTTATCAGTAGCTACATGTCCCTGCTAGAACCTCCAAACAAGCTCTTAAGGAAAACAGGCAAAAAAAAAAAAAAAAGAATAAGCAATTCACTGAGAAGTGCAGAGGACAAGTGAACCTAAATAACCCTAGTTCTAATCATTAAGGCAGGATCTTCCTCCTGTCAAGCCAGCAAAGTGCAAATGAATGCTACTGCCCTATTTAATGAACGAATGGACAAGGAAGGGTGTTGGCAGCTAAGGGTGGGCAGGGATTTGAGCAGTGCCTGCCCAGAAGATTAATTTGCTGGTAAGAATTAAAACCTTAAAGCTTACTACTCTTTTTTCCCTCAGTACTGGAGATAGAACACAGTACCTGGTGCATGTTAAGCAAGTATTCTACCTCTGAGCTTCCCAAAGCTTCCAACTCCTGACCTAGTGATACCACTTGCAGGAATCTGTCCTTAAAGAATCAGAGATGTAACTAAGATTCATCTACATCATCTACAAGGGTATTTTATGAACTGTCCTATGGTACAACTGAAAGAATCTAAAAATATAATAGAGAATTGGTTAAATAGATTATGGTAATCCACAAATTTTGGGGGGGGAGGGGCAGGACTGGGATTTGAACTCAGGGCTTAGCTTTTGCAAAGCAGGCACTCTACTGCTTGGACCACACCTCCAGCCCATTTTGCTGTGGTTATTTTGGACATGGGGTCTCCAGAACTATTTGCCTGGCCTGGCCTTTGACCTCTATTTCCCAATCTTAGCCTCCCAAGTTTCAGCACCTAGCTATCTGCATAGAATTTTACATGAACTTTTTTTGTTAGATTCATTGTTCCTCGGCCTTTTGGGAGAAAAAAAATTCAGTTAGAGCTCTATGTACTGATATGGAAGGCTATCCATGATTAACTGTGGTGAGTGAACAAAGCAAGTCACAGCCTAGTACACTAGAAGCAAGCCCCTTGTAAGGATTTAAGTGTAACCTGGTAAGTGCATTTAGGTTTAGGGGGATAACATAACCCAAAAAGAACAAAACGTGGTTCTTGGAAGGTGTGAAAAAAATCTTACACACACATATACATACAGTATATAGGTATCTAATTTATGAGTTGCATCTGGAGAAAAAGTATATAAAGGTTTCTGGAGGGTGAAGAGGGCAAAGAAAAAGGTTGAGAAACTTAAAAAGACTCACATAATGGGGTCTTAGAGGGATGTGCACATTGCTTCCCGTTTTGAATAAATACACAGTTTTCAAGGGAATAAAACTACTTAAAAGCATAACATTATGGACTGGAAAGGATGTTCATAAAGTTTATAGCAGGTTACAAGCTGGGGATGCATGCTTAGTATTGATGAGGCTCTGCATTCAATCCCCAGCACCAAGGCGGGGCGGAGGGGAGAAAGAGAGAGAGAGAGAGAGAAAGAAACAGTGGGGATGTAGCTCAAAAGGTAGAGCACTTGCTTAGTATGTACAAGGCCCTACATTCAATCCGCAGTGCCTCAAGAAAACAAAACACAGAAAAGGTTACAACACAACATGTAGATTGTGACATTCCATTTAGGCAGGAAAAATATGCAAGGAGAAAAGTCTAGAAGAATGTAAGTAAAATGATGAGTTACTTCTAATACTGAATTTTCAATACAGAAAAATTTTAAGCTTTTACAAGTCCGAGTAAAAAGCTTTTCTGACATGCTACTACAGACACCATCAGACAAGGACTGCACAAAGCTTGCTTATTTTACTCTTGATACAGATCTAATTTTTCATCTTCTAAACATGGAAATGTGTCTACAGGATGATCACATACCAGGTTATCTGCTGATGACAAGGATTGCCTGTCTTCTGCTATGCCATTTGTCTGAGAGTTTTCATCAACTCCTGGGGGAACAGCACATTCTTGGTACTCCAGCTCACCTAGGACCCTGCCAGGTTCCGTCAGACTGTGCTTTTCTGCTGCTTCTTAAAACATAATGCAAAAGTCATTGCCAAATTAGTGCGCATCCCCAAAAAAAGCACTGGTCACATCAACTCTCAGCTACTGCTCTCCCTTCTTCCCCTCCCACTAACCCATGACACAGTACTTGGCCAAGGTAGTGTTGTATTATGCACAGCTTCATTGCCAGGGCCTACAGCACTCCAGAGGGTTCAATCCATGTCAGTGGTGCCTCCAAAATTGTGCAATGCAGCTGCCCTGCCCACCCCGTCCACTTCTGAAAAAGATTAGAAGCAGCTAAACATAAAAAGCACGGATTTTTTAAAGGGCTGTTTATATAGGAATTAGTGAAGAGCCAGTTATGACAGAAAACCTTAGTCACAAAGAAAAACATAGGCCTGAGCTTCCTGGCAGCCATGTGACAAAAAGAAATATTTAAATAGATTTCACCATTTAACGAAGGAAAGTATACATAATAATAACAAGGGACCTAAGACTCTAGATAGTTTAATGGGCACAATCTCCAACAATAGTTTTACAAAGCATACATTCATTCAACAGATCATTTTCAAATGCCTACAATGTCACAGGCTGTGGTGTAGACTGGGGAGACAGCAATGATTATTTGACGACTTCCTGTAGAGGCCCCAGAAACAAATGTAAAGGTGTGAAATAAAATAATTCTGTCTTAAAGACCTTTTTAGAAAGGGTTAACGAAATGCTACACAATCTGTAAGAAGCTTTGTGTGGCATGCTAATTTAACAAAAGGAGAGGCTCAGAGAAGTAACTTTCAATTATCTACCTCAGTGGTAGAGCACTTGCCCAGCATGTGTGAGGCCCTGAATTTAATTCCCAGCACTTTAAAAAGAAATTATTACATTAAGAAATTAATTTTTACAATCATGTTCTTTTGTAGAGATGTACACACAAATAACTGAAACATTTCATGAGTCGAGACTAACTTTGCTATATGTAATATAGTCAGATCATTTGCACTCTATTTGATTTTGTTCTTTTTCATTTAAAAAAAATGGTAACTGCAATGCACTAGATTTATTTCTTTTCCAATTAATGGGTTATTGGCACTGGAATCAAGTGTTCAACACATAGCTAGTGACTTGATTTGTGGAGCAAAAATGAAGAAAAAAAAAGTCCTCATATTTCCTCTGAGCTCTGTGAGTTTAAAAGCACCGAAGCCACCCTAGGACACAGAAGGGGCAACATGAATAAAGCTTCTCTGTGAAACCAACATCACTGATATGGGAATGTCCCCTGTGCACGTCAGTGGCTGGCCATGAAACCTCAGCAACAAAGGACACACGCCTCAGGGCTCATACCCACTGCCAGAAGAACCCAATGATTTGGGAAGCTCATGGAATGACACTCGGTGTCCCCAGGTGGCATCCTGCCCTATCATGACCAGACTGTGGTCCTCGAACCCAAGCCAGATGAGAAAAGCAATCACTAAGACCAGGTCACCATGTGCAAGATGGGAGGCAATGACATACTTGGGTTTTGGTGAGCTCTTTGCACAAGGCAGCAGGACTGCTATGAAATACTGGCCTGAAGACTTCTTGAAGTAATGAGACCTTAGTTCTCACCTCTCATGGCAGATGTGACCACATCTTCTAGGATGTCCTTTACCACCTCCTGGGCTCCGTCCTCATTCCCTACACACATACACAAACACACATAAACACACAGAGGCATTTCCAGGAAGAAGAAAGGAAGGGGAGAAGGTTACGGCAATGTCCCTCTAGTCACGTTACAGTAGCAAAGGGTGCCAATCAGTCCTCCCCAAGGCCCGTCTCACTGTGCTAGACCATCCTCGGACTCTGGAGGAGGATGAACACTCGGGAGTAGCCACTCTGCCCACAGCACTGACAGCCCAGACTGCTTTCCCTTCCCCAGGTGCTCAGCCCAGGGCTTCCCTGCCACCCCAAACCCGGAAGTAGGAGCTGTATTTTTATCCTGCAGAACAAAATATGGGGCTTTCTCTTATGCCTTCTCCTGGGTTCTGACCATGCTGGTCAGTGACGTCCCGACTCTGCTGCTTGGCTCGCCCCACCCTGCAAACCCAGAATTCAGCATGAGGTTTTTTTTTTAATGCAGCACCTCAGATCGCTTAGCCACACCACCACCTAGCATGAGATTTCACAGAATTACTGTCACATGGTGTCAGCACCATTTGTTTTTTAGAAACCTAATCCTGTAAAAGAATTTATGAACTGGGCAGCTTTTGGCTAGACGTTCAGAAATAAACATTACTGACTTATAGAGCATCATACTGACCAAAAAGGCCAACACATTAAATAAATAAAACCAAAATACCCTTCTGAGACTGCTTGATGAGGATTTTCAACCAGCCACAGTTCTTCTGAGTTCTATGCTTGGTCAATAAGGTCCTGAGATCAGGATTAAGTATTTTCATTTTCATTGAGCATTTGCCATGCTGTAAACTATCTCAATGGCCAAGAACACTCGTGTGGGAATACTGAGGTCATATGCTTTTCTTAGAGAGCAAAAAGAACTTGAATAGAAGTTAAAAAGCTGCCCAGCCACGGTCACAATTCCCTAACTCATTTCTTCATCTAAAAAGCATGATTTAGGCTGGATTAGAGTTACCCCAACCAGTCATTCTCTTACTACCTTCATAATTTTTGCCACATTCATGTACCACTTCTGTTATTACACAGATCAAACAGAACTCTTTAAATTAATTCACTTTAAGCAATAAAAATCTATAAAATAACTGCTTTGATATGCTAATGATATTGTCTAGATGCACGTTAAAGTAAATGTCTAGCTATTAAAATTATTCATCTATGAAGCACTTACAATCATCTCACTTACACCATGAATTGATAACCATACAACTAGATATTTCTAAGTTCTTTTCCAGTTTCAACGTTCTCTGATGTTATTACTTAACACAGTTATGGTGGTAGTTTCTAGTCTGTATGTCCATTCCAAGTCCCAAATACACAGTACCTTGTTCAAATTAACACCCAAGAAACATGGACTCATTTCATCAGAGGTGCTAGACGCTCAGTGAGGCCAGGGGCTACAAACTGGTGGCTGGTGAGTGTGTCTGGCTTGCAGGTATGTGTCATTAACCTAAACTTTTGTTTTTTTGCAGTGCTGGGGATAGAACCCAGGACCTTGATTATGCTAGGCAAGAGCTCTACCACAGAGCTACATCCTCAGCCCAAAACTTTTGAATTAGCTGCCAACATTATAAACTGAGAGACTACTCATTATTAAGGGAAAAAAAAATTCTGACTTGTACACTTTAGATGGGTGAGTTTATGGCATGTAAATTACACCTCAAGAAAGCTGTTTTGTAAAAGGCAAACAAAAATAAGAGGCTTGTGAACAAGTAAATGGGGTGGGCCATTGGGGAAGCCTGGTGGGCCATGCCCAAAAGTTCATATACTTTCTTCATCTAAAAAGCATGATTTAGGCTGGATTAGAGTTCCCAACCAGTCATTCTCTTACACCTTCATAATTTTTGCCACATTCATGTACCACTTCTGTTATTACACAGATCAAACAAACTCTTTAATTAATTCACTTTAAGCAATAAAAATCATAAAAAATAACTGCTTTGATATGCTAATGATATTGTCTAGATGCAGTTAAAGTAAATGTCTAGCTATTAAAATTTCATCTATGAAGCACTTACAATCATCTCACTTACACCATGAATTGATAACCATACAACTAGATATTTCTAAGTTCTTTTCCAGTTTCAACGTTCTCTGATGTTATTACTTAACACAGTTATGGTGGTAGTTTCTAGTCTGTATGTCCATTCCAAGTCCCAAATACACAGTACCTTGTTCAAATTAACCCAAGAAACATGGACTCATTTCATCAGAGTGCTAGGCTCAGTGAGGCCAGGGGCTACAAACTGGTGGCTGGTGAGTTGTCTGGCTTGCAGGTGTCATTAACCTAAACTTTTGTTTTTTTGCAGTGCTGGGGATAGAACCCAGGACCTTGATTATGCTAGGCAAGAGCTCTACCACAGAGCTACATCCTCAGCCCAAAACTTTTGAATTAGCTGCCAACATTATAAACTGAGAGACTACTCATTATTAAGGGAAAAAAAAATTCTGACTTGTACACTTTAATGGTTTGAGTTTATGGCATGTAAATTACACCTCAAGAAAGCTGTTTTGTAAAAGGCAAACAAAAATAAGAGGCTTGTGAACAAGTAAATGGGGTGGGCCATTGGGGAAGCCTGGTGGGCCATGCCCAAAAGTTCATATACCCTAGCATGTCTTGAGCTCAAAGATCTCATTTTGTGAGGTTTGTAAAGAGCAGTCTGACCCACTTGGACAGGCTAGTTAAGACTGAGGAATCAGCTGTTAGTTTATTAATTTGGGATGAAAAACTGCTATGGGGACAGAGATGCTCAGGCCTGTAGGTGAATTCTTTTTTTTTTTTTTTTTTCTTGTAGGTGAATTCTCTCTGACAGTGTAAATTATGTGGGAGGCAAATGATCCCAGGAAGATCGTGGGGATTCCTAGTTAACAGGGAAACCTACGTCAAGTCCCAGGTGGGGAGCATGGTGCCGGGCACTGTTGAGTATCTGTGAGGGCTAGTCATATGATGGTGATGCTCTAGGATGGTCTGTAGGAGAGCTGGAGGTGTCTATTTTGATCTCAGGGACCCCCCCGCCCCCCAGGCAGCACCCCTCCCTCTTGGGCTTCCTTCCTCTCTGGCGCTGGGAGCTCAAGCCCTTCTTCTCAAGGACCAGACTTTAAGAACTAGGAGCCAGATGATCCTTTTAAAAGAGACGGCACACCTTCTGTTCTGATCCACTCTTTCCAAGTTGGTCTGATTCCCGTGTTCCTGGGGGAACCCTCACAGGGTGCACCAAGTACAAGCAACAAAATCCACAATGATAGATCAGCTGCAAACCACTCTCTGTTAGAGCAGAACTTCCAGTTACTGTGTTATAACTAAGTTCTAGAAATAATGTGTCCCGCTCATTCAGAAAATGCATTTACCAAGTGTCTGCTGTGTGTACCAGGCACTGTTCCAGGTGTTAGAATACAGTGGTAAACACAGCAGCCTAGGTCTCCACCCAGGAACAAGAGGCCACAAATACTTCAGTAATTTCAGGTATTCACAGGTGTTATGGAGAAAGCAAGAGAGGATGATGAAACAGATGTGATAGGGAGCTACAAAGGGTGATCAGGGAAGCTTCTCTCAGTTAGAACTGAACAACCTGAAGGTAAAGGGGGTGGGAAATAGAGAGGGGACAGAAAGTGCAAAGGCACTGAGGCAGGCAGTTCTACTTCCAGAACTAGAAACAATGCTTGTGCATCATGTGGCAAGTAAGAGGTATAAGAGGGTAGAGACACAGGCACACAGGACTTTTCAAGCCACAGGGGCAGGCGGGCATGGATTTTGCTCTAAACAGGGCAGGTGGGGAATTACTAAAGGGGTTTGAGCAAGGGAGGGTCATTATCTAATTTATGTTTTTAAGAGGCCACTTTGGCTGTTGTATAGGAAGTAGGCCTTAGAAGAAGCACTTCTGTGCAGTTCAGAGAGAATGCTTTTCTATCTGCACTGACTACAGTATGTTTAAATATTAACATTTACTGATTAACCACAGCTTGGTAAGAGTTTCAGTAAAAACCTAGTCCTTGTCCTGAGAGTTACGAAGGCAACGATGACAATAGGCATAAAGGGCCAGCTGGATTCTCCCAGTGCCTTCCTTCAGACACAGGCAGCAGGGCTGAGCAGACTGGCCACTCTGTGCTCATCTCCACGACACATGTAATTATTGGTGACGACTTTTCTTTTTGGTCTTTTCCTTGAGTAAATAGATACAGAACATTCCAGCAACTTGTTCTGTTCCAGTGCATGCTAATCACTCCAGTAAATTTACAAAGGAATAAAAGCAGCTCCAATACGCGCTTTAGCTCTAGCTGGGAAGGTACTACCAGCAGAAATCTTCAGTCATGTGACCAAAGAACACATCAGACCAATTATAGAGCCTGGCCAGGTATTTTTGAACAACCATCTTGAGTGAAAAATTATTTGAGAATCACCTACAAAAGGTAAATTCCTGAATACCTAAGACTTTTGGGCCTAGTTCATACAGTGCCAGGAAAGGCAAACATTTGCAAGTAAACTCAGGGCAATCTAATCCAAAATTTCATGATTAATATTTTGCTTACTGTAACCAGATCTGGGATATTCTTTTGTTTAAAACAGAAAACAAAACAAGTGATACACTTGTTTCTTGTGGTAAGAAAAGGCAAAAGTCAGCTGTTGATATGCCATTGACCTATCTCTATCCATGTTCCCACCACAGGCATTCTAGCCCCTCACAGAGGTCTATGAATGGCTCCCAACTGCCAGGCCCTGAGCAAAGCATGGAAACCCAGTGTGTACAGGATGAATGAGGCCCTTGCCCACCTCAGGATGGCTAAGACAGACACTGATTCATCACCTTCCCAAGGACCTAAGTGCCCAAGCTGAGTCCACTGCACTGACAATGAACTGCACTGACAATGACATGACACACAACCAGCCACATCCATCCCAGGAACTATTCAGAGAAGACTGCCCTGATGACACGCTGGGCCTCCCTGGCTGTGTGCCCTCAAAGAAAAGCAAAGGGGAAACAAGAGGAAGGCCCAGAAATAGACAAGTTGCCCTCAGAGGTTTCCTTTGGACATTAATAGATAGCTCCTGTGTGTTCCTCTTACCCTTGGGGGGCTCAGCCATACCTGAGAGTGATGGGTCTCTTTCTCTGGGCATGTCTCCATTTTCTGAGCTGGCTTTTCCAGGGCCACTCCTGGCATGTTCACCGTTGGGTAAATCTGTTTTGTCAGGAGTTGTTGGTTTACTTTGTGCCTGGCTCTGCTTCAAGCGGCTGAACTTTGGGGATCCTGCTGTTGCCTGGATCACAGGGGACTGGGGTTTTGATTGGATTGGCTTTTCCAATTCTCTGGTCTCCTGCAACTAAAAGGCAACAGAGAAGGGATTCAATCTAAATGGATGAAGCATTTTGGGAAGAACAAAACTTAAGCTAGTCTATTGCTTAAAAAAATTTCCAACAAGCAGGATAAATTTTTAAAGGAAATAAATTCAAAACAAACTTTGAATGTGACAAACTCTAAGCAAATTCTGAATGTAAACTTCAGAATTGAGGACAAAAACATAGTACAGCAGATTCTTAGGAAGAAGGGATGAACTGCAAAGTGCCAGTGACCCTGAATGACAGAGTTCAGCCACATGACATCCTGCCCCCAGTCAGCATTGCTGCCACTCACCACCTGGTTTTCCATGCGGGTGAAAATGACATTCAGCATCTGGGTGAGTGTGGCCTTGGCAGTGGTTTGATTGATGAGGTTCTTGCTGGCCAAATAGATATTGTAACATGTCCTCACTGTCTGCAGGATAGTACCCTCATGAATCTCAATGTGCGGGGAAGTCACTGCAGTCAGCAGAGCCTAAAACACACATTGAAACTGTCACCCTCACGCACATCCACTTCCCTCATGCCTTCCTTCGACCAAGCTCTCCCAGAGGAGTTGGATTAGCTCTCATTTTTTTATAAACCCCAAGATGGCCCTGCCAACGAACCAGATGATCAGTACCAAGAGTCAACTTCCTACTGTTCTGAGTTTTAAAAAAGCAATCACAAGGCTGGGCACAGTGGCTTATATCTATAATAGAATCCCAGCTACATGGGAGGGTGGAGTCTGGAAGGATTATAGTTCAAGGCCAAGCCTAGGCAAAAAGTTAGTGAGACCTCTTCTACCTCAATCAATAAGCCAGGTGTGGTGATATGGCATGTCATCTCAGCTGCGAGGGAGGCATAAATAGGAGGGTCTTGGTAAGGGCTAACCCAGGCAAAAACACAAGACCCTATTTGAAAAACGTTAAAGTAAAAAGGCCTGGGAACGTAGCGCACGTGGCAAAGCACCGGTCTAGCAAGTCTGAGGTCCTGAGTTTAAACCCAGGACCTCAAACCAAAAGAAAAAAGAAAAACAATTACTAACTTCCTAAAACCCAACTTGAAGTAATAAGTTGTGTTGAAATAGGCTTTCTATCGTCTTATTTAAAAAGAAATCAAACTTCTGACTGTTAACACTGATTGAAAAACTTGGAATGAAAATTACAGACACTTCTTCCAGAGGAAAGATTCTCCCACTTGATCTCACCCACGAGTCCCGAAACATATGTTTCCACGGGCAGCCAGTTTTCCAGTTCCCTGGGAGGTTCAAAAGGGTTTAAGAAAGGTGAGACTGACTTGGACCTGAGATACTGGGAACCTAACCTCTGGAAGGGTGGCTACACCCATCCTGCCCCTGCTCCCTGACAAGATGGTACCAGCCCAGGCCAAACCATTCCTGGCAGTAGACATGGAATGAGGAAGCAGTATGGAGGACAAGACAACAGGGCAAGTTTGTGATAAGAGCGTCAATGAAGATCTGCTGAGATACAGCAGACTGGGAACCCAGAATTTCAAGACAAAGAGCAGAAGATTTCAAGCCAATTTAATTCACATGCAATTTACAGTGTTATTAGCAGAACTAGTTACTTGAAACACACGTGGTCTACTCTCCTTGTCTCAGTCCATGCTAATAAATTCTGACAATTAACAAAAGATCTAAGTGATGTTTAACTCTTCCGCTCCAGCTCAGCACCACCAGAGACAACCAACACAGGGTAAATCAGGCACCCAGATTCCCAAAGGAGACTAGCTTTCTCATCTAAAATCCAGACCCAGCGAACAAATAGAAATACCTTAATTATTTGTAACTGAACCCCTTCATCCGTCTGGGGGCCCTGAAAACAATTGCAAATGGTTTCAACAATCCTGTCGATCAGCCGCTTCCCTGGAGCTCCGCTGTCAGGGGCGTTGCCAGTGATATGCCCATATGCGATGAGTTTCTAAATACAGAAAGAAGAGAGAATAGAAGTTTCTGTCTGGCCAGGACCAAGGCTGCTGGTGACAACATGGTCTTTAACTTCTGGTTCCTACAGATGTCTTTGCTCCCAGGAGCCCAGCAAGCACAGCCACTCTGTGAGTGCAGCCTTCCTCCCATCTCCTGTTTGTGGTCAGTAACCCCAGTGAAGGTGATGCAATATCTGATGCCAACAGCAAAGCACAGAACCCTCCCTAGCACACAATTCTTTGTGCAAAACATTGGAAGATTAATACCATACTTCCTAATGACAGAAAGTAGATTAGTGGTTATCTGCATCTCAGGCAAGAGGATGGCTGGGGTGACATGGGAGTGACTGTGAATGAAGTCAGGTTGCTAACTCTGCCCACGTACTAAATATCACTAAATTGCACACTTTTAATAGGTGACTTGTACCTATGTTAATTCTATTTCAATAAAACTGCTGAAAATGTTGTTTTTTCTTTAAATGCTAAGAAACCTAAGAAACTAATGATGACATGTTTTGCTTGAGGGGAGGGAAACTAAGTAGCCATGCAGGAGTGAGACTAAGACACCTGATAGTACATACATCTTCCCTTTTTTTGGGGTGGGGGGCAGTGCTGAGATGGAAGCCAGCACTTGGCACATCCTAGGCAAGTGTTCCAATGCTGAGCTTTGCTCCCAGCCCCATCTTTTCATTCTTTTGGAATGTTGAATGTCAGTATATTTTCTACTCTAAAAACTAAAATAAAAACAGTAACAGTGTTCCTCATCTATATCACCAAACACTGTGTGTCACTCAGGTAGCTGGAGAGTGGCAGCCTGACTGTACCCTCACTGCCTGGTAAAATATTGGTTTGACAGGGGCCACCTTTCAGAGGTTGCAAGCCTGTGCCACTTCTCGTATCACTGGCCCTCAGAACAGAGAATCTGAGAGCTGAGGGGCCACAGAGGTCAGAATGAGTTCAAGGAGGCTGAGAGTCAGCATCATCTGAGGGTGCTCAGTAAAAACCCAGCCCAGACCTGCTGAGCCAGAGACTGAGGGAGCAGAGCGGGATCAGTGTCTTCTCCAGACTAGCCAGGGTGATCCAATGCCAACCAGGAAATGACCATGAGACCTGTAAGGCACTCACTACTCCCTGTGAAGTGGAAAAGACTCTCACTGATGCCCTTCTGCTCTTTATCCTGTTAGGTTTCTGCTATAACACTCCTGCCTCTGCCTACACAGAGCAAGCATGAGCTCCTGAGGTTATCTACAGAGCTGCTGCCACTGCGGTAGGAAGACGGGCTACCCTAAATAGGCCTAACACCATTCTCAATGGCTCATCCCCATCATTAGCTACAACGTGCCACTATTCAATAAGCAAAAACAAAACAAGAGAGCAACTGAGGGCAGAAACATGATCCTGATAGAGTGACAGCCTCTACCTGTTCTCTCTCTGTTGCTCAAGCCCAGCCCTGCACCCCAAATAAGGAGTACAAGTGTGAAGGATGCTCAGGCTCCTGAAGGTGGGGCTGGCTGCTGGCAGGATGCTGGGGTCCTGATACTGCTCACCCTTGCTCCCCACATTAGGACTCAGGTCTATCCTGAACACTCCAATGGCAGGGGGATGACCTATGAACTCCCCAATGTAAATGCTTAAAAGAAGGCTTCCAGGAGCTGGGGATGTGGCTCAGTTGTAGAGCATGTGATTAGCATGTACACAAAAAAGTATGTTCCATACAAGCCAATTCTGATGCCACAAAGCAAAGGTGAAGATGAATTAATGGATATTTAATTAAAGTACAAAAAGGGATTAGAAGGATTCTCCCTTGAAAGATTCCTGGAGTCTTTCTGGCTTTGCTTTCCTGTCCTTCTCTGTGTTAGACACTGTCCCTAGCACTGGGGATACAAAGGCAAGGAAGACAGCCTTGATACTGTTTCTCATGGTTTATATTCTTGGGGACAGGGAATCAAAGCCCACACCAACTGGGACCTGTGGGGCTCTGTGAGATTCATAGATGCTCCATCCTGCATCTACCTCTGCCTCCTCCTCTCCCATGGTATAGAGGATGGAGGCCCCAGGGCCCTGGATCACTGGAACCACTGCCCATGGGTATACTGTTTCATGTAAAAAAAGACAGCAGTAGAAAAATCTGTACAGGTGACACTATTTATAGAAAAAGGAAAAAGAAAAAAGAGGAACCTGAATAGTCGACTGGTTTTAGGGTTAATGATCCAAGGCACTTCGGACTTATCTATAAAATTCTTCATACTTTTTTTTTTTTTAACAGAGAACAAAATCACAAGCAACCCACATAATTACAAATTCATTTTTAAGTATGCATTTAAAAATTTAAAGTTTTCTAGAAACAAGAGCTAAAAGGTAATACTTGTGGTATGAACAAGACAGCTCAGACCACAAAAAACATTAGCCTTCTATTTGTACCTAATTTTTATCTTATTCTTTTAAAAGTTTTATTTTTGTATGTTTTATAATATGTAAGTTTTAGTAACAATTATATATGTATATAATTTTATCATAGTCATATTAGTCTGGAAACATTAAGCTTAATTTTTGCCATTTGTGTAAAGGTAACACAGTGTGTTAAATATGTAAGGTCGTTACCTACATGGGTCTGATTACATAAAATAACAAGCTATTCTCTAAATAGTGAAAAAAATATGTATATCATTCTAAGTTGAAGAAATATATTAGGATACCTTCAAAAAAATTTTTTTTATTGCTAGGCACTAGTGGCTCACACCCGTAATCCTAGCTACTTGGGAGGCTGAGGTTTGAGGCCAGCCCAGCAAATAGTTCATGAGACTGCTTCTCTAAAATAACCAAAGAAAAATGAACTGGAGGTGTGGCTTGAGTGGTAGAGCACCTGCTTTGCCAGTGTAAAGCCCTGAGTTCAAACCCCAGTCCCATCAGAAAAAAAAAAAAAATATATATATATATATGATCAGGAAAACTTTAGGTTAGGCAAGACTGGCGGGCAACCCTCCTTAGCAGAACCCCGAACTTCAAGGAGTGTGTGGAGATCGCATCTGAAGGACAGGACATGGGGTCCACATTGCTTGATGGAATCTCTAGGCTTCCCTCAGTGGGAGGAGAATTCCAGCGACCCATTCTAAAAAGAGAAATGACCCACACACCATGAGTCTCAAGACTCACAGTGGGCTGAAGTAAAGCAGGATGGTGAACATATTGAAATCCTACACACATTTACATGGTGTCCCAGAAACAGACTATTTCTGTTACCAAAGAGGCCTGAATCACAGAGCAATAGTTAAGAGCAAGGGTCGGCAATCTTTTTCCAAAAAAGGACCACATATTAAATATTTAGGATGTATGGATCAGTGGTGTCCACTGTAACCACTCATCTTGGCTACAGTGGCAGAAAGCAGCCACAATAACACCTAAGAGATGGACTGAAACAGGGTCTCCCCCTGTCCACAGCTTTATTAACCCCCAATGTAATGGTATTAGGAGGCTGAGCCCGTGGAAGATGATTAGGCTTACATAAGGTCATGAAGATGGCATCCTCATGATGGATCTTGGGCTCCAGAAGAAGAACCCAGAGAGCTCACTCTTTCTCCAACACATAAGGACACCCTGGGAATGTGGCAGTCTGCAAGCCAGAGAGAGGGAGGGTCCTCACCAAGAACCATAGAGGAGCTAGATCTAGGACTACCCAGCCTCCAGAACTTTCAGAAATAAAGCTATGATGTTGAAGCCACCCAGTCTATGGTTATAGCAGCCCATGCTGACTAAGACAACTACATTCCACTAGAACTTTATTTACAAAAGCAGGCAGTAGGCCAGATTTGGCTCATGGACCACAGCTAGCAACCCCTGGTTAAAAGCATAAACATGGGGTCAGGAAGTACTAGATACCCACCCAATTTCATCATTCCTTGGCCAGGGAACCTTGGGCTGGGTTGGCTACTTTATTCTCTAAGCCTCAGTTTCCCCAATTCTAAAATGAGGGTGAAAGTTGGTAACTCAGAGAGTTGAGAAGACTGAACCCCTAAATGATGACACACTTAAGACAGGGCCCTGCACAGGGCACAGGTTGAGCGCTTAGCTCACGTCATCACTCTTAGGACATCAGTGATGTTAACCATTGGCTCCCAAACGGAACCTCCTCATGGGAGGAAACAACTAACATTAAACTTGGGCCAAATTTCCTCAGAACATAATCACAGAGCCAAATATTTTAGGTTACAAGTAGGACTTGGTCTGTCTTTTAAGACTTCTTGGCCCATTAGATGTTTCACACAGGACAATCTGTACAGAATTATCTTGAATGAGAAAAAAGGTTTTTTGTTTGGAAAAGCTGCTTCTGTGAAAAAACTGTCATCAATTCTCAAGTATGTACATTAAAGAAGAGAGACTGAGTAAATATTAGACCGGGGTGCCAAGAGCATAGCACACCCACTGCCACTGTGCAGTTCTGCACCTCAGAAGACACGATAATCAGTGACAGCACTCTCTCAAGACACACACAGGAGAATTCACAAGCCTTTCCACAGAGCTCTTTAGTCAATCATAGTACAGAATATAGTTGTTACCTTTTCTGCTCTACAAAGTACCGGTAAACAGTATATCTCTTCAATATAGTTTAAAAATTTATTAACTTTTTCACTGATGTGGGTTGCTCATAGAGGTCAAGAGCAATGTTCTTTGAGGTAATCAGAAACTTCAAAAATAGGTGTTGGGGAAAAAAATGAAAAAATGCTGGACCAGGATTAAGACACCCAAGTTGTAGTCCTGTTTCTGGCTCTGACTACTTATCCATTATTGGACAAGTCACCCTAACTTTTCTACTTGCTTCTTCATCTACAAAAGATTATTTATAATGAGGTGACTGCAGCTCTAAATCCAGTCAATCCTCATTACCTGTAGAGTCTGTATTTCAAATGCACCTACTCATAAAAATTTATTTGAAAGCCCAAGTCCAAACTTGTGGAACTTTTACAGTCATTTCTGGACACACACAGAGTGGTAAAAACCTGAACCATCTGACATGCATACCCGCAGCTGACGCAAGGTGACACTCTGCCTTCCTTCAGCCTTCCCTCTGCAAACGGGTGCCATTTTTTTTGCAGTGTAATTAGTGCCATGTAGTTCACATTTTTGTTCCTTTGCTCTTTAAAATGGCCCGAGTGTGTGCTGAAGTGCTTTGTAGTGTTTAAGAGCAAAAAGGCAATGAATGACATACCTTACAGAGTGTGTGTGTAATACTGCTGCTGGCCATGAGTTCAATGTTAATGGACCAACAATACATATTAAATTGGGTGTCTTTAAATAGAAACAAAGAACAAAAGCTATACACTGACCAACTGACAAAAATGCTGTAACTGGAGAATTGCAGGAACCTAATCTTGTATTTCTTCTAGAAGTGGTTGCTCAGAGCTTGCTAAATCATGCTCCTAGGACCTTTATAGGATGTAACTACCACAAAAAACCTCTGACTGAGTCTATTTCTACTCTTTTTTTTTTTTTCATTTTTCTTTTATTATTCAGATGTGCATACAAGGCTTGGTTCATTTCTCCCCCCTGCCCCCACCCCCTCCCTTACCACCCACTCCACCCCCTCCCACTCCCCCCCCTCAATACCCAGCAGAAACTATTTTGCCCTTATCTCTAATTTTGTTGTAGAGAGAGTATAAGCAATAATAGGAAGGAACAAGGGGTTTTGCTGGTTGAGATAAGGATAGCTATACAGGGCATTGACTCACATTGATTTCCTGTGCGTGGGTGTTACCTTCTAGGTTAATTCTTTTTGATCTAACCTTTTCTCTAGTTCCTGGTCCCCTTTTCCTATTGGCCTCAGTTGCTTTAAGGTATCTGCTTTAGTTTCTCTGCATTAAGGGCAACAAATGCTAGCTAGTTTTTTAGGTGTCTTACCTATCCTCACCCCTCCCTTATGTGCTCTCGCTTTTATCATGTGCTCATAGTCCAATCCCCTTGTTCTGTTTGCCCTTGATCTAATGTCCACATATGAGGGAGAACATACGATTTTTGGTCTTTTGGGCCAGGCTAACCTCACTCAGAATGATGTTCTCCAATTCCATCCATTTACCAGTGAATGATAACATTTCATTCTTCTTCATGGCTGCATAAAATTCCATTGTGTATAGATACCATATTTTCTTAATCCATTCGTCAGTGCTGGGGCATCTTGGCTGTTTCCATAACTTGGCTATTGTGAATAGTGCTGCAATAAACATGGATGTGCAGGTGCCTCTGGAGTAACTATTTCTACTCTTGATATAGATTAATGCCATCAAGAAAGTGGCTATAAAAATGCTTTGTGTACCCATGTATATCAAATATTCTAATTAATGCTAAATGTTTCATTTAGAAAAATATACATAATATACAAATATACTTTGAGAGAGCCACAAAGTACTTCTGGGAAACAAATGCACACTTTAGCTGAGCAGTTCAGAGCCCTCTCCCTTCCTGCCCTTATGAGACCTCTGCAGAGAAAGCTTTCTGGCTCCTTTCCCTACCACTTCCAAGGACATTCTGAATACCAGAGCTACCCCTAGCTGGGTAAGTAAGGATTGCCTGTGGCTTGGAGGGAACCCCATGAGACCATCAAGTTTAAACGTGGTACCTGCAAGCAGTCGAGCGATGTGCTGACCACTCGGGGGGACTTGGACTGGCAAGCGAGCTCGAATGGAAGGAAATATTTGTCCGCTTCAATGAAGTTTGCCTTTGGTGGGGCCACAGCACCGAGCCTAGGGGAAAAGCAGGAGAGGGCCAAGAGCAGAAATGAAAAAAAAAAACCTCCTTTCTCCATACTTTATGCTGATTTCCCATCCTGTTTGCAATCATTTCATTAAAAGTGCCTGCAAACTTATTCTTGGGGCTAGCTAATTAAAAGCTGAACACATGCAACTTTAGAAAGAAACCATCAGTGCCATGAGCAAACAGCAAGCTCTCTGATTTGCGAGCTGAATCAATAGTACCCCAGACCAAATCCTGACAGCAGCCATGCCAGAACTGGATTTCTAAAATATGACAAACTGGCTTCATTATCATCTTCAGGAGCAGCCTATCACGGAGCAAACCATCCTTAAGCCTGAGTATGCATGGCAAAGCAAGAGACATGGGCTCTGACTCTTCTCTCATGAAGAGATACAGTGGTATTGACTTGGCCTTCTTTAACCCTCCTCCAAATATGCAAATATTAAGCCAGGAACCTAGCACTGAGTGAGGAGAGTGTGTGCTGCCCCAGAGGATGACAAGTATGAAAAAGCGTGCATAGCAGGGATTATTCTGGCTACCTAACCCTTCATGCTGTATTTCAGCAAGAAGAAAGTGCTAGCGCTTACCTCTGCTTTTCTATTTCTGCTTTAATTTCATCTGGTGGGGAAGAAGAAAAAGCACGTTAGGAGCATGCAACACCTATAGAAAAGAAAACTTTACTATGAAGTATTTGGAAACCATTAAAAAGAATGGTTATGAGATTTTGAAACGAAATTTTGGTATGAAGTAAAATAAATCATAACAGCAGTAATCACATGTAAGTACATGTTTTCACTCACTTAAGGCTCACAGCAATCCTATACATATTATTACTACCTCCATCTTATTTAGAAAGCAGGGTAATTTCTTACCCTGGGCACTTCAACATTTGGGGATGAATGGGGCCATTCTGTGAATGGCAGGATACACAGCAGCATCCCTGGCCTCTACACACTGGATGCCAGTAACACCCTACAGTCTTTGGTCTCACTATGCAGCCCAGGCTGGTCTTGAACTCATAATCCTCTTGCCTCAGCTTCTCAAGTGCTTAGATTTCAGGTATGTAGGCCCTTGCAGTATGAATAGTAAAAATGTTTCCAGACAGTGCCACGGGTCCCCTGAACAAAACTCCCTCTGATGAGAGCCATAATTCAACAAGGAAACCAAGACAGAAAGAGTGGGTAATTTGCCCACTGTAACACATCAAGAGTTGGGGAACCAGAACTTGGCCTTAGGCATTTTGGCTCTGCAGTCGGCACTCTACCCCACTACATCCCCACACAGCATAATGTATGTTAGTAATAGTTAACACAATATATTTCAACTGCAAAAATGTGCATAGAAGATTAGAAATAAATATAGAAAATGCCAAAACACTTTGTTATATTTGTTTCAGTGATTTTTTTTTCACTTTTTTCCACATTGTCTGTCTGTCTGTCTCTCTCGAGATACGGTCTCAATATTTAGCCCATGGTGACCTCAAACTCGTGATCCTCCTGCTTCTGCCTCCCAAGTGTGGAGATGTTTTCACATTTCTTATGATACACATTTAATACACTTTTTCCCAAACACCTTTTAAAACAATTGTGGTAATATATGCATAACTGAAAATGTATTATTTTAACCATTTTAAGGCATACAGTATAGGAGAATTAAGTAGCTTCACATGGTCCTACTAGTAATTGGTGAGTTAAGATTAATCTTCTACACAACGCTGTAGAAGTAAAGCATCATTATTCAGAACTTAGAATCTCAGGGCAATGGAGTGGCTCAAGTGGTGGAGCACCTGGCAAGCAAACATAAGGCCCTGAATTCAAACTCCAGTACCACCAAAAAAAAGAAAGTAAAAATTCAGAAATCATAATCTCAGAGATGGTCTCATGTCCAGAAGAACAAGATGTTATGCCAATGGCGCAACAGAATCCCTGTCTAAATACACAGCCCTACATGCATCCCTACGTCAGGCCCCCAGGCTCCTGGTGGGGAGGGAAGAGAAGGAAGGAGGCCTGAACGCTGGTGTTCAGCTGAACTCTGCCAGTCAACACTCTCTGTATGGTGTCCTCAGAGCTGCAGCTCCAGGTGCAGCACTAGCTATCGTTAACAGCCCCAGGTTCTGGAGGTGCCAAGATTCTTTTTCTTGAACAATTCTATCCTAACTGGGACTCCAGGATGTGAAAACCAAGGAACTGAACTTGCTAGAGGAAGTCATATCTAACCTGGCTGGGTCTTCAATGTTTTCTTTCTGCACACCTAGGAAAACTGGAGAGAAATGCCCAAGTGACTAATATCAAGCCATAAGGCCTGGGCCACACAGGCTCTGTCAAAGGGAGCTGTGTGGCATAGGCCCTGCCCTCTGGGGACAGAAATCTCCTAAAGAAGGAGCTCCCTTCCCTCCACAGAGGTCCAAAAGGCTATTGAGTAGACAGGAGACCAAGCCCAAGAGGACGGTGGCCATGCTGTCAGCAACCCACACAATATCAAGGCTCTGCTTAGGTGACGAGCTCATTTGTTACCCTGTGACACACCAGAGGGGCTCTGTTGCCCAAATTCGAATGTAAGGTTTCCTTCCAATCATGGTGACCTTGTAGAGCTCAGTTTAAATGTGAAATATATCTAAAGCAACCAGGCTTCACTAGAGTACGTGTGACCTCTGAGCTTCAAACAATGTTTTGGAGTGCCACAGGGGCAAACACAGTGATCCATGAATCATTCACCAGGATGGCTATTTATAATCCATGTAAGGCATCAAAAGTAGTAAGACCAAATGCAGGGTTCCACACTCAAAGGCCTATGCAGGCCAGGCACAGAGCATCAAGGTGAACCATCTCAGGGGTAAGACATTAGGAGAAGAGAGGCCTCCCTCCCACCCAACAGGGCAGGAGGTGCATCCACTCCTCAGCCCAGGTGGCAGGAACTGGCATCTCTAGAGACCCTGAGCCAAGAATCATCAGTTGCTCTATTTCCCAGTGGTCAATATCTAGATTTTACATGAAAGCTCAGATTGCAATTCAAAGCAACTTCAACTATTTTTAAAAATATCATGGCTCACATAAGATTAGTTTTCAAACTTTGTTTCAAGGGACAGGATAAAGCCCAGAAGAAAGTGCCTCAATGACTGGCTGCAGAAAAGTAACAGCAGGGAAGAGATAGCTTTTAAAGACACTAGCCAGCATCTGAGGATAAAACGTATGTATATGTATTGTACAAGGTAAATGTTGCTCAGCCAAAGAGCTAAGAGCAACTGGGAGCCAGAGAATCACCTTTCAGGCCAAATGTATAGTAGCTCCACTATACATTTTACAGATAAAGAAACAAGACCCTGAGAGGTTTCCAGGTGGAGCTGGGGCTTAAACCCAGAAAATCAGGCTCTAGAGCCTGTGTTCATAAGCTCTTGGGTCCTTGACTCAAATAAGCACATGGAATTCATCTGCAAACTATAAAGGCAAAACATGAATACATGGTTTTGTTATCACTAATATACCATGAGTGCTGCAACCAGGCACAGTTTAAACATTGGTGGTTTTCTACTCTGAGCGAAGGCTGGTTCACAAATTTAGCTCTGAAACCTGCCAGTCCTCTTTCCTTGCCTGTTGTGGCAGGACCATAGTGAAGGTGCATCCTGGTTTGTTTGTGGTGCTGAGGGTCAAACCCAGGGCCAGGGAAGCTAGGCAAGTGCTCTACCACTTGGCTATGCCCCCAGCCCATATCCTGCATTTTGAATGGGAGTGAGCAAGGGTTTGTGGCTGATGCAGCAGCAGGAGGGCAGAGAGCAGCCCTCAATCTGAGGGCTGAGTCCAGGAAGTCACAGTTGCAAATCCTGCATTCAGATTTTCTGTAGTTTTTTTTTTTTTTTTAATTTACCCTTAAGCATTCCCACAAGAATTAAGAATTGCTATACTTTCTAAAATCTTGAAAATCCTCTCCACTAGGCACAACAGGAGTCCAGACAACACAGCACCTTTGTAGGGTATGCATGGGAGGAAGCTGCAGAAGGGCCCAGAGAGGGTGGCCAGAACCCACCTATGTCTCCTGCTGTGAGTGTAAAGAGAAGCCAGGACAGAAGCAAGTAAACCAGTCAGGAGGCACCTCCAGACCAATCATAACAGGACTTGGTCCAGGTGGAAGCAATATAGGCAGAGAGATGTATCCTTTGAAGCTAATGGCAGAGCCATTTTACAGGCTGAAACTGTTTCAAGGAGCACTACTGTCATATGGTCCCATCTGATAGTTGGGTTATGGATATATTTGGATAACACAATTGTTTTTCTCACTAAAACAAGGGAGGGGGAGAAACCAGGGAAAAGTACATGGTGGGGGCCTCACTGAGGGACGAGACTCAGACAGAGCTGAGTTTAAGGCCTGGCATGGACACCTATTAGCTAAATGGTGGATGCCAGAGGGAGTTATACCTCCCTGAATCTTGACTTCCTACTCTAAAAACTTTCATTGACAAGCCAGGTGCAGTGGCTCAAACCCATAATCCTAGCTACTCTGGAAGTGGAGATTAGGTGGATCATGGTTTGAGGCCAGCATGGGCAAAAAGTTCTCAAGACCCCCATTTCAACCAATAAACTGGTGATGTAAGCCTGTCATTCCAGCTACATGGGAAACATAAATAGGAGGATCACAGTGCAGGCCAGCCCAGGCATAAACATGAGACCCTATTCAAATAATAACTAAAGCAAAAAAGGTCTGGGGTTATCACTCAAGTGGCAGAGTGCTTGCTTAGCAAGCACAAGATTCTGAGTTCAAACCCCAGAACTACAAACAAAAAACCCCAAAACTTTAGATGACAAAAAACAGACCATGCTCCAGACACCAGCAGGAAGCACGTGGGTAAGGATAATTTTCTCTCTCATTGTCATTCTCTGTCTCTCACTCTCTTTCTTTCCCCAGCCCTGGGGTTTGAACTCAGGGCCTCAAATGCTTGTTAGGCAGGTACTCTACCACTAAAACCACTCTACTAGCCCTTTTCTTCTTCTTTTTTTGTGGAATTGGGGTTTGAACTTGCAAAGTAGGCACTCTACCAATGGGCCACACACATCTCCAGGATAATTTTCTTGACAAGCCTATGAGAGAAGACTTGTCAGATTAGTGACTAGGGCAGTGGCTGGCACACAGTAGGTGATCAATAAATGTCAGTTCTCTTGCTCTTATCTTAAAACAGAAGTTGGCAAGAGTGCAAAATCTCTAGTACCACTGCTGGAGCCAAGCCAAGCCAAGGAAAAAGAAAATGAGCAGGACATCTCTTCCATGATATTCTGCCTCACCTTAGGTGATACACTGATGGCAAGTGCTCACTGTGACCTCACTGCAGCCTGGAGTGCAAGAACACGGTCATCACCCCTATCAGTCACTACCTAACACAGGGAGGAGTTTGGCCCCAGCCAGCGAGCACTCCTCAGTGAGAACCCAGTGGCAGATTGCCTGCTCCATTCTGGGGCCAGCACTCCCCACCCACTGGAGGAAGAGAAGAAGAGGGAGGACAGCCCACACAGGATGTCTGGTGGACACTTTGCTGCTGCACCTCCTAACAGCCCTGCCTTTCCAGCTGCCAACAGGACTATCAGCAGCAATAAATAAGTAGGCTAGGAAGGAGGGAACTCCTGGGGCGGGGC